AGGATAAAAAAGCATGCATGTATTTTTGTCACTTCCAAAAACAAAAATGTGAAGGCTGGTTTGATAACCATTTCAATTTTAGTTTTTAGTTTTCATTTTTGGTGCTAGTGTATAGAGGAAAATGAGAGTGATAATGGGAGTGAGTATGAGATTGAGAGAGAGGATGAGAGGGGAGGATTGGAGCCGCCGCGGGGGGGTGGGGTTAGTAACAAAAGTGAAAACAATTTCAAATAGATTTCAGTTTTTAGTTTTAGTTTTCACTTTTGTTACTCCTCCCTCCCATCCTCCCCTCTCATCTTCCCTCTAAATCTCATCTCCACTCTTATTCTCACTTCCATTCTCCCTCTTGTTTCTCTATACTTTAGCACAAAAAATGAAAACTAAAAACTAAAATTGAAATGGTTATCCAACGGCCCTAAAATAATAAATCAGTTTGATGATTGCAGATTGCAGATTGCACACCTGGTGATCAGAATGTCTACAGCAACAGATATGTGAGTGATGAAGAATCCACATTTTGTTTAAATACTGTTGAACAAAAATTGTGGGATGAGGGGAAGATCTCTTAATGGAGGGGAGAGATTCCTAGTATTGTTTGTTCCACTTGGGTTTGGTATAAGAATAATGCCATGCCCAAAATTTTGCAGCAGCTCTTCATCACTGCAGTTACCTGGCACAGGTGAATGGTGAAGAGGAGCATACTATTCTGAGTCTGTTGGTTAGGCAATTACTTCTGATTTTCTCATGCTTCTTCTTAGCTCTTTTTTATTTTTGGGTGGGGGAAGAGGATGTGTAACTCTTAATCTGCCTGTCATATTATCATCAGCCTTTTCAACTCAAAGCAGGACGAGTCTTTGTAAACAACATATATGGTCCTATACTATAGTGTCTGTCATTGGTTTTGGCAGTTGTTTTAATTTCAACCATAAAAAAATTTGCATTACAAAGGAATCTTTCAAGCCAACAAGGTCTAGCTGAGTGAAAAAGAGCATTGACTTGCAGACCAGTGGTCTTAGGTTCGAACCGTCATGGCACCTTGGTAGTGTGTGTGAGAAATCCCCTCCCCTCATAATTTAGAATATCACTTCTATATATTTTTTTTAAATCTTTAATTACTTAGCTCGGTTTTGTTTCCAAGTCCTCCTATTGCCACCCAAAATGTATTTATTCACCCACCTTAGTTTTCAGCTTTATTAATTTTTAGGCTTAAATGTCAAAATAGTCCTTATGTTTTATTGTGTTGGCCAATTTAGACCCTATGTTTTTAATTTAGCCAATTTAGTCCTTGTATTTAGCACCGTTAGCCAATGTTGTCCAATTCATTAATTTGATGTTAAAAATTTTTAAAAACTAATATAATAATTTAATTGAATTTAAAAATATATAAATAAGCACTAAAAAATAAACATGAGATCTAAAAACAAAAATTAAAAACTAAAAATTTAAAAACAAGGCACCACCATCCAAGCCCAGCTACCTCCCCCTACTTGCCCATCCTAGCAACCACCACCACCATCAAAATGCTATCACACACAAAATTGTGGATTCTCAATTTTCCTTCTTTGAATGAATTGTCAATCTTGGTTTTCTGTGGGGAAGGTTTTGAGCTAGCTGTTGATGCCAATACAAAATATGGGTGATGCAATGAGGATTCTAATGCATAATTGGGTTCAGAAAGTCTTTGTTTATCTGGAATTGGAGCTGGTGATTGGGGCTTGGGTTGGCTTTGGAGAAGCTGTAGAAAGCTGAAGAAATTTTAGCTTACGAGCTGTGAAGGGATTGGTGAAGAGGATCTTTTTTGTCCTTTGCTATTTTTTAATGGAGTTTCAATATTTTTAAGTGAATTCTTTAAAAAATAAATAAATAAATAAAAGGGTTTTCGGTTTTTAAGAGACAAAAAAAAGGTTTATAATGTAAATTTAATGGATTGGACCACATTGGATAACTATTCTAAACACAGGGACTAAATTGACTAAATTGAAAACACATGAATTAAATTGGCCAACACGGTAAAACATAGGGACCATTTTGACATTTAAGCCTAATTTTTATGATTGAAAAAAAGAATGAAAAACTTCACATATCTCCATTAATTAAAGAACTCTCTCTCTCTCTCTCTCTCTCTCTCTCTCTCTCTCTCTCTCTCTCTCTCTCTCTCTATATATATATATATATATATATATTCTATTGAGGGACACCCTATAGGGCTCCCTATGAATTTTTTTTCAACGATCAAAACCATCTATTTTTCACATCTTCATTCAGAGATCATCCTTACAAAAAATCATGCAAATTGAAAATCATTAAGGCATCTAATTGAGACCAACAAAATCAATAAACACAGTACTTCAAGAAAGTACTTGAATTTCAATAATTTATTTGAGTGGTCAAATGATTCAAGTGATTTTTTGTAGAAATGATCTTTGAATGAATATATACAAAATTGATGTTTGGATTATCAAAATACAATGCGGAGTGAGCTCTATATATACAAAAAGTTTTTATTGAGGGACACCCTTGTAGGGCCTATTCCGCTTTGTATTTCGCTTATTTAAACCATCTATTTTGTATATATTCATTCAAAGATCATCTCCACAAAACAAAACAAAATAAAAATAAAAAAATTCATTTGAATCCGATATCATTTGACCACTCAATTAAATTATTGAAATTCAAGTATTTTCTTGAAGTACCGTGTTCATTGATTTTGTTGGTCTCAATTATATGCCTTAATGATTTTCAATTCGCATGATTTTTTGCAAGGATGATCTATGAATGAAGATGTGAAAAATAAATGGTTTGGATTATTGAAATTTTTTTTGTATATATATACACAGAGAGTTTCAGTTTATGGATATTTTAAATAAGCTTATTTGAGGGTACGGCCCACTCCGTTTAGTATTTCACTAATCCAAATCATCTATTTTATAGATAGTCATTCATTGATCATATCTACAAAAATCACTTGAATAAGATATCATTGACCAATCAATTAAATTATTAAAATTTTAATACTTTCTTGAAGAACCGTGTTCATTGATTTTGTAGGACACAATTAGATGTCAAAACGGTTTCCAATTTGTATAATTTTTTTTACAAGGATGATATATGCATGTAGACTTAAAATACAGATTATTCGGATTGTTGAAAATAAAATTGTAGTTTGCCCTAAAAGGTGTCCCTCAAATAAAATTATTTTGAGAAATCCCTTAATAAAATGGGACTATATATATATATATATATATATATATGAAATAGATGCAACCAACCAAGAGAAAAATATGACACATTATCAAGACTAGCCCCTTGGCACACATGTGAGTGTATGCCAATTGATTTTTTTTTTCCTTTAGAATTAAGAAAGAGAATCCAACTAAAAAAAATAAGAGAAGTTGTGTCGTATAAAAATAAGACCTATGTTCTTATTTAAAAAAATATATTAATATGAAAAATTGTTAATTTATTATATTATTCTTATTTAATTAAAATTTTCAATGCTATATATATATATATATATATATATATTTGTCTTTCCTAGATGTTAGGACTCTCGGAATAAATTCCTATTTCAAAGTCACATAACCAACCAAGAGAAAATAGATGCAGAAAACAACAATTAAGCCAAGATAAGACACTTTGAAGCATCTCGTGAAGTAGAGAAACTCTAGTCTCTTCTCTCTAAAGAAAAAAAAACACTCCTAAAGCCGTTTTTACTTTGAGGGGGGGAGGAAGCCATTGTTTTTCCTCCCCTCTCCTATCTTCATTTCCTCCCTTCTTCTCTTTTCCTATTTTCAGAGACAGAGGGTTTCCCCTATTTATCTTCGTTTTGTTATGATTTTCCTCCAACCATCACATGCTGTTGCATTTCAGTGTCAAATCTCCACTGCGTTTTGGCATCGAATCTCCACCATCATCCTTTTTGCGGTTTCTTTATGTTTGGAATAATTCACAGAGACTCTTTGGATTCTTTGTGTAGTTCTCACCTCTCCTTTTGTGAGAGTTTTTCACTTCTCCTTTGTGAGAGCTTTTCATCTCTCATTTGTGAGAGCTTTTCATCTCTCCTTTATGAGAGCTTTTCATCTCTCCTTTATGAGAGCTTTTCATCTCTCATTTGTGAGAGTTTTATTTGTATTGTTATGGTTTGGTTTTTTAAAGTTTTATCTCTTCTTGATTATTATGAGTTTGCAATCCTAGTTGGGATGCCTATACCAGAGTTTCTTTGATCTTGCATGATCGTTAGTGGAGGCGCACCAGATTGTCTTAATTTTGATGTTAGATCGCATCATTATTGTAATGACCCTTTTGTGGCTAGTTTGTATTGATCATTTGTGATTAGTGGCCTTTTTGGTAGAATTATGAATGCAATCCTAAAATTTCTCAACAATAACAAAAGTCAAGACAAGAATTTAACAAGGCCCATCTTAAATTGGGGTCCACAGGTGACAAATCCACTAATAAAGTAGCAAAAGTAAATCGAAGAAGAAATCACATCTATAATAAATAAAAACTTTAATGTGATTTCACTACTTTCAATTCCTTAGAATAGAGAATTCCTAATACACCCAAGAGCTTACAACAACTCAAGCTTTCTAAATTTCTCTCTTAATCGGTCATCACCCTATAATACACGAAACACTTAAGTCCCAATTCACGGAAAAAATTTGATGTGAAATAATTTCCCACATCTTTTCCCAAGGGATAGAAAATGGAATATTCATTTCCCATATTTGGTAATACTGGAAAAGTAACCAAGAAATACCACTTTATGGTACACCTCCACTTAAAGCCACGCAAGACCAATTTAAAGCCACACAAAGCCATAAACAGTCGGGCTTAATCACCTCATATATTTAATAACCAAGTACAACACCCATAACGCAACTACAAACCCAAATTCTCCCTAAGAGAAACCACAACCACACATCAAACTCGATAGAGTTGATGCACTTATTGGACCAAAACAAAAACTAAAAACCAACAACAACAACCTTAACCCATGACTATGGCTTGAAAAAAAGTAGACTCGAAAAGAAGACCATAAATCCGCTGTCTTCGGTGCCATCGATGTTGTCGCTACTGCCGTTGTCACAGCCAAACTAAGTATCCACAACAAAAACACACACACAAAAAACCCCAATAAACATGAGATTCAAGTTATGTTTGTAAGTTTCCAAATCTGATTTCGGCGATAGTATCAAAATTTAAGACTTTGGTTTCATCCTTGCACAGTTTGAGAAAAAGTCAAAGTAAATCTTTTTTTTTATTTTAATTTTATTTTATTTACGAAAAGGTGTTTCATTAAGAGCATTTCCACCCATTTGCCATGGCAAAAGGCAACGGTTGTTACTATTCACATAAATAGTGCATGCCATAGCAATTTTTTGTTGGTTTTCCACTCATTGCCATGGCAACCCAAGGGCAACCACTATTCACATGAGATATGAGGATAGGAATTTGTATAGAGTTTTGGTATGAGAAGTGAAGAATATGATTAGGTATTTATAAATTAAAAAATTCTAAAAATTCTGGTTTTTTTTTAGTAAATTTAGGTTTTAGCAAAAAAAAAATTTTGCTTTTGGAAAAAGCCAAAACTTTTTCAAAAAAGACAGAAAAACCTCTCAACTTTCAAATCAAAGACATGCAAATGTAAAGGATTCCTTAGGAAATCCAAAAATAAATAAGGGTAATTTTGTCCATTTTGGCTTCTTTTACAAATTTTCTCTCTTCTTTGTGTTTTTCCAAAGTCTCCTTTTTTTTTCAATTTTTTTGTTATTTAAACTGGCTGTCGACATCAGTATTAAGTCATCTTACCCAAGCAGCAGCCCAGACAAGTCTTGCCTTGGGCCTTGCCCGGATTGGTGGAGCCCAGGGCTTGCCCTGGCAAGCCTTGGCAGCTAGAAATGAAATTGGGAGCCTAGGGGGCCTCTTGCCTAGACTAGCCCCTCCCGCTGGAGTTGCTCTAAAAGGAGCCACGAACAGAATCTATAAACTAAACCAGCACACACTTAGCCAAAGCAAGCAAGTGGAGAGGCTAACTTTGTACAAAGTAAAGATAAGAACATTAGTTTGGTGGTCTAGGAAGGCCATCTGCTTCCAACACTCCCTGAACAGACGGTGGTGGCCTTTCAGCCCAACAAATTTGCGCCACCACTCTGATGCCAATACTAGCCGCTGCGTGAGCCGCTTTGTTCATACTTCGAGGAATCCAACCCTATTTGACACTTTGGAGACTGTTGGCAAGCCTTCTAATTTCCAGAATAATGGGAAGGATAGTTGTTGATACTTTTTTTCTTCTTTTTTTTGGGTCAGAATAGTTGTTTTTTTTTAATAGTCAGAATAGTTGTTGATACTTCAAAGCAGATCATGTGTTTTTGAACACATGATATGATAGTTGTTGTATATTTATTACATTCATTATATCAACTGTAATTTCATACATTTAATTGTTATTTAATACGATGAATTATGTGGTCTTTCTTCTTATTGACAATTGTATATGTGATCAATTTGGTATATAAATTCTAAAGAGTGACCTAACTTCGAAGAATTACTAGAATGCAAATAGTCAACTAGCCTAACGTTTTTTTGATAGTGAGTTCAGGTATAGTACATAGAATATGAGGTTTGTAAATTGAGCTCACTCCTAAATATCCTAATATGAGGTCTAAATAAAATTGAAGTATATTAATAACAAGCCTTGAAAGAAAATTCTGGTTAAAAAGGGGTAATTAAAGTTAAATGGGCTTGTGGTCCGGGCTTGGGCCAAGCATGGTTTGTTTTAATGTGGACTTGAGTTTGGATCAAGTTGAGCTCAATAATTTTTGTAAATGAGTTGATACGACAATACACAATTAATTAAATGGGCCGTCACGGCACGAATCAAATTACTTAATGGTATGATTTTAAACGAGTCGTGCCAACTCATCATGACCCTTTCAATACCTTTACACTTGAGCTACAACCTATTTTCCTTTATACATCCTATTTAGGGTAGCGATTTTCAAAATTGTGTTATTGAAGAAATAAATAACAGAGAGCAAACAAAACACCACCAAAAAAAAAAAAAAAAAAAAAAAAAAAAAAAAAAAAAAAAAAACCAAAAACCAAAAGTCTACTTAGAAAGAGCCCGTGAAAGCGCCCAAAAAATGGGCAAGAATCAAATGAGTAAATCCCACATTGCTCTGGGAGGGAAAGATATAGGCACTTAACTCCGTAGCAATAGTTTTTTTGGGCTAAATAGCACAAGCTTGAGCTCGTGAACAAAAGCGGGAGGGCCCAGGTTCAAAACGAACAATATCTTGCTAGTGAAGCTGGGTTGTGACAGAATGATATTAGAGTTGGATCCCGACTGATGGTACCTTGACATTATGTGTGAGAAAACACCACCTCTCCCCCAATATTGCTTGTATAAAAAAGATTTACTAAAAATAAGAATTTTTATTTTTATTATTATTATTTTGGTAGGAAGAATATTGGTATATAAGAAAAAAAGATTTAACAAAAATAATTGTATTTAGAAGCTTCCAAGTTCCAACCAGTCGTTCCATCACCTGCCACGTCAACGATCCGTGTGATCCCCCATGACAGACTCTCTCAACCGTTCCATCCTCCACTCCATAACTCCCAGCCGTCCATTCAAGAACCAAAATGGAAAAAATTATTTTATTCTTTACTTTATCCTTTTGGCTTAAATCTCGCTCTCAAATCCTTACAAGTTGCAAATTTCTGCCGAAATCTCCAACAGTTTAGAGTTTTACCATCTGAAATTTGAACAGAGGGTTTGCTGCTGCTGCTGTAGCTGAGAGTGTGGTGTGTGTGCTTACTTTGTGGGGTACTCTTTACACTCTGAGGCCTTCAAATTCAAACAGATTTTATTCTCTTTCTCTGCAACAATTTTAATGGCCACTGAAGAGGTTAATAAACCTCTATCACTCCCTCCTTACCCTGAGGTACATCTTCTCTCTCCTGCCCAAATCTCAAACTAAAATTAATTTTTTTCTCTTCACTTTGTTTTTTTTTTTTTTTTTTTTTGTTCTTTTTTTCATTATTTCTCACATTTCTAACAAATATTGGGTCTTTTTTTTCCTGCTGAATTTCTTAATATTTCATGACCTTGGATTTGAGTTTACATTTTTGGATTTTGTGTTATGAAAAAGAAGAAGACTAAGATGGAAAAAAAATAACAAAAAAAAAAATAAAAAAAAAAAGCTTGGTTCCATTTAATTTTCAAACTCCTCATCAGAAATGAACTTTTACTGATCTGAATACCTCTACCTGTTGTCCTGGTTTTTATTTATTTATTTGGGTAAATTATTGAGGAAAAATAAAAATATTGGAAATTCCTGAAAAAAGTTACCCATTTATTTCATCTAAATTCTGATTACTGTTTTAGGATTTTCCTAAAATTTCACATTGTTTCATAGATTTGGGTTCTGCTACTTTGTTCAATAATTTGATATACCAGGACCCAAAAAAAAATTCAATTTTGTTTTTTTTTTTTTTTTTTTTTTTTTTTTTTTTCTTTGCCATTGAACTGCATTATGCTGACTGAAAAGACTAATTTCTTTGGCATTAAGTTCATTCCAAATAACAATTTTCTCAATACAAAGAAAAGGGATTTTTGGTTTTGTTTTTGTTGTAAAATGTTTCAGTTGTGGTATTTCAGATGATTCTGAAGGCCATTGAAGCATTGAATGAAAAGAATGGCTCGAACAAATCCTCAATATCAAAGTTCATTGAATCAACATATGGGGATTTGCCAGCCGGCCACAATTCACTTCTCTCTCACCACCTGAACAAAATGAAAGATAGTGGGGAGCTGGTATTCTGGAAAAACAACTACACCAAGCCGGATCCTAATGCACCCCCGAGGCGGGGGCGTGGAAGGCCACCAAAACCCAAGGATTCACTGCCACCAGACGCGGTGTTGGGCCCAACAAGGCCTAGGGGCCGCCCGCCTAAGGACCCCAATGCGCCCCCAAAGCCTCCCAAGGTTAAGGTGTCTTCAGGGAGTGGGAAGCCAAGAGGGCGGCCAAGGAAGATGGCTAAGCCTACCGGAGGCTTAAGTGGCTCGGCCACGGTGACAGATACAATGCCCGGGAGGCCAAGGGGTAGGCCTCCAAAAGTGAAGGATTCGTTGAGTGCTGAAGTTAGTGTTGAGCAATAGATTTTTATTACCACTTTTAGTGTCTCTCCCCCTGTGTTTTGTAGAATTGGATGTTGTGTTGTTAGTTTAGCTGTGTCATGTCTTAACCGCTAGCTTGTAAAATGTAATGCAGTTGCTTGCGGCTCTGTTGGTTTTTCTAGTTTTTAGAGGGGATATGACATGACTGCTACTAATTATATGATTGGGATTTCATTTCATTGTTGTTGTGATCTTATAATTCTTGTGCCAAAATTTTGGCTTTTTTTTTTGGGGGGAGTCATAATTTTATGTTGCTTGGCTGTGCTTTCTGAAGGCTAATTTGGGTTATTCAATGTTTATTTGAAAGCTGGGTATTTTTATTAGGATGTTTAATGATTATGTTGGCAATGAGTAGTTTTAATATAGTTGAGTTCGGTGTCGTTTGAAAGATGGTTCAATTCAGTATCTTTTACCAAACAGAGCATCTTTTTCTTTTTCTTTTTTATACAAGTGGTATTGTGGGGAAGGGGGAATCGAAGTTAGAATCACAGTACAAAAATAAATACTTTTAACTACTTGAACGACAAGTCCTTACACAAAATATAACTCGTAAAATACGTGTTTTCTTTTACAAGGCCGTTACTTTGTGCAAAGTGGTTGCTCTGTCTTTAATATTTATGGTGCCTTAGTCTTTATCTGTTGGTGTGTCTCTTTCTTGAAGGCCCTTTTGTCCTATGGTGACTTCATGTGGGGGCTTAAAGGTGGACCGTGGAACCCTCCATATTTTGCGTTGAATGTGGTGTATAATTGATGAAGGATTTTTGTTCAAATTGTTCTGCTGTGGGGTTCAAATTCAGTTGGAAATAAATATATTTAAGGTTTCATAATGGATATCCTACTTTCAACGTTCATAACTCCCAAGGACCATTGGGTATTGGTTGTCCATTGTGATTGCTCCATTGCTGGTACCCCAGAACTCAGCCATTCAGCCACTTGGATTGAGATGTAAACTGAATATTCCTTCAACCAAAAATCTACCAAAAGTTTGATTTATTTATGAAATTATGGGTGCCTTGTATAAATTAATGATCCGATGTCCTAAGAAAATGCTAAAAGAACACAATCGTGAAGGTAAAGTAATAAAACATCCATCTCCCTTGGTAAACCTTTGTTTAACTCTGATTACCCAAAACGCAATAAAAGCAAAAGTTAAGTGCGACAGAAAATTGAACTATAAACATGAGGATAGCCTCAAATTTTCTACACATCACTACTCTATTGCATTTACATTTCATCAAATTCACCATGACTAGTGCCAGAATGCACTTACAACGTCAAAAACACATGGAAGTTCGTTCTTCATTCCGAGCTCAGCCCATGTCCTTAAATGACAAGCAGCATCATCATTTTAATTCAATCAAGAAGATTGTTTATACGGAAATACTACAGTTCTTCCACTTGCACCGTGAATCCACAATGACACCTCCTTGTCACCACCAAGTTGTCCTCATCAAAACTCTGGTTTTCTGTCAAGAATACATGCTCATGGTTTTCCGGCATGGCAGCTGATGGACCAGCCGGCCTATTTTCATGCACATCTTGCTGGCATGCAAGAGATTGCTCATCATTTGGACTACCATCAACCTGTACATCTAACTTACTGTTCACACTTTTGGTGCTAACTGATGCTACAGATGAGGAGGAATCCCCATAGAGGTTTTCTAACCTTTGCCGAGTTACAATGGAAGAGAGAAGCTGATACCACCGTGAAATAGCCTGCATTTCATTTCTTTTCTTTTCTACAGCCTCTCTTCTTTCCTCTTCCTCTGCATATGCCTAAAGAAAAAGTGGCCCAAAAACTTGGTCAAGATCTCTTGGTGAAATGTGCTGGCAATTTAATCAAGAACGGACAATTGGAAAATTCACAAACTTTGATGGACAAATAGCAATTCATCTTCAGAGTTAACAAAATAAAACACCTTCCCATTGGGAAGATTTGAGATACAATTCAGGAGCTTTGAATAATGAAAGGCACCAAATAAAACTGAATCACAAGAAAAATAAAAATTTATCAAGGTAGCTATGTAGTTTACCTCCACTATTGCATCCCTGAACTCAGCACATACTACTATACCATCAAAGACAGGATATGATTGACCATTTTTGAATTCAAAACCAACCATGGCTGGAGCATAATCAATTTCCAGCCTCTTGGCAACATAAAACACCCTTGGCAACCTCAAGTGCACAGTCCCTGGCGGAAGGCACTTCTCAGACCATACTTCCACATTACCGTGATCATTCTATGAATCAAAAATGGAATTTGTCAGTAACAAGAAGCTCCATTTTGAACTGAAGAACAACCAAACTGGCTATTACTGAAGTAGCTACTACTATTATTCATTCTCGAGCAAATGTTTAAAAAAGAGGGGGAGAGAGAGAGAGAGAGACATAGATTAAATAACAGCATTTTTAACCTCAGTAGAATGCTGAAAATATAACCTGTGCATAAATACAATTTTTTCAAATGGAAGGAAAAGCGCAGTACTAGCTTGCAGAGTGGGAAAAAAAATTGAAAATAGAAACAGAAGAAGAAAATGACACTTTATTCATAACTCATCTACACTTCCGATATGAATGAACATCCACGGAAACTTTTGAAGCAATTCACCTTTGGCACTATCCCATTAACAGCATGAGGCAGATCCAAGGGTTCAAGTTGCCACTTGCCATAAAGTTCGAGAGTTCGTTTTGAATTACCCCCAACATAATTATCAGATTCAGGGTCCTGTACTTTGTGGACTTTTGAAGAACGTTTCAACTCCTGAAGAAACGAAATGGGAGGGGAGGGAGCAAATATGTAAACAACAATGAACAGCAATAAATCGAATAGAGTTAATGCATCAAGAAGTGCTCCAAATACTATCAACCAAACCAGACCTTCACAGGATGCTCATTGATTTTAACTTGCAGCCCCTCCCGTAGCCATCTTTCTCTTGTCTTTAATGTTTGCACACATGTCCTAGGGTAAACTGGATGACCTGAACAAAAACCCACAATGGGGCCCTTCGGATGAAGTACCTGATCCTTGCTAAGCCATTTTTCAATAGCATATAGTTGATGGTTTTTATAGGCCTGTGTATGGAAGTTCAAATGATCAAGCAATGAAAAAACATGCAACTACGCAACTTACATCTTGTAATATAACAATATCAATTCACTATACCTGCTGATTAGTTGGAAGAGGCTCAGTTAATGCCTTAGTTTCCAACTCCATATCCTCGAGAGAGTTTCTGGTAGCAATCACCGCTCTGTCAGAGATGTTTAAGGATTTAGCTTGTTCATGTCCCGATGAGGATCCTGTGTGTTCTTTCTCCAAATGGACACTGCCACTTGTTGCTGTCACCTCGAAATCTCTCAATGGTGCCAATATCGCATCCCACCATATTGAATTGACTCGTTGGGATGCTATCTGATACCACTTCAGACAGTACCTGCAGGGTGACCACGTTGGTATTGAGGACGATTGAAAGTAGTAAGAACAATAACAGCAACAGCAACAATAACAATAATAATAACGACACCAACAATAGCAACGATTGGTGAGCATTTACTAATGACCTACACTATTATAAACTTCAGTCACACACAGCTTCAACCCCGATTATCGCCACGACTGGTGGGCATTTGTAATACTAATGATCTACACTATTTAACAAATAAAGGGCCTCCTACAGGATATGTTTTTTATCGGAAAAAATGTGGTTAAAAATCCAAATGGAACTAGGATCAAAATATAATTATTTTAGAAATTGTGAATTAAACAGTTGGCTGGAAATGTGACAGACCTGACTGGGATTCCAGTCAGTCAACCCCATTTCAAACTCTACAAAACCACGTTCAAAACTCCAGATAAAATGCACGAAAACGGGAGCATGAACAGCACAGGTTGAATCAAAACTAATGCACGTAAAGCATACTAAATTACATAATAGTAAGCACTGCTAAACAAGCTTTAGAACTGGAAAATAACATGATTCAGCATACATAACAAAGAAAAGAGCAACTTTAGGCAGTTCGGCCTGTTGCTTACATCCACCCTTAGTTTCCTGGTACTGCATAAATCCATTAAAATTTAAATAGGGATTATGGTAACCCGTAAAACCTTACACATTACAAATATACAGAAATTTCAACTGAAATCTTTGGGACTTCACAGCAGAAATTCACAGCGCAATCAACCAAACACTATGAACAATCTAAGCACTTCTCTAAGTGAGTCAAGTGGTGATTGTCACTGGAGAAGATTTACAAACAAAGTCACGGCGGTGATGTTGCACAATGGTAGAGAAAACATTAGAGAACTGTTCTAGGTCTTCCTCTCTGTGGAGCGAACGCAACCAAGGGGAGAAGGAAAAGAGTTTCAATCTCTGAGGAATTCTCTCTCAAATCTCGCAGGAATGAAGTTAAAAGCAGATGATCAACTGAACCGTTTAATAAAACTGCCAGCTCCAACACAAAAAGACAAGACCGTTGTTTGGAATTCATTTAAAAAAGGCACAATACACTCTGCAAGATGTGCACAAAATCCCATAGGGTGTGGCCGACTCCACAGAGAGAGTCAACTGGAGTTCAAGAGTTAAAATGGTTTAATCTGTGACTACACGAGCATAAGAAAGTATTCAAATCAATGAATAGATCTTCAAACCTTGAGGCAATCCAACACATCTCGAAGCTTCTTGATGTAACCCTGAGGAATTTCCCTCTAACAAACAATAAGAACAGTCTGTACTGCTTGTAGATTTACTTTAAATGGGTTGAATTGACAATTGATCAATCAATGAGGAAAGCATCAGATACCCATACATTGAAGAATGTTGCCCCCTCAGAATTTTCTCCCGTCTAATATGTTGTGTTGGTGTCTGAGCAGGCCATACACACACATACATTCAGGGAGAGAAGGAGACAGAGAGAGACATAGAGAAGAAGAAAGCCAGAAAAATAATACAACACGATGACCATTGGTTCTGGCGATTTATGATGTCAAATAGAAATCATGTTTAGTAAACAAAGACAAAAACAAATCAAGTACCCTCGGTCACCTTTTTCTCAGTGATACATCATAATACCCCAGGAGCCTTTTCTTTTTGCAACCATTACGGAGTGAATAGCATGGGTTCACATCCTATAGTGCGGATGTGCACAACCAGAGATGATCAGATGTTTAAAAGAAGAAAGGACGATTTTTTACATATGAACTCAAAATATCCATACCAGGCCTTTAATTTAGTCCATTTATGCATTCTGAATTGCATCAAGAAACTTGAAGCATGTCTAAGCACTACCATGGCATCTGGAATCGGTCCCAGCTCAGGAACAATGAATTTAGACAATATGCAACCCATGGTATGGACTCACACTTTTTGCAGCACGAAGCTGGTAGGAAGTTGATAGTGTGTAAAAAAGTACGCAACAATTAGATTAAAGTACCTGCATAGCATAATAGTAATGGTGAATATAGATAAAATCAAAGACAATGAAATAACCTGCGAGTCACATCTTTAGCCCCATTCCCAGCAAAAGCAACAGCATATCGCAAAGACGTTTTGCATGCTGCAGCTAGAGCTTCAACATTCTGTTCTCCATCAATAATTGCATTAATAGCATCAATATGCACCCACTTTCCAGTCAAGTTTTCCCCCTCACAGTATACTTCTGCCCAATACAAAGGAGAACCTACTTTTCTCGATCCAACTGCAGTAGAGATACTCTGGGACGAGTTTCGTGATTCTTCGCTAACAATTCTTTTCATTCTTTTTGAGTAAGAGAAGTTTTCATTACCGTTAAAGTAATTCACACCCGAACCCATTTCTCTATCTGCAGTTGGAACTGCTGTAGCAGAAAGTGCCATTTTCAACTGCATTTCAAACTCAAGATCCCCTCTCCTCTTTAATCCCTGTGATTTCTTATTAAGGACTGCTTCTGAGATATCATCATGTGCCCCACAAGCTAATGTATCTAGCATTTTATCATTCACCTCATAAGCATTACAAGGACCTTTGGGCTGAGTGTTGTTACTTGTTGGGTGGCAGTCCTTACTTCTGCATGAACCCATCTGAGAAGTTCCACAGACATTGTCTCTCTCATTACATGAAGGTGATTTACCAAGAGACACAGAGACATCCTGTTTTCTAGCCACCATTGGAGTTGAAGTACTGAATATTCCCCGACTTGATCTGTTTGCATCTTCACTAGAATATTCAGTCTTGTCAGCATCTGGTTTTAAGGAGGCAACATCCAAAATGGACACAAACCTGCCAGCAACCAACAGACAAGAGTGAAAAATATAGTATTGATACTTTGTATGAGCAAATCTAGTGCTATCAAGTCATTAACCAAAAATTTAAGATTTTTATACTTCTTAGATCATCAATATCCTCACTTCAAAATTCCAGTGTGCAAGAATACTCCTCTCTAAAGCTCAAATTATGCCTTCCTACAAAGTTTCTAGGAAATCAATAGCACTCTAAGTGATTGCTCCAGGCGATCTTCTATGTGACAAATCAGATATGAAAAGCAAAATTGAAATTTTCTATAACAATTATCAATGTTATAATGGAATGATGGGTACAAGGATATTCTGCTTCACTAAATATATCAGCTTCTTGAAATGTAAGTTATACTGACTTGACATTTTTAAAGAAGGTCATCCTCATTTCAAAAACCAACAGAACAGACAGCAATATTCTTAGAAATCTTAGGGGACTTTTTGTCGTCCAATTTTCAATGAGGAGAAGCTGAAGAAGCATGCAGAAGCTTTAAGGTGAAAGTCTTCAATAAGAATGATTTTTCTCTCTCTCTTTTTACTCCAGAAAATCACCACATTGAAATTTAGACAAAAGAAAATTATATTCAAAGCACTGGTTATCAGCAAGGACAATACAATATTCTCAGTTTTGTCATAACAGATATCATACCGGGTTGTCAGATTTAAAGCTCTAAAGAGTGCCACAGACAACGCAGCAATCTGCAACAAAAATGATATTCTTAGAGTAATACTTACAGAAAACAATGCAACCATTATAAAAAAAAATATCAGTCATAACTGTAGACTAACTTTTTTATCAGACTCCAATAGTTCATAGGTACCAGTCTACAAAAGATAATTGAATCCAAAGAAATTCAGTCAAATTTAAAAACCCTTGTGAAATGATATTAGAAAAACTGACCTCTTCTTGAGTCCCTTCATGGGTTTCAAGAGCAAAGTCAGAGCCGAATAAAATGATCTGCTCACACTTGTACTTCTAACACGGAAGTTATTTTGAAACTGCGAATTAGATGTGAACAAATCAAACAAGATAGAACAGTTGTATTCCATTAATCTACAAACAAAGTCAGGACATAATGCAGAAATAAAGTAAAATTAAAGCCATACCCAAAAGACTAGGGGACGCAAATCCTTTACAGTAGGTTTTGCAACCTTTGATATATGCAGCAAGTGTACTGGAAGAAGAGAAAGTAAAGTAGCCTGCCACATAGGTAGCTTTTAAGAATAGAAGACCGCAAACAAGGCCCAATTTTTATAATTAGTGTGATCACTGTTACGTTATGGTAAAATGAAAAACAATAATACAAGTAATAATGGACTTTTGAGATGCTCGGATTATCATGATGACAATGCCAACAATTATCATAATATACAAGAAACAATGACCTGCAGAAGAGCATCGTCACAAGCTACACATTTAATGTTAGTGGTATCTTTTATTTTCTTTGATAAATTCAACATGTAAGTTCATGTTGCAAATATTAAGATCACTATTTACCAAACCAACCTACCTGAATAAGAGCATCATCACAAGCTCTATCAATCAATCTTCCCCGTGCAAGTAAACAAAGTAAATGAACCTTATGAACAAGCTCAGCCAATTCCTGCAAGAAAACCAGAGAACTTCAAACCCTTTTGGCATTGAGTCATGACAAAAGGAAGGTAAAATGAAATAAAATGCCATGTCAAATTCCACACGAAATCTGTAATTCACCTTATCTTCGGCAGAAGCCCGACGAATACGTTTCCTTCTTGTAGAATCTGGTGTCTCATTTAATTCAATAGTCACTTCATGATCGCCCACAGAATTTAAAATGGGAACTGGGCCATCTTCCCAATCTGAGTCATCCAGTTCTTCCCTAGTCTCCGTAAAACTGCACTGAAAGCTTTCCCGATCAACTTTCTCTTCCCAAGAGAACTTTCTCTTGGCATCTTTACTACCACCCGCAGTTTCCAAAGTATTCCCTCTGACTCTTGAATCCACATCTTCTTCGTCTCTTTTTGCCCCACTCTCTGGCTGAAATACAACCAACATAAGACAACCTCCAAATTTCAAAAATTAATTTTCACATACGTGTGTGCTCATAACAAAATAAATGGGCAAACCTTTCCAATTGAATCACATTGATGCAGACTATTCTCAATTTTTTTTCTCCCAGTTTTACTGCAACGCCTCAGAAGTTTGCCCACAGCCTCCATGATACGTCAGCAAGAGTTCCTGAAATCAAGATTAAGTATTAACTTCATCAATGACACAACTTTTAAGACTCCCTAAGCAAAGCACAGTTTTAAACCAACAATAGCTTTGGTTCCACACAACTGGGGATTCCATTAAATTACTCTAAGTGGCTTCTGCTATTTGTTCCAAATAAAAACTACAACACTCACTAAACTAAGCCAAGAACTGCTGCTGAATCTGGTGAAGTGGACACTAATGTTTAATCCAATTCTACCTCACCAAGATAAATAAATATGTTCAATTTCACTTTCTCTTCAAGTTCTCAGCAACCAAACAAACAGGAATATATATGAAAACATATATGTTCCTGTTTGTTCAAATCAAGCACACTCACACAACCATTTTAATCTAAACGTTTCTTCGTTCGTCAACTAAAACATTTTTTTTTCCAAAAAACGGAAATATTTACAAGTTCAAGAATGCAACAACACAATTAAAACCCAAATTCAAGTAATGATAACCAGACAAAACAAAACCAAACAGAACCAAACAAGAAAACACAACACGACTTTCTCGGAACGTAGAAACATACCTGATGACGATTCTTTAGAACGCTTAGTCTCCTTTTTGCTTCTCATTTTTTACAGGCCCAACTGTACAGGGAGAGGATCGCGCGTAAAATAGTTAGGGTCTAATATTTTTTAAGGGTTAGGGTCTTCTTGGTTGCAGTCGGTGTTCGTAATGAAGAAGGAATAGTGTGATTTGGCGCGGTAAGCAACAAGTAGGGCTGGGAAATCTACCCGCTAAACTGAAGAACCCGACCGAACCGGCCTAGATCGGCCCTGTTCACGGTTCCAGACAGTCAAGTCTGACCGAACCAATTGACAGTTGAAAAGACAAAAAAAAAAATTCGTAAAAGTCACTTTTGGTCATTTTGTCATGCTGCTTCTTAGGCTAGTTTGGTATTGTTGTGCTGTGAAAATAAACAACTGTGAAGTTGCAGAAAAGTATTTGGTAATCTATATTTGTCAAAGTACTATGAGTATAAAAGCAGTGTCATACTATTTGGTAAATTTTTTGTAGAAGTGTTGTGATCGTGTATAATGACAATAAAGGCCCTATGATTTTTTTTAAGAAGGCTAAATTATCATAAAAAAATGAAAAATGTATAGTTTTTTCTCCCTTTTCTTTCTTTCTTCCTCTCTTTCTTCCTTCCAGGCCCCATTTTTTGTTCCTTTCTCCTTTCTTTTTCCTTCCCAGGCCCATTTCTTTTTTCTTTTTTCTTTCTCTTTTCTTCTTTCTTCTTAGGCCCCTTTTTTTTTCTTTCTTCTTCCTTCCCAGGCCCTTTACTTTTTTTCTTTTTCTTTTTTCTTTCTTTCCTCTTCTCTTCTTTCTCTTTTCTTCTTCCTTCCGAGATCCCGTTTCTTTTGGCTATCGTCATCCAAACCAACTCCTCATCCAAAATCTTCAATACAAAACTTGTATTTGTTGTGATTTCATACAAATTCTTGTTATATAGACACCTGAAGTTTTCAATCAAAACAATTCCAACACAAGCAACCCCAATCCAAAAATGCCCAAATGCAATAGTTTCATACAATTCATGTTTGTGGAGGTATATACATACGCCACAAAGTCGAGCACTGCAATTTTAGAGTCGTACACCTGCAATTTCGATTTCTCTCTCTCTAGTTCTCTATCCTTGTCTCTCTCTCCCTTCTGATTGTTGAAGAATACACGAGTCCCACATCGGAAACTTAACAAAATAGAAAGTCTCATATAATAAATGGTTTCACTCCTCATAACATCAAGACATTTTGTATAAAGGGAAACTCCACACCTGCTAAACATGTGATTAAGTTGGGGACAATATCGATGTTGCTAATGGTGGGCCAAGGGTCCGTCCCTCTGAAAGCTTGACACTGATCTCTCTTTATTTTCCCCTTCAAAGCCCCTTTTTCTCTCGACCCACCCCCTCCTTTCTTCTCCCTTCTTCGTCCCCATTCCCTGAAACTCCTTTGCTCTTTTAGCTTGAGCAAGTTTAGGGCTTCTATGATACAAGCCACCCATCTCCCACTTGCCAACCCATCTCTTACCCTAAGAAATTCCCACCTTCTCACCATGCCAAACGCTTTGACGACCTCTAAAACCCCAAACCAAAACAAACCCACTTGTTGTTTATGCCCAAAATCAAATTCTACCAATAATATGAACTATTTTGAGGGAAGAGGAAGATATATGTGTTAACATTAATAATGAGTAGAGAACACCTTCTTCAAAGAGAAACATAGATGTAGATTTCATCTAATCTTTCACAGAGTAGCAAACAAATTTTTAAAGAATCACAACACTTTTTTGGAAGAATTTCTAAAACTTTTCTTTCTGAGAATCGACCTCAGGAAGCTTTAAAAATGGAGATGGAGGAGGTGTGAATTCTGGGGGAGTGGAAATTATGGCAATAACATGTAATTTTTTAAAAACATATGAGGGCAATATAGGGATTATGAAAGTTTCATTAAAAGCTCCGCATGCTTCAAAAAGAAGCAAATTTTAAAAGCACATCGCCACCTGCTTCTCAAATCTACTGCCACTGACCCGTAATTTTGAAAAAAAACGGCTTTCACTTGTTTTACTAAACACCTAAAGTTAGAACATTTTAAAAATAAGCTACTTTTTTTTAAAGCACAGTAACCCCCAAACTAAGCCTTATATTTATTATATGTTTTAAGAGACGGTCTTATCATTTAAGCGAGAAAGTACTGTTTTTTTTCTATTGTTTACTTACTTATTGACCCATTATTATTCGTTCACCAAAAATAAAAAGGCAAATTATTATCACGACATTCTTGACTGATACCATTAATCATAGCTCTAACAGGAAATCACTTTCTTCTTTGGTCCAAAGTTCATAATTATTGGAACTTTTGCCTTTTCCTTTGTCATTTCCTTGTCGTGAATCCTTCATTTTACTACATCATACATGTAAGAAAAACTTCTTTTACTACTATATCATATATCACACATATTTCTCACAACTTTACATCAAACATGTAAACAAGTAAACGACAACGATGATACAGCCAAATAAGCACATGAGAAAAGGCCATTAGGACAAATTCATACTTGCGAAAAAGAAAGTCCTAAATTTTAGTGATGTGTAGTTACCTGGATGCTCTTTTTTTTTTTTTTTTTTTTTTTTTTTTTTTTTTTTTGGAGAAAGAGAATTCATAGAACCAAAGACGTACTAAAATGACATGATACAATGGCCTCGTTAAAACCTTCCTAGGAGAACCTCATGGGACAAATCCCAGTGGAGGAAAAAGTATCACATGTCATGGACTAACAGAGAGTCCAATTCAGGTCACTTTGGACCATTATAATAAAAGGACAAATCAAAAATGAAAACTACACATAGACCTCCGACAAGAGCCGCAACTATAGGCCAACACAGTAGACCCACATGAGAGGACAACAAAACATCCCAATTGTCAAAATAAGCCTTTTATGAGCAAAATAATAATCCTTTGACACCCACACAAACTGCAAGGCATACCATAGCAGAAATCAAGAGAGAACACGCAAGAGGAATACATAAACAACAGTAAAAGAACCTATGAGAACACTCCACTTCAACTTAGAACCGAACAAGAAAACCTCCTATGACCAAGCATAGTTCTTCGGTCGGCGTAGAGTAAAGAAAAGGACCACATCCCAACAACTACCACTAGTGTAGTTGCTGCAGCTGACATTGAAACAGAGACAAACATCAGCCATCAGTATCATAACTCTTTAGGGGAGAGACACAATCCAACGTCACCATATAAACAACAATAAAAGCACCCCTGGGAAGCACTCAACTTCAACTCAGAACTGGATAAAAAAAACCTTTTATGACCAAGCATAGTTTTTTGGTTAGCGCAGAGTAAAGAAGAGCACCACATCCCAACAACTACCATCATCGTCGCTGTTGCCGTCAATTTTGAAACAAAGACAAAACATTAGCCACCAGGCATCACAACTCTCCCGATGAGGAGAGACATAATACAGCATCACTACTGTCGTCACTGTCGAGACAAAGACCAACACTAACCACATAGAACACTGCAAAAACAATCAAACAAAACAAACAAACAGACAGACCCATATCCAAATAGATCTAGACTATCTGGGGAGGAGAATTGGGGATAAGAGGAAGGGAAAATATGAGAGAAAAGAAGGGGAGATGAGGAGGAAAAGGGGAAGATGAGCAGAGGAGAGGAGGGGCAGTGGCCACCTCCCCCCTTAGCTTTCTTGTGGTTGGTTGTCGGCAAGGAGAAAGTGGACCAAAGTGCAGCTAGGGTTTGTTTAGAGACCTTGTTATATCTTGTCTGTACTAATTACTTGGATACTTATGAGCAATAAAGTATGTTTCAATCTTCTTTTAATGATACACCAATCTGAGCAGACAAAAGTAAAGATTAGACTTTTATTAATATGTAATAAATACCATTACATATATAACTTGATAAACTTCAGCCAAAAGAAATATACAACTTGATAAATTCATATAGTTCATTACATGCAAGTCAAATTATCAAAAGCCAAAAAAAAATTCATATATGCTTGTAATTAAGCATTAATCAATGTCTCTAATTTTTTTAAAGGAGTTTTAGCAGCTGACAACAAGAGAACTGAGGGTGTGGGCGTGGGTATAATCAAATTACAAAGGCTTAATTTGAATCATTTATCTATAATAACATAAGGGGGATATAATTTTTGTATTAAACCAAAGTGTGGCTAGTGCCAACTGTAATTTTTTTGTCATTCAAAAAAATTGGATTGACTTCAAATGTTTATGGATATTTTACTCTCTATATTGATATGGGATGCGTATACAAGGTCTTCAAACTAATCAAAAATTTCACAACCGCATGAATGGCTGACTTTGTAGTTAGCCAATAGAAAGATACAAAATGGGCTTTCCCCATTCAACTCCAAGAGATCAATTTCTCTTGAAACTAATGAATTACATATATGGCTAGATGATATACGAAAAGTGTGCATCTTGATTTATATGCAAACCTTGATTATTTTTCATGTTCTAGAGGCCCTCCTTGGGTTTTTATGAAAATTGCTAGACGAGTGAGTTCATATTTGGGTTTTATTGGTTTTTTTTCTTTATCTATTCCACACTTTTTATTAATTGATAAATTGGAAGAGTGAAAAGATGTATAAAATAAAAACGTATGTATGCAGACTTGTGCCCATAGCAAAGCAACATAGATAATACAAATAGTGACACACAAAAATGGTATGATAGCATATATGAGAACAAGCATGTGAAGAGATAATAACCATCAAGAAGATGAGAAGCAGTAACCTTGTTTATCTTCTCAAGTGTCTGTTCATCTTCTCCTAAAACAAAACCAACGTAAGAATCATACATAATAGAGTAAGTTTTTTTATGGAGTTTGGTATTTATATCACCCATTCAAAAGTCTCACACAATACATCATTTAATGAAATACCTCAAAATCGGTAAGTTTTTTAATACCACCGTATTTTTTCTTATCTTTTAAAAGTCATAATTGAATACCATCGGACTTGTATTGATGATTTTAAAATCCTAATTGAATACCATCAGATTTTTATTGATTACTTAAAAATCATAATTGAATACCACTAGACTTTTAAGCTTTAAAAAAATTTACCAAGATCCTAATTGAATACACCACCTTGTCTTTTCGGTCTATGTAGTCTTGTTCTCTTGGACCCTTGTGGTCCAAGAGACTTGTGGTCACTCACCCTTGGATCTAATCTAAGGGTTCATAAAAAATTAGTTTAAAATTTCTTTTAATTTAACTTGAAAAAAAAAGTTCAAAACCAAAAACATTTCAGAGTAAAACACGTTCTAACCCCAAAATGTTTGAAAGTGTTCTTCTTCCTCCCATGGCTCAAGGTCATAGCACCTCCGACTCCAACGTTTAGAGCAAAAATCCAAAGACACCCAATCCCTCGCACTTCAACACGATTGAACTTTGAGGCTCCCACAACCAAGCTAAGTTTCTTGCTCTTCTTCACTTTTGCACTCAATTTTCTACCATGTGCATATGCATCAATTATCAAATATGAATTTTAATCTTATGTTATTGCAACTAAGTTGTTTGTCACCGATAACATGTTGAGCAAGAAGCAGTCTCAAGTGTTGAACAAGAACATGTTCAGAGATTTGGAGGTTTTTTTATTTTTGACTGTGATTTTGAGTTTTTTTTTTTTTTTTTTTTTTTTTTTTTTTTTTTTTTGTGGTTTTTGTGTTTTTAAGTTAAATTAAAATTTATGTAATATAGTAGTAAACAAAATTTAAAACTATTTCTTTCCTTTTATTAGGAATTCCAAGGGTGGGTGACCCACAGGGAAACGAGACGGGTGGTTTCAATTTAGGAGAAAATCGCCGAAATACCCCCTGAATTCGTACCTCAATCGAACTTAACCCCCTAAACTAAAAAAATCAACCAATTTACCCCATTGACAAATTTATATCGCCAATTTAGCACTTGCCATTAGATTTTGTGAGATTTCATCCAATCTGTTGTCAAACCCAACCAAGGGTGAGATATTTTGAAGGCTATTTCGTCCTTTTACACCCATTCCCTCCTTAACCACACCCATCTTATTGCAATGGTGCAAAATATAAAAGATAGAAGTCCTAAATGTGTTCAACTCTATTTCACACTTTCATAGGGAACCCATTTATAACAGTTGAGGTTCTATGTGTGTTCTAGAGAGAAGAAGAAGAAGAAGAAGAAGCGGCAAAGGAACATACCTGGAGTAGATGTTTCAGTCGAGGCCAAGTCGAGCATGTGGATTAGAGAGAAGGAAATTGTGTGAATATGAAGGTGTAGAATTGAGGCCGAAATGAAGATATGTTGGAGCGATGATAATCCAGGGAGGAGGTTCTATGCGTGTTCTAGAGAGAAGTTTGGTGGTGGGTGTGGTTGGAAAGATTGAAAATACCCAAAATTTTATGATGAGTATTCACATGTAATTTTGAAACTATTAAGTAGAATAAAGCAGTTGGAAGAAGAGAAAGCCAGAAAGAAAAAGGTTGTTCAAGACATGAGAGCAAGAGAAAAGAAGGCTATAGAAGAGATCAGACAGAGAGATATAAATTTTCGCAATAACATGTGTGTTCGGTTGATTTTAATGTTAGGGTTTGTATTGTTTGGTTCTTATCGGGTTTTATACATTTTCACAACTGCGATGGCTAGTTTAGGGTCATTTCAAGTGCATTTGAACTAAATATCTATTAAAAACTTTTGTGCTAAATTGTATCAAGTATAACCGAAAGATGATATTTCATTCCAATTCAAATAGAGTAAACTGATAATGTATCAGTTTAATTTCTTGTTCACATGACAAGTTCCCAATTCAAATACAATTTTACTTCCCAAAATATTAACTTCCCAAAGTTCTAACTTCCAAAATACTGAGAACTACAGTTTTACTACCCAAAATACCAAGCTTAACAAAAAAAAAAATCCCAAAATACAAACCTCAACCATAAAATTCCCATAGATTCTTCTTATACCCTCCAAGGCTTTGCTTTGTTGGCAAGGAATTTGAACCTCCTATGAGGCACTTGACTTGATTGACCAGTTTGTGAACCTCAATGCTTTGACCACATTGTGGACCTCCATGTGATTCAGCAATTTGACTAGACTGAGACCTTACTCTTTTGGCAGGCGATTTGTGAAGGGAAACATATATCTTTTTCTTGAAAATGAATTTAGCCATAACATATAACACAAAAATATTCATAATGACATATTAATTTTGTTAATTCTAGTTGAGTTAAGCCTTTTCATTTAACCCAAGCATCTTATGACATAGTCTCTTCGAACACAAAATAGAAATGGAGAAAGGAATAGAATTTTACCCTAGATGACTATTTCTTGAACAAGCCAAAAATGATCACCTTTGTAGGAAAATGCCTTCTTTTCTTTCTTTTCTCACAAGCTCCTCAACCCAAGACTCCAAAAGTGAAGCCATCTACCTCAGAAGAAGGAGGATGTCTCACCTACACATCAAATCACAAGAATGGAATGCCAAAAACTAATTAGGTTTTGAGACAAGTTTTTTTTTTAGTCAACAGACAAGTTTAGCTTTTATAGGAAAAAGCAAACAAAATGGGAGAGAGAAAATCTCTCCCTTATGGCCGGCCACTAGAGGGAATGAGTTTCACTTGGGTCCTTGGACTTTTGTGTTGCCATACAACACTTATCCTTGGGCCCAATTTCCTTTTGGGTATATTTAAAACTCCAATCCATTTATTTATATCAAGTTAATTCCATAATTAACTCTTATGATTTAACTCTTAAATCACTATTATAGTCTTACTAATTTGACTTGATCAAACTATTTGAATCAGTCAATTGCTTCAATCAAACATGTTGACTTTAACCTTTGACTTTTGACTCCTACTTTCTTTTCTCTTCACTTGTTCCTATCATTTTTCGGTGTGCGATCCATAGGTTCCTTTTAGCAAGTTAGTGGGTTGACTAAACTCATCTGAGTTGACTTGTGAATTAAATATCATTATTTAATTCTTCCTATTAGCGAATGTCAATTATGATTGAACCTTTCAGGACTTCCACAAACCATGATTGACGCCTAGCAACATGTTATGGTTATCCGAGGTAAATAAGGTGTAGGGAAGAACCTATTCAAATTTGAATGATCGTGCAATTGAATCATTCTCTTATACAATACTCCTTATTCACCTTATTTGATAAAGGAATCTAATGTCAAATATCATAATGTGAATTATTCCTTTTATATGATTATCTTGATAAGATTTGAAGACCTCTTCTTTCATATCTTATCACTACTTTGTGCAAAGATTTGATTGATAATATTTTTGGAGTATTCTCTCTTTTTACTAAGAGTAGAGATCTTTTATTGTACATTCATTTCTCTCCATGACTTTATTAAAAGTCTTGATAAATACCTTTGAGTCATGTCTTCTTCAACACAACTGTATAGTGCTCTCAAAGATAAACAACATAGCCACAAGATATATATGATGTCTCAGGTCTAAGGATTAGTTTGCACCATTGCAATTTATGAGTTCCAATTTGATATGCGAGTAAACACTTCCATTCTAGAACTCATGTATTGGATCACGTTCAGTATACTCGTTCTCTTACAAGCATTTACATACATATCTTGGTGTCATCACACTCAATGACTTGAGACCTTGTCATTCTTTACATATAGAGAAGATACTGCGTGTAATAGTCTTTGCGGAATATCACGCCCAATTGATACTCTTATGACCACGGACATATTTAGGATTAGGGATCATGGTAAGTCTCCATGTATGCAATCTCATTACATAGTTCTTATGTCCACTTATATATATTCTTAGGACTATAGTTGTTTTGTATTTCATAAGATAACATAATCATGAAGCCACCTTTGTCAGTAGATTTGCTACGTTGTCTTCTAAAACCACCTTAAGTACGCTAATTTCATCTTCAGCAACATATTCCCTGATTATGTGAAAGTGCCTCTGAATGTGTTTGGATCTTTGATGAGACCTTGGTTCCTTGGCTTGTGCTATAGCCCCATTGTTGTCATAGAATAAAATAATTGGTGACTTAATGCCTCCAAGTTCAGTAATGAACTTCTTCATCTAAATAGCTTCATTTGCTGCCTCTGATGTAGCTATATACTCTACTTCAGTTATGGAGTCCGTAGTAGTGCTCTACGACAACATCTCCAACTGATTGCCCTTCCGTTCAATATAAACACATATCCAAAAGTGGAGTTCCGGTCATCAACATCATATTCAAAAACTAAGTCTATGTATCATTCCACTAGTAATTCTGGGCTCCCTCTATAGACTAGGAACATATCCTTGGTCCTTCTCAGGTACTTCAACGCAGCCTTCACAACATTCCAATGTTCTAATCCTGGGTTTGATTTATACATGCATGTGATGCTCACAACATAGCTGATATCATGCCTCGTGCACATCGTGGCATATATTAGACTCCCAATTGCATAGGCATATGGGATGTTGCTTATTTGCTTCACTTCCTCAGGGGTTTTAGGATTCATACTCTTAGACAGGTGGATACCATGTCTAACATGTAGGAAACCATTATTAGATTGTTCCATACAAAGCTTCTAAGCACTTTATCTACATACATGGATTGAGATAATCCAATTAGTTTCCTCAATCTATCTCTATAGATCTTGATACCCAGTATGTAAGATGCATTACCCAGATCTTTCATTGAGAAGGTTTTCGATAACCATAGTTTTACCAAGGTTAACATGCCTATGTCATATGCATATAGTACGAGAAAAACAACAATGCTCCTACTAGCCTTCTTATATACACAAGGTTCATCTTCATTTTGATTAAAACTAAAGTATTGACTGCTTCATCAAAATAATATTCCAACTTCTTGAAGCATGCTTCAATCCATAGATTGCCCTTTGAAGCTTGCATACTTTTCCTTCTTCATTTTCTGATATGAAGCCTTCAGGTTGTTTCATATAGAACTATTCCTGAATGTGGCCATTCAAAAAAAGTCGTCTTCACATCCATCTGTCATAATATGCTGCTATGGCGAGAAGTATGCGGATGGATTTTATCATTGCTACTAAAGAGAAAGTTTTTTCATAGTCAATCTCTTCTCTTTGTCTATAGCTTTTAGCTACTAATCTAGCTTTGTAGGTTTCCACCTTGCCATCGAAGCCCTTCTTCCTCTTGAAGATCCATTTGTTTTCTTTTGGTACAATACCTTCATGAAGGTGATGACGGAGAGAAATCAAGGCTTTCGAGTGATCCTACAAGGATGCCTGATATCCTTCCTTGATGATGTTTTCAATGTCCATTGCATTCAAATGAATTTTAGCATCGAGGATTCAAATCAATTAGTTCTTTCCAGATATGTCAAGAGGAATGAACTCAAGCTTCATGAGATTTGACATTGTTGGATACCTCTAAAATATAAAATCAAATATTTCAGAATTATTTAATTGTAAACATGAAAATTAAAATATGCCTCAATAATAAAAGGTGATCACATTACTAAACATATGTTAAAGGTTTGAGTTTTATAAATTCAAGGCTTCGGGCTCCAAAATCATCTTATAACTTAGAAATTTTTGTTCTAGATTTATTGGATTTCTTTGATTTAAAACTTCAATTTTAATCATTAGGCTGTGGACTGTTAAGTTACCATTTCTCTCTGGAATAGAATTGGTGGTGGCGGTCCCACTCCTTGTTATTCACTCATGGAGTTTGATGACTGGCTTCTTTTGAATCTTCAATAAAAAAAGAGTACAGATCATGGCCTGCCTTGGTACTTAGTCTTTTCGATTTATCTATGGTATATCTGGAAATGGAGATGCAAGCAGATTTTTAAGCAAGGGTTTATTATACCTCCTGAGCCTTTGCAACTAGTTGACCAGTATGCATTGGATTGGTACAATGCTTGTAAAACAATTGTAGGCACTCCAGACCACACTGTGTTTCAGCTCCAATGGAAAACTCCCAGACCTGGTGCATGTAAAGTTAACTCAGATGGAAGTAGAATCAATGCCACTTGTCTTAGTGGTGCTGGGGGTTTATTACGAGATGCTACTGGTGCTTGGATCCAAGGCTTTATTGTGAATCTAGGTGCAAGTACAATCCTTGAGGCTGAATTATGGGGTATCTTTTGGGGACTTAGTTTGGCTTGGGACGCTGGCTATCATGATGTGGAGATTGAATGTGACTATAATGTTACTATAGCTCTATTATCTTCTCATACGGTTCCAACTTACCCTTTGTACAACATCATTTCCTGTTGTAAAATGAAGATCCATGAACCCTGGTGTTGTGCAATTAAGCATATCTACCGTGAACAAAATGTAGTCGCAGATGCTTTGGTTGCCAGAAGTTATAATCTTGGCCCTGGGCTCCATGTCTATGATGAGGTGTATGACTTCCTTGAAGATATACTTGCTGCAGATGTCAGGAGCGTTGTGAGGCCTCGTGCTATTATTCTGTAATTGTTTGGCTTTGGGCTTTTCGCCCCTTACTTACCAAAAAATAAAAATAAATAAAAGGATATGAATGGGATCCTCTCTCGTTTTTTCCGAGGTGAGCTTTTGATGACTAGGATCTGTACTTCTCCAGCAGCTAGGGTTTCGTCTTCTATTTGTCAGCTCCATCTCTATTTGTACTCTCTGATCGTATCTTGGTCTTCCTCCTGGTGTGTTGGGTCTGGTGGTGTTCTCTAGGTTGTTATATACGATAAGGGCTACATTGGTTTGGGTTTTCTAAATGGTTTTCGCTTGGTTTTCTTGTTGTCTTTGGATCTCATCGTCTCTTTCTCCTGAGATCCACGTGTGCTCTATCATGAATATGTCGAATCGTGGTGGGAATATAGCCCTTCATGTTATTGAGTGTTCTTTTGGGAGTCATTTGGTGCTTACGAATAAGGAAAAATTTGGAGCTATATTTGGCAATTCGGTTGTCCCAAACCAACATGGGTGACACGACCTATCTATCTAGATAGTCGGCCCCTCCTAATCCACATGTGTAAGATATAGGGCTTCTGCCTATGGCCTTGACGCAAAAGGTGACTTTTGCAGGGTTATGGCGTGGCGCGGACAATGTTTCTGTTAAAAAAATTGTGCCGCGTAGTATCTGGTTAATGGGTGCCATTTATGTACCTATTTGTATAGGTTCATTTGATTTTTCAATGAAAGGGATTGCAGATCAAGGTGGTGATGGAGTCCTTACTATTCTTGAGCAATTTTTTGGGTGACTCCTTGTGCTCACAGATTCTTCTAGTGAGCGTAGAATTTGCATCACAGGTTTTGTTGATAAGGTGACAGAGATCGGCCTGAAGGGGTCTCCTAGGTCTTCTTGATGTGTTCGCTGGAACGTTTGTGGGCTTGACATTAAATAAACGTTCCTACTCTAATGATCTTCTATTGGAAGTTCGTCATGCTAAGGGGCAAATCTTGATCCCCCTTGCCTTATTGGTTAGGGGTACGCGTTAAGAGACAAGAAGATGGTGCGTTGGTACTTTTATTGACTATAGTCTAACTCTCACAACACATTTACTGTTCAAAGAACTATGCAAGCATAGAAGGTCATCTTTGACAGTATTACGTTGTGGTGAGATGTTTCTTTACTGGGCTTCTAGTTGTGCTTTGTTTGTCTGGTTTGGTGGAGATGGCTTTTAGTGCTCCTGTTGGTTCTGTTTTTGGCACTCATGACACTTTTGACAATGTACAAAGAATTATGTGAGCATAGAATGTCTTCTTTAGTAGTATTACGTTGTGGTGTGATGTTTCTTTACTGGGCTTGTAGTTGTGCTTTGTTTGTTTGGTTTGGTGAAAATGGTTTTTAGTGCTCCTGCTGGTTCTGTTATTTTAAAAAATTTGCCAATAGCAATATATTATTTTAAGAACATTGCTTGGCTTCTTAAAATTGAGGAGGAGTCCTCACAACAATTGGCATTTTTATACTTGTTTAATATAGAGTGTCAAAAGAAAAAAAAAGTTAAAAATATTTAAATAAATTTAATGTATCAAAACTCCATTTGTTTTGAGGAGTTGCTCCTCCTCAACTTCTATTTTTTTTAAGCAAGAAATATATACTAGCCTCTCCATACGTGCTTTCGTGCTTGCGAATGGCTTTTTTTAAATTAAAAATAAATAAATAAATTTTATAATTAAAAAAGATAATGGGTAGTTGTGTTTGATAAAAATAGGATTCATTATCTTATTTTTGTTTTAATTTTAATTTTTTTAATATTAAAAAGTGTGAATTTACCATATTATCCTCATTTAATTAATAATTTCAATTCTTAATATTTGCATTAATCAATGACTTTTTTTTTGTATTTTGAATGTTCCACCATTATGCCTTTTGTTTTATATATAGATATAGATTACCTATATATATAAAGCAAAATATAGAGAATTGTGAAACATTCAAAATACCATAAAATGCCCTTGGTTAGTACAAACATTCAGAATTGAAATTATTAATTAAATAAGGATAATATGGTAAATTCACAGTTTTTATATTAATAAAAATTAAAATTAAAAGAAAAATTAGATAATGGATCCTATTTTTATGGAACACAACTATCCATCATCTTTTTTAATTCTAAAATAAATTTAATTTTTTTTATAAAAAAAAAGCATCACGCATGTGCGGAAGTACATGCGGAGAAGCTAGTATTTTTAAATTTAGAAGATTGAATTCTATTATTGTAACAAGTTCAACTTTGATTGATAGACCAAAAAAGTAGGGAGTTTCACTAAAACACCCAAAATGGGGGCTGAAATTATAAAAAAACCTAACACCCAAAACACTTTATAAACACACCAAAAACCCATCATTACATACACTCAAAACCCATTTATAAACACACCCAAAAAATATACAATTGTTGATTTTGGGTATGTTTCTATGTTTAAATAGTGCTTAGATTTTTTTATAAATACATATTTAAGATTGAGTTTATTTATAAATTTGTAAAAAAGGTAGATCAACATTGATTGGTGTCTCAAAGACTCCCCCAACCGCCCATACATGTAATGTTGTAACAACGTTAACTCCTAAAAAAAGAGTAAAATACTTCAATCGAAAAAAAGATAATTAGAAAAAGCAAAAAAAAGGGTAAATCCCAAACCGCCCTCCCCGAAACGAACCACAGCGACCCTCAATTATATTCAGAAACCCTAAAACCTTTCTCTCCGTTGTAACCCACTCCTCTGCGTCCCCATCTCATCCCTACTTTCCACAGGCACCAAATCTCTCTTTCTCTCACGCCTCTCTTTGTGATCGTTGTCTCAGTTCCTCGAACGCTTCTTTAATCGTCTCCTGGTATTTTCCTGTTCCCCTCTCTCTCTCTCTATGATCTAATTCTTTGTTGCTGTACACCTTTTAGGGCTTCTGATTTGAAATCCTTTGTAGATTTGTTGTTACTCGGTGTTTTCCGCCAATTAAAAGTAGTTATCTTTCTTTCTGTTCTTTGATTTCTAGTCGATGCGAAAAGATCGCGTTGATTTTAGGTTTTTGGCGATCTGATTCGCCCACTTTTTGATCTGAATCATTATTTGTTCTTGTAACTTGTTTTCTGGTTTGATTTTCTTTACATTCAACTGTTTCTATCTTTCTTTTGGTTTCAAGATGGGGTTGTATTGTATATGTTCGTTCTCTAAACAATGAAATTGTTGCTCTTGGAAACAAATAAGTCTGATAAAGTTGATTTACAAAGCGATATGAGTAATTTTTAAGTGTTTGTTTGCCAATCTTAACCGAGTTGGGGTTATCGTTATTGATATTTTTTTGTTTAATTTTGTTTTGTAATTTCAGGTCTAGATCTCCATTTTAGCAGAAGGATTTCACTTGTCTCTCGTTTGGATGTCTACTGCTTTGGATATGTCGCTTGATGACATGATTAAGAACAGCAGGGGTAATCGTGAGAGAACTAGAGGGGGTAGGGCCCCTCGTGGCCGTGGTGGACCACGTGGGTCCTTTAATGCTGGAAGGATGGCAGCTGGAAGAATTCCAGGTGGAAGAATGACAGGAGCAGTTCGTAGAGGTCCAATCCCAGTGAATACTCGGCCATCCTCGTATACCATTGCCAAGGCAAGCTCAAAAATGTAGATGTTTTATGATATGCTTGAGAATATGATTTTAAAACCCAAAATACACGAGGATCTCTAAAACGTTTAGAAAGTCAAATACGAGAGGATCTGTGACGTATGTTGTTCATGGAGAAGCTCATTTTGGCTTTTGGCTCATCTTCTAAAGCGCTATCGTCGTCCACTGCATATGTACCATTATCTTCGAGATTTATCTGTACTTGTGGGTTAGTTGGGTTAATTTCTGGGGACTTTGAGGAATGGCGAATTATCTTGTTATCTATTCATGAGCTGACATTTGTTTTCCCCATCTGGATCTTTTTCTGCATTCTTTCATCAGTCTACCCGCCGAACCAAGCGTTTCCCATGGCAACCTGATTTGTTTGAAGACAGCATTAGAGCTGCGGGGATATCAGGGATTGAAATTGGCACAAAGTTATATGTTTCCAACTTGGACTATGGAGTGACAAATGAGGATATAAGGGTACAACTTGAGCCATTTATTTTCATCTTAAGCGCTTTCTATAACAAATTTCTTGTAACGTTCCCCTGAAACATCACGTGAAACTGCAACTCAGGAACTTTTCTCTGAGATCGGAGAGCTGAAACGATATGCAGTACATTTTGACAAAAATGGCCGTCCAAGTGTGAGTTCTTCTCCTCCTTATCTAGACTTTGTCCCTCATTTTATTTTCTATCCGGATTTGTTGTTCTGCTTATATTTGGCACTGATCCTCAGTTAAAATCCTGATACTGGTTGTGTATGGTCTAGAAATGAGTTAAAGAATTGGAATTAGATGAAATCATGAAGGAAGCATTGTTATCTAGACTTTGTCCCTCATTTTATTTTCTATCCTGATTTGTTGTTCTGGTTTTATTTGGCACTGATCCTCAGTTAAAATCCTGATATTGGTTGTAAAGTCTAGAAATGAGTCAAAGAATTGGAACTAGATGAAATCATGAAGGAAGCATTGTTAAAGGATTTATTTTTTGTTATTATATCTGGCTTAAATTCAGTATCCCATCAAAACATTCTGATGTTTATATCTAACTATATATGCCAAAAAGGCAGAAAGAGCATGTTGTCCAAATTGGTTGGTGCTTCATGACAAACCACCCTCTGCTTACTACACACCAAAGCCTGTGACTGTGACTACACCGAGATATACCAAATAAGGAGAATATTATACTCCATAATAATGTGCTGGGCATGATTCAACTATGTTCAATCCTTATGAAAATACCATGTTCAGAAGTACAAGTAGACATTTTATAATGCATATATACGTGTTAAAATTCTCTTACAAGTTTTCAATCCAGATTGAGGTCCAACAAAGAACTTGATAAATCAAAGCTTTTAATTTGTTCTTTATATTTATTTGCACATTTTACACTTTTTTTAAGAGGCATTGTCTCCGTGGTTGTCCATTAGCAGTTTGATGTATAGAACTGGCTTTCGGACTCGAACCTTCTGCAAAAAGCCAGTTTAGGTTTTATCTTCCTCTGTTGTTTGACCTTGGTGTGTATTTAGAAATAGTTTATTTATGTTTAACTCCTGACATGAGCAGTCCATTAAGGATTGTTGAATTTGGGTATGTCCAGGACCCTAAGTTATATGTAATCCCTTAGGCCTAGCCGCAGAATTATTGGATGTATACTGTTGCTCTTCTTGATACTATTCAATAGACACATTACTTTGGTGGTCAATTTCATTGAGGGAAAGATGTTTGCTGTTTTTATCACAGGGTTCTGCTGAAGTGGTTTATACTAGAAGAAGTGATGCATTTGCAGCATTGAAGCGGTATAATAATGTCCTATTGGATGGGAAGCCTATGAAGATTGAGATTGTTGGTGCCAATGCAGGGATGCCTATTTCGGCTCGTGTGAATGTGACAGGAGCGCATGGAAGGAAGAAAAGGACTGTTGTAATGACGTATGTTTTTTTCCCCGTTCACACTCCATTTCTTTCATATTTATTAAGCAACTGACACTGCAATTATAGGCATGTATCATGTTATGCATAAACCCAAAGACCATTTATGTGCCATAACAGTCGTAGTTCATCCTTGAGATTATGGATTTTTAGTTTTGGAGTCTTTTCTTGCTGGACATAAGCCTGTTTACACGGACGCTTTTAATGATTAAATTACAATATGGATGTATGAATATGCTTGCAGCTTGTGGTTAAAGGATATGGGGAGATGTTGAAGATAGCCTTGAATAATCACATATTGCTTCAGTTTCTACCAAATATTTTTTTTTTTTTGGGAATTGTGGACAATGTTCATCTCCCATTTATGTTATCTGGTATCCAATGAACACCCCTAATAACATTCTAGTTTGTTATTTTCTATTAGATCTTTTGGTTAAATATGAATTTTCCTGACCAATTTTTCTTTTCTTGGTCTAACTTACTAGTGATGCATTCCATTATAAGATCAGTATGTTTGTTGTCCCCTTGTGGGGAGAGGTTCTTTCCGAAGTCCTAGGTTATCCATCTTTCCTTTTTTGTGAAAATTGTGGGTGGGGAGTTGGGTAGATGTTTGGGTGGGGGTGTTATCTTTCCAACTTCTATTTCCTTCCTCATATAGTCTCCTCAAACTTAAATGCAGGCACCTTGTCCTCAGTTTCATAGAAACTTGAATGATGGATAATTCCCGGAATATGCATACTTGTTCTCCCTTCTAAGTGATATTTCGTTGCATCCAAATTGGGTAGATAAAGAGCCATTCTTCTGGCTCCACTTTGTTTTTTTTATTTATCTATTTTGAATTTTTTATACTTCAATTGGCCATCAGTCAATTGATTCCTCTCCACTTAAGTTGATTTAATAGGTCGGTCCCGATTTCAGCCAAGGTGCAAATTCTTTCTTGGTTGGTGGTTCACGGAAGGATAAATACCTGTGACATGTTCCAGAAAAGACGACCTGTGGCATGTTCATTTTCACATTGTTGTGTGTTGTGTAAGGAGGGGGAGCATGTGGGCCATTTATTCTTGCATTGCAGATTCACTTGACTTATCTGGAATCGGTTTTTACAGGGCTTTGGTTGGGTGGAGGGTGTGCCCAAGAAACTGCAATTTTGTACTGAGGCTTTACTGGTTTATGGTGGTTCGACTGTTTTAGGTGTTTTGTCTGGGTTTTCATGTTATAGCTGTTGTTTGAGGTGTCTGATGAACTGCTATTATGTAGGCCATTTTATTTTGTCTTAAAACACTTCATGTTTCATATTAAAAAACATGTTGCTTGTCTCCTTATAATCCTTTGTTTGCCTTCCTAGAGCACACTTACTAAGTCATCAGTTCACAACAGTTTCTTATACTCCATAATTTGTAGGCTCTTTGTATGTGCGGTGCCAGTATTGTTTGGATGACAAAAAAATAAATATCTTTATCATTTTTTGTATTCCACTCACACATCTTTTAATGTAGGCCTGGACCTGGTCGTGGTGGTGGCTATGCTTTGCCTATGGTTAATCGTGGTTCTGGGTAAGTCCCTATCTGTTGATCTTGTTAATACAGAAGTGTGTCTTTTTGAACTGTCAATGTTATTTTAATTTCAATGATGTAAATCTTATATGCTAGAGTTCCTGTAGTGTCATATGCTTGTTGAATGACTTTTGCATGTTAGAAAGATGTTTGCATCAATTGGGTCGTTTGTGGGGTTGTTTAGGATGGATATGAATCTCAATGTTGCCTGGAAACTTAATTGTGTTTTTTTTGGGGCCTGATGGTGGTGTGTTCAGTTGGTGTTTTATTCTTGTGGTTTGCTCCTTGGACCTTGTATTTCTTGTATTGTTTTGTACTCCTTTCTTTGTATCTTGTACAAAAAGTTGGCGTCTGAACATGAGAAGAATTAGTGTTTTGAAGGGGGCATGATCAAAATATTTTGTGGCTGGGATTCGGGTTATACATGCAGAGAATGAAGAAACTGAAGGAGAAGAGGACTCCCAGGCACCAAATCTAGCATTCCTTAGGCATCACACATAGGCTGAATTGCACAAACAGTAGAAGATTACTAGGCATCATACCTAGTGTTCCGTAGGGATCATATTTGGGCTGAATTGCATAACCTAGTGTTCCACTATTCAGCCGCACATCATCGTAAGGCTGAATAGTAGAACACAATTGAAAAGAAAAGTGTTATGGCTGCTGCACTTCCTCAGAACTTGGCCATTGAGTTGAGAAGATCAGACCCATATAGGGCCTTTATTCTTAAGAAAAAATGTACTGGGCTTTTTAAATGTGAAATTACTAGAGCAAATTATAACTCCATAGCACCAGAATCATGTAGACAAATAAATGCTGTGACTTACTGACTGAGGGAAGTCAGGATTTACGGTAACAACTCAATAATGACTGTAGTAGCCTAGCCTAGCTTAGAAATGTAACCTAAGCTGGCTTGGGCTTAAAGCTTTATTTTTCCTTGATCTTCATGCATCCTTCGTCTCTATCTTTCTCTCTCTCAATTTATTTAAGAATCTGTAAATTGGTATTAAAAAAGTGATTTGTGCAAAGATTTTGTTGAAGGAAAAAATAATAAATTCTGGTATATGGGCTAGAGATCCAAATTTGGGAACTTCAACTGAGAACTCCTAGACTGGTTACAAATGCCAAATATTCATTCAGATCATATGGGAGGGTCCTATTGGAAGTTGATAAATTCCAAGTCAGTCGGTTTGATTAAGCTTTAGGTGATTCTTGTTTCTCTTTTTGGATGGGCTCAACAGACATTATCTTCAACCAGTAATTTCTATGGAACTTAATTATAGTTATTTTGCATTGTATTGCAAAATAAAATTATTTCTAATATATATTTTGCAATTAATCTAACTTCTCTTTTGGTATGGGTTACTACTAAAGTCGTAGGAAGGCCACATTGAAATCCCATATTTTAACAGACTGTTTCTGGTGTTCCTTTTGCCTGCTGTTTCTCTGTTACCTTGCAGGTTTGCAACAAAAACGGCAGGATTTGATAAGATGAAATATAACCTGACACACATTCAGTAAAAAATGATTGGGTCACTGCTGTCTGCATTAAAGTTGAGCTGTTTGAACTATGTTTGATTGATTGCATTGTGTACATCAGCTGGAGCTGTGGATGCTGTCTCTAGTATGTCAGCATGCATGTGTTCAGTCTTGAAATCTCTTCATCATCTACCTATTGACTTATAGAGCAATCCAGCAGTTAAAATTAAGAACATGTATTGGATGCTTATCTTCCCAGTTATTTTGAAAGAAACTGTCTTCCCAGTTGATAATTTTATCTTTTATTTATTTATTTATTCTCCAAATCTGCGGTAACTATTTTTTGTCCAGAGTTAGTCGGCAATAGCTGTTGTATGATATATGTGCTGCTGTTGGATTTCAGTAATAGCTGTAGCATTTCAATGTGTGATTATAATGTTGCTGGGTTTTGTAGCAGGAACAGTCGTGGAGGGATCAGAAATGGTCGTGGCCAACCACGTGGGAGCGGCCGTGGGCGTGGTCGTGGTGGGCCAGGGAGGAAGAAGCCCATTGATAAGTCAGTTGATGAACTTGACAAGGAACTCGATAGCTACCATGCAGATGCCATGCAATCTTAGTAAAACTGGAGCTGTGGGGAACTTGCTGGTATCTCGATCAGTATTAGCTATGGTAGCTGTACAAAAATGACCGTTATGATTTTCGAGATGTTGACTTATTCTGCTTGGATGTCTCAATGCTTTTCATTCTGGGCTAGCAAATTTTAGAGGAAATGAAGCTGTTGGTTGATTTGAAAGTTTTTTTCTTTCTTGGTAGAATTTGTTTCGTGTAATATGATGATGCTTTAATGTTCCAACGATTTGCTATATCAGATAAGGGAGTTGTGCATATTGTTTTTGGTGAAGATGTGGGACAACTCATGCACCCAGAAGTTTCAAAGAGAGAGATTAGCAACCTGTTGTATATTATTGAAATTGGCCAAGATCATCTCTACAGTTTGTTTTTAGTATTAAAGTTTTCATTCTAGCGGCGAAGAAAAGCAAGATATGGCTTGGAATTTGTTTTTGAGTGCGGCTTGGTGGTAGATGCTTTGTTTGGGCCTTCATACAATCCTGTTCTTCGTTTCATGAAGAACAGAACAGAATTGCTTGCTTTTGCAAGTTGCATGCTTTAAGAGTATGCCGATAGTAGCCCTCAATGTAGTCTGATTTATTTTGTTGGTAGTGGATGACCAAGTGCATTCTTTTATGATTAAAACTGCCTTTTATTTCAAAGTTACAATACAATATAACATGTACATAAATAACTCATTGAAAGCATAAGTAGAGAAGTTTCTGTGATTTGTAATTTTTATTTTTCAAAGGAAAATGCTAGGCTTATCAAATTTTTATACTACATTATGTACTACCTCTCTAATAAAGGTGAGCCTCATTGTATTAGTGGGCTCTATTTTTTTAAAGAGGTAGTACATAATGTGGTAAGCTTAGCATTACCCTTCTTCAAATATAATGCTTTATTATTAACTTATGGAAAAAATAATAATAAAGAGAGATAGAACCATCATCATTATTACACACGCGGCGTGCCATGCCGAGCATGGCCCAGTCCATTAGACTTAATTTTTGATCCTAACATTAATATTTGTGTTAGTGTCGTGTCGTGTCCCATTTAAACGGGTTAGGCTAGTATGTACCGTTTGACACCTCTACACATGCCTTGGAGTTTGGCATTGGAATGGAGAAGACTTTCATGCAACATGGACTTTTTGCTATCTTTGGCCAATGACACGTGAGGTAACTTTTCCACATGTCATTATGTTATTAGTTGAGGATAGCAAAACAGCGTTATCCCTTTTACAAGTAAGTTTTTTTTGCCTAGAATGAGCCTTCTATAATAATGGAGTGTCTCGAGGAGTCCAATCCTTTTTTTTTTTTTTTTTTTTTTTTTTTTTTTTTTTGTTTTTCTTATTTCTCAGCTATATCTAATAATAACAATTTTATTGATCGTACATCTATTATGGATCCCCTCACACATAAATAAAGGTAGAGAAATTGCATTTATTATTTAAGCCTACAAGTGTACATCATACAAGTTCGTAAGTTACTTTGACACAAAAAAGAAAAATTTTTTTTTTTTATAGTTTTTTTGTAAAAAATATAGGTGACAGTCTAAAATACACAGGTATGGGAGTTTCTTATACACACTCTATTAAGAGCATCTCCAAGGGAGATGTCAAATACCAAACATCAAATTTAAATTTGATGGCTGATGTGACAATTTGACATTTACACAGTTTTTTACTCTACCCGATATGTCAAATAAATAATTATTGTAATAGTCAAATCATTTAAGATAAAGAAGAAAAATAAAAAAAAAGAAAATAATAAATGAAAGTTACAACTAGCTATCTTTAAAAAATAATAAGATATTCATTTGACATATTGCTTTTGGGATGTCAAAAATTCATTCCACATCAGCTTTGACAATATGGTTGGAGTAATGTAAGATGTTATTTCTAACCGTTAAATCTCTATGTGGCACTTTTGACATATCGGTTGGAGATGCTCTAAGATAGGTTTGAATTAGGGGTGGCAATTTCGGACACGACCCGATACACGACTCGAAACCCGCACGAGAAATTAGTGGGTTTAACCCGCACGATAAAAAAACTGGTCAATTTCGGGTCAACCTGTTTTGACTCGTTTAATAAACGGGTGGGTTTCGGGTCAACCCGCTAACCCTTTATAATACCTGTCCAACCCATTTATTAAACGGGTCGTGTCAACCTGTGTACAACCCACTAACCCATTTATGATATTTATAATGTTTCTTTTTCTTTTGTGTTTTCCTTTCTTTTCCATCTCTCTTCTCCTCTCTTTTTTTTCTTTCTTTTCCTTCTTTCTCCTCTCTTTTTTTTTGTTTTTTTTACCTCTCTTTTCCTTTCCTCTGCTCTCCTTTTTTTTTCTTTCTTTTCCTTCTCTTTACTTTTCTCTCATCTCTCTTTTTTCTTTCTTTCTTTCCTTCAATCGTCTATCCTCTCTCTCTCTCTCTATTTTTTTCCTTTCTTTTCCTTCTCTCTTCTCTCTATCTTTTTTTCTTTCTTTTCCTTATATCTTCTCTACTCTCTCTATTTTTTTTAATTTAAATTTTTTCAGTTGTGAGTTTCGTAACATGCATATTATTATTTATGAACCCGTTACACGACTCGAAACCCGAACCCGACACGACACGTCTATTAAATGGGTTGGGTTCGGGTTGAGCATTCTTGACACGTTTATTATCCTGACACGACACGAACCCGACACGACACGACCCATTGCCAGCCCTAGTTTGAATGTAAGTCAATACCTTTTTATATGGGGCTAGATAACATCAGAATAAAAAGAAGAGTTTTTAGATTACAAAAACCACCTCAAAACTCTTCTAGATTGTACTCGATGCTTCTGTTCCAATACTTACCCACGTTCAAACCTTCTCACTCAGCTCACACACTGCCTACACGACACGACCGTGCTTTCCTCTCTCCATTATTTCACCTTCTATATTAAGAGTTTCCTTTCTCCATTTCTACGCTGCCCCGCTGCCGCTCTAGTCTTTTCTCTTCTCTTCTCAACAAAGTCAAAAAATACAGAAACATAAATTAACAGTTTAAATCACAATCGAAAATATGTTCGGCGTCGTCTTCCCGAACCGTAGCTTCCCAATGGACATCTCCTCCTTCTCGCAAATCGACACCTTCCACTGGATCCTCGACATGAACACCTTCGTTGGTATTTTATTTTCCTTTTTGTCCATTTTTCCAATTTCCCAATTTTTTATCTTCGGCTCACTCTATCACTCAAACCTATGATTTTTCTAACGTCCGCAGGGGAGGCCTACGATCAGGTCCGCGAAATGTGTATCTTCCTCTTAAACAACTTCACCCTCCCACCGGACAAAGCCCTAGCCGTCTACATCCAGTCCCCCGGCTCGTCCTTCTTCTTCTGCGGCGCCGTCACCGTGGCTCGGCCGTCGGCTGTGCTCTCCTTGCCGTGGCCGGAGCCCGGCGGCGAGCTTCAGCTCACTGCCGACGCGGTGCCGCTGTCGGCCAAAATCGGTGTGTCGGTGGAGGACCTGGCGTCGCTGCCGTCGCTCGACGTCACCGCGGAGAAGCGAATAGAGCGATTGGCGATGAAGGTTGGGGAGAATCTGTTCAATTTCATGCAGTCGTTTTGTGGTGTGGATGGGTCTAAGCTGGTGGTGCCTATGGATATTTTGGATCGGTGGTTCAAGAAGTTTCAGGAGAGAGCTAAGCGCGACCCTGAGTACCTGAAAGGCTTCGCTTTGTAGTTTTGTAAGCTCTGCTCTGTACTTTTCTCCGTATTTTTTGGTTAAACGAAGTTGAATTTTAAATTTGTAACGTGTTTTATGAAAATTGTGAGTTGATTTTGGTACTGCCTGTTTTTTGTTTGGGTGAATTTCGATTGATGATCAGTTTCAAACCAACTGTTTAGCAAACGCTAGAAAACTTTGCTCTTACTTTAGAAATGCGTGGGAAACTTTACTGGAGTTTTGGTGATGACAAGGGTGTTAAGGGACGAGAAGAACTGGTACAAAATTGTGGGTTGTGAATGAGAGAGAATTGGTGGTATGGTATGTTAGGTTTTTGAGAAGGGCATGCAGGTAGAGTTTTGAATGCTGGGAGGGGTCTGTCTAGAGAATGCAATTTAGCTGAGACAATGGTGGGTTGTTTGAGTTGTCCGTCTGGGTTTGCGATGCTATTGCTGAAATATGGCATTATTGGTGACAAGTTATTTTGAATTAGAGGGCGAGAAATCGGTTAATCAGTAATCTGAGTTGTTAGTCTTCTCTTTCATCTAGTCACATTATTAGATAACAAAGTGTGGTTGAGATTAGACTTGGCTTCAATTTTGTACATTTTAAATTTTACTCGTGTGTTGTTGAATGGCATGTACTTTTTTTTAAAAAAGGAGAGATGTAAATGTTGATATAGATGAGTGGTAGTACCCTTCAAAAAGTGTATCGAAGATATGAAAAAGAAGACTCTACTTACCCAGACTTTATGCTGGATGATTTTAGGCTGTTGTTATAACTTATGTGGATGCACTGCAGTTGCACTGTGCTATCCAAGAGTGTTCATGCTGTTGTTTTTTCATGACAGTATTTTATGTCCTTATTTTGATGCAGTCTAGAAGTCATAGTATTTATGCTTTTATGTTAGGAGAAACTGAGAAGTGGTAGTCTTTAAGTTCGTTTATTATAAATGAGTAGTTCGAAGAAAGTCCTGAGAGTTTAAGGTCATTACAGAAACCATTTCTTTTAAGATATGAATCAACTTTACAGAATTTTCCTGCAGCATACGCTTTGGATTGTGATGCAGTCTAGCCCTAGGTGTTACGCCTAAGATAATTCAAATCAAGATAGTAGCTTCTTATATTTTCTTAGTGAACTTCTTTCCCTGTTCCTTAATTCCTATTCCATTTCATTACAGTTTATAGCCCAAGTTACACTATCAATTGCATTTTGTTCCGTCTTTTTCTATGTCAAAAGAAAAAGACTTTCTACTTTCTAAGGTCAGAAGCGCACCGAAGAACTCATTGGAATTGAACCAATTTAGAACTCAATGGAATGGAATAGATTTAGAAATGAGATTATTATCTGGTGACCTACTAGACAGTATCAACATTTGCTTGCTTTGTTCTGCTACCTTGAGTTGAGACGAGCTGTTTTGTATATGCTTGAAATGTGGTTGAGAGACAATTGTTGATGCATTGGACTGCATATAGTTGAGAATTTTGTTGTCAATACTATTTTAAAATCGAGTGTCCATTTGGATGGAACGATTTAGAGGATTTGGTAACTTATGTGTTAACTTAGGAAGATCTAAACCACATAACATATTGTATCACATGTTAAAAAAGGTGTTGCAAATGTAAGTGTTATCAGTACTGCCCTTCGTGTTATCAAACAGGAAATGAAATCCACCATCTTGTAGTTATTGAAGGTCGTTCAAATTTTCTCTTAGACATCCTTTGCATGAACATGAACAAATTTCTTGGCAATCTTTCGAAATATCAATTATATGCCGTATCCTTGCAAATTTTTCGCCCTGATTAATCTGCGTCATTTTTTGATTGTTTGTGGTAATTTGTAAGATTTCTTGGACACCAAGTGACTACTTATTCAAAGCAAATAAGAAATTGCCACGTTAGTTCGTGTCGAAAAATTAGTATTTAGTATTATTGATCTTGAAAATATGGGGGAATATTGGCCAATGATCGTGAACGACAATTATGGATGAACAAAATTACAGCAGTGAACACACAGAAGACACAACAGTTTCCACGTGAGGTACTTGCTACAAGTACGTAGGTAGGTCAACATCAAAATATATATGTTGGGGGATAAATAAAGATTAAAATCCTACTCTCTCCTTACACAACAGTTAAAACACGATTTACATGTGATACTTGGGTCTAAATTCTACACGTGACTTATATTGGATGCATATCTTTTTGTATATATATATATTTTTTTGGTAATTCAAACACGCACATGAGCATGAGCTCGTATCAAGAAACTCGTGGTGATTCTTATTATTAATATCTAAGGACGATAAAGGTGAGCTTTTTTGACTATCTTCACAAGCTTTAGCCGTTTTACAGACTTGGAATTGAAATGTTGCTTGTACTTCAGTGTCGGCAGGTTGCAACAAGAGGGAGAAAATCCAAGAGACCATCAAGAAAGTTGAAGATTTTAAAGATACTGAAGTTACTAATGTTACTGGAACTTAGCATAAAGGGCGGGACCATAAACTTTTTTACGGGTGGACTAGACAAATTTTTTAGCTTAAACTTTGATGATCTTATATGTATATATATGCAATTAGGAATGTATGCAATTAAAATAATGCTTATATGAAATTACTCAAAATAGAGATAACTGAACATATCAATTTTATTTATACTCACAGAAGCAACTTCAAGATAGCAACTTCAAACTCCAGATACAAAACACTCAGTGTTTACAAAGATGATTTCTCCAAAGTGTTCAGAGAGAATCTTTTGAAACTGAAATGTAAATTGTAATCTGAATGCAACTGAGGCCAAGGCCGGCTTAAATAATACAAGGAAAGCAACTATGGTTTACAAAAGCAACTAGAGTTATTCTGAAAAGTAACTAGGGTAACCGAAAGCAATTATGATAATGGAGAAGCAACTGTGGAAGCACGGGAGCAACCTGATTCAACTTTTAATTATGTCTGGCTTTAGTAACTTTTGACTTTTACTGGGCAACTTTCTTCTTTTACTCAATGGTGAAATGTCGGGCAACTGACTGCTTTTGAGGATGCTTTAATCATATTCCGGGGCAACTATTGTGTCGGCAACTCGTGATGCTTAGTCAGAATCCAAATCATAAGCATCGTATGGATCTTGACTATCTTCATACCAAGACTTTTTCTTGGCAGGGCTTTGCATAGGCTGACAGCTGGACGATGAAGGGGAATCATTGTCTTCATCATCATCCATCTGAGAGGCTTGGATGATTAACTGGCAGGCAATTTCTTGGAGTTCAGACTTCGATTTTCCTTCGACTGAGAGAGAAGATCGGGTCGAACCAGTGGGGGAAACTGGATGCGGAATAGGCTCTTGGGGCAGATCATTGTATACATATTTGGCAATTCTGTCAACTTCAAATTTGTTCCACCATTTAACTGAGAATTGGCGGGCAAGAACTCTGGTAGTATCTCTGGCAACTTTGTAGGACCATTTGAGGATCCAAGGAACTTTGTATCTGGCAATAAAAAGCAACTGTCTTGGGAAAAATAAATCAACTTTGGTGAATGTGGCTTTTTTAGTATAATGGCGGATTAACTCATGAACTGAAATGGGTAAAATTTCATCAACTGGACCATGCTTTTCCCACCAGTGGAGAAACCAGAAGGGAAGAGGAGACTTGAACTTATTGTCAAAATTTATAAACCAGGAGTGACTAAAATCCTCGTTTTGATGGAGGAAAATAGAGTACTAGGCTTCAATATAATCAGAATAATTATATTGCAATTTTGACTGAAGGGTTTTCAACTCATAGGGGTGGCTACTGAAGGATTCTTGGCTTATGATCTTATGGATATAAAGGGAATGATAAAGGATGATCTCAGGATGATCTCGATCCCTTATCGGCTTGATTTCAACTGACTGAGTTTCAAGTAATATATCCCTATAGTACTTGAGAGACTTGTATGGACTAGGAGGCATATAATGGAATCCAGGAGGAAAATAGTATTTGGCTATTTCGACTGGATCAGAATGAATATCATAAATCGGCTCAAGAACAAATAAATGAGAGGTACTTTTGGGCATATAAGGAGATGACTTTTGAAGGCAACTGAGGACCAGCTGAAAAAGGATCATAACTAGAGATTAGGGTCAACTGATAACTGGGGCGTATTTGGCCAACTGTAGAACCTAAGGCAGAGAATCTATTGGCAACTGAGATCGGTGTGGCAATTGAGATTGGTGGGTGGCCTGGGTAAGGGACCACCTGCTTGGGATTTTCTGGCTTATTTTGACTCATAGATGAAGGGAGGATTCGGAGTGACTGGGAAGGCGACTGAGATGGCTTAGATTGGCTGGTTGACTTTTTTTGCTTGTCTTTTTGGGTGCCATTGTGCATCCTGCAAGAATTCTCTAGTAAGAAAATCAGGAATTGAATTTTCACTTCCTCTCAAATACTCAATATCAAAATCAAATATACTTAAAATGCTTTGCCATCGTGCAAAAATCTGTTTAGATGCAATGTTTTGAACATCTTTTTTTGAAGGCAACTGAGGGACCAGCTGAAGGATCAGCTGAAAAAGGATCATAACTAGAGATTAGGGTCGACTGATAACTGGGGCGTATTTGGCCAACTGTAGAACCTAAGGCAGAGAATCTATTGGCAACTGAGATCGGTGTGGCAACTGAGATTGGTGGGTGGCCTGGGTAAGGGACCACCTGCTTGGGATTTTCTGGCTTATTTTGACTCATAGATGAAGGGAGTATTCGGAGTGACTGGGAAGGCAACTTAGATGGCTTAGATTGGCTGGTTGACTCTTTTTGCTTGTCTTTTTTGGGTGCCATTGTGCATCCTGCAAGAATTCTCCAGTAAGGAAATCAGGAATTGAATTTTCACTTCCTCTCAAATACTCAATATCAAAATCAAATATACTTAAAATGCTTTGCCATCGTGCAAAAATCGGTTTAGATGCAATGTTTTGAACATCTTTTTCTAAAACATGTTTTGCAGATTTACAATCAACTCGTATTAAAAATTTTTGATTAAGCAAATCATCTTGAAACTTACTGATGCATAATACAATAGCTAATATTTCCTTTTTAATAGTACTATAATTATATTGCGACTGGGTCCAAATTCCAGAATGGAAACGAACAATCTGTTCTGGAGAGTTTGGACAGGCTCTTTGTTTCAGAATGCCACCATTACCTATGTCAGAGGCATCGGTTTCAACTATTTTGAAGGAATCAACTGAAGGAATGCCAAGACAGGGAAGTGTCTTGACATGGGCTTTGATTTGCTTGACAATTTCAGTATGAATATTTGACCATGGAGGCGGGTTATTCTGCAATCTATCAAACAGGGGCTTACATTGTTTTCTCAGATTTTTGTAAAAGTCAGAAACATAATTAGAGATCCTAAAAATCTCTGGAGTTGACTTTTATCAAGAATTTGATCAAGGAATTTATCAGCAAATTGAATGACTCGATCAATTGGGGAGATTTGCGACTGACAGATATTGAAACCAAGAAATCTGATATTGGTTTGGAATAACTTGATTTTCTTGGCAGAAACAACTAAACCATTTTGTTTGACAATTTGAAGAAACTTATGCAAGTGTTTCCAATGCTGCTCTATTGATTCAGAGAAGATGAGAACATCATCAATATAGACAATTGAGAAATGACTGTAAGGATTAAAAATCTCATTCATAATATTCTGGAATTCACTAGGGGCATTCTTCAGACCAAAAGGCATTACATTCCATTCATAATGACCAAAAGGGGTGACAAACGCAGTCTTATACCTATCTGACTCATGTATTTGGATTTGCCAGAATCCACTCTTCATATCAAATTTGGAATAAACAACTGCTTTTTCTAATCTATTAATCAAGTCTCTTTTATTAGGTATGGGGTACCTAATCCATTCTAAGACAAAATTAAGTGGCTTGTAATTGATAACTAATCTTGGGACTCCTCTTTCTAGTTCAGCATTTTTATGGACATAAAAAGCAGGACACGACCAAGGGGACTTACTTTTGCGAATTATTTTTTTCTCAAGTAACTCATGAATTTCTTTTTTACAGAATTCCATTATTTCTTGGCTCATCTGGATTGGCCTAGCTTTAGTAGGAATGTTTTTCTCACTAAAGGTTTTGATATAGGGAAGACAAACAACATGTTGTTTTCTATACCAAAAAGCATTAGGCAATTCAGAACAAATTTCATTTTTCAATTTAGTCTCAAACTGTTGAATTTGCAACTGTAAAGATTTATCACTAAGCTGTTGTTCAATTCTTTTAAATCTAATTTCTTCTTTAAGAAAATTCAATTGGTTATTTTTCCTAATAATTTGTACTGACTGCTTTTGCATGGCTTTCAGATTATGCAACTCTGGCTTAGACAGGAATTCAAATTTAACCTTTTCTCCTAGATAGGTAGAAATGACACCATCATAATCTACCTGAAAGGGATATAATAAGGCAATAAAAGGTAATCCTAATATGACTTCGTCAGTGATATTTTTAACTAAGACAAATGAGGTTTTGAAACAGATCTTATTTTGGCAAACATGGGCTTTTGGTATTTCAAAATTTAACTGGAGAGATTGTATTTCAAAATTTAACTGGAGAGATTTTCCTGAAGCAGTACTTAAGGATTCTCTAGACTTCTGGTAAAACTTAGTAGGAATCAATCCTTCCTGAATGCAGTTAAGATCGGCTCCTGAATTAAATAGGGCAACTGTGGTAAACTCAAAGTTTTGGACAAATATCGTTACTTTTGAATACCATTTTCTAAAATTGACTTGTCGAATTAGGCTGACTACTAGTTGGTCTTCTGGAGGTTCATCATCTGAATTATGTGGACTTCCAGACTGGCTTTCAGACTTAGGAGATTCTTTTTCCATTATATGAACCAAATCTTGTTTGATTGCATAATTTTCACTATGTAATTTATTACTCATTTGTTTTAATTCAATTATTTCTTTTTTAATAATTTTTACTTCTGACTGCAGATCTTGTATGGTGACTTCTTTCTTTTTAGTAAATTTCTCTAAGGTAGTGTTTAAACTAATTGGCTGGGGGGCAGACTGACTTGGACTTTCTTGGCTAATAACTTTTCTTAGCTTTTTCAAATACTCATATTTAAATCCGGATTCTCCACTTTGCTTATTTATTCTATTAGTAATTCTTCATGTTCTTCCTGTTTAGTAAGAACAGAGATAGACTTTAATCTATTACAACATTTATCATTACAACCAATTTGGATGTCTGGTGAACTCAATTGTGAATCTGAGAACTGGTCTGATTCAGATTCAGAACTGGCTACTAGGGTTTCGACACTGCTTGTTTCAGAGTCTCGCAACTCTAAAACTTTTATCAACTTTTCTTTTTCTTCATCTGTAATTTTCAATTGTTTAATAGTATCTTTCACTTTACATTCAGAGGCATAATGACCAAACTTTTGACATTTAAAACATTTAACTTTAGTTTTATCATTATTTCTTTTGGACCGATTCTTCTTTTGACCTTTCGGGGCTTTTGACCAATTTTTCTTAGGAGAGAATTTTCTTTTCTTGTAAAACTCATGGTCATCATTATTTCGTTGGGGAAATTGTTTCTTACGGGAATAATGGCGATTTTTTTCTAAGATGACTAGGCTTATTTTTCTTGGAAGGAGGAACACTGGCAAGGCCATACTGTTCGCAGAAATTTCCTAACTCATATTTGGCTGATTTCCTATCAGACTGTATTTGTCTACCATTTTAAAATCAATACACATTTTCATTCCAACTTGGTTAATTGTACTTATAATATTTCCATAAGTCAAACTATCCCAATCTATATGACCTTGTTCATTACTTAGGGTTGTGCGTATCTTATGGGCAAACAGATTTGGAAGACCATTAACAAATTTTTCTTTCCAGAAAGGTTGATTGCTATCATCTCTAAGCATGACTCTAGAAATGAAGACATCTTTATACCACCTGAAATCAGACAATTTAGGGCATCTAAGATTACTCAATTGATCATGTATCCTAGCAGAGGTGTGGCTAGGGGTTCCAATGAAATGCTCAATTATTGTGTAAAACAAAGTATTGACTCCGTCTTCTATACCTTGACCTATTTGTTCGTCAAATATAGGGAGACCGTCTTCATTAAGTTTTACAGCATGAATGATCAAACTTTTAGACTCAGGGGTTAAGTGCTTATCCCACCAATACCGGAGGGTACCAGTAAATCCGGTGACTAACAGGGGTACAATTTCAGACTATCTGAAACTGTGATTGGTGATGTAACTATTAGCAACCATGGACATGTGTTGTAGCTTATTAAAGATCTCTTGCTCAGAAAGACCATCAATATATATATTGCAAAAATTTACAATTTCTATAATTTTTCTATAAATAAAAGTATACATTAAATCATAAAAATCAGAAAAATAAATACATTAAACATAAAATAAATACATATTAAATGCAACCACAAAGTACATATTATCAAAATGAATATATGTTCAACAACATAATTAAAAGCTCCTAAAAAACAATATAATTGAAAATGTACATATTCAAATTGTGCCTTGCGATCCTTGAGATAATTAAAATCCTTTGTCGTCATACTTAAATGGATATTGTTAGCAACTTCTTTTTCAATATATACAATCATGGAATAATGTGCTATAGTTTATGGTAGGCCATATAGGTTTTTAGGCCATGTAGGTTTTTTCTTGTTTAAAAACCTGCATTAAACAACAGCCAGACTTCATGGCTGGCTATGTGAATTTTGTGATGTAAATTTTGTGGTATTGGAGGCCCTGGGATTAAACTCTTTGTTGCATCATGGAGAATTGTCGTTAGGTTTGAATGGCATTTGTTTAATCTCTATACCCTTATCATTTTAGCAATTAGCTTCACGTTTCCCAAAAAAAATTGAAATCTAGCCGTATAAAACCAAATTAATCTCGGCCATCAGAGCACCTCCATCCCAAAAGGAAAGGGAAGGTTTGACACTATTCATGTGAATAGCGGCAACCTTATCTTTTTTGGTTCCACCCCAAAAGGCAAGGGCAAGAGCAAACACTATTCATTTTACTTTATTTTCTATTTTTTTTATGCTTAAATCATTAATTTTGATAAGTTTTTTGTATAAGATTTTCGGCTGCCACATGTCAATATTTATTATAAAATTCTCACCTAAAAATTCAGATAACATTTTCGGATAAAATTTTCAAATTAAATTTTCGAATAAAATTTTCAAATTAAATTTTCGGATAAGATTTTTGGTTGTCACATATCCATATTTATTATAAAATTCACATCTCAATCATCATACAATTGAAATACCTACTCAATTATCATACAATTGAAATACTCCCCGCCCTCATAGTTCGACACAATAGAGTACAAGGATGACTCAATCATTAGCAGAGGCGATTCCACCAAATCATGACGTGGGGTAGTATTTTCCTTCGAATGACATAATAGTGCTATTATTTTCGACACGAAACGCACCACTGGAACCTACTGCTGACATTGTTCACTTGAGGAGCCATGTGTAATGGTTTTCCTCTTTTTTGTTTTCCCTTGAATAATCTATTTTTAAAAAATGAAATTGGAAATGCAAGAAATATATATTTAAAAAATGACATTAAATTGAATACAAAGGCAACTAATTTTATTTTATTTTAACCTCGTCGCCAAGATTTTGACCACTTCGAACGTTTGCCCACAACCCTTTGGCTTCGATGGAAGAGGTCATTTGTATTTTTGCACAAATGAAATTTTGTAGTATAAAATTTGGTGTGGAAAGTAAAAAATATTGGAAGGAGATGAATTTGTATAAAGATTTGGTGTGTAAAGTGAATAATATTGGTAAGTATTTATAGAAAAAATTTCTATAATTTTTTGATATTTTTTTCAGCAAAATATTGGACAGCCGTTGGATTAGGCAAGATTTTTTTATCGGAGGCTCCAGGAGAAGCCACGTGGCTTATAGTCGTTAGGCTATGTGGGGTGGTGGGTCAGCGCTAACGTCAGCGGCTGATTTTACTGTTGGCGCATGTGTTCCACTCGCCAACAGTAAAAAAAAATAATTTAAAATTAGGCGCTAACGTCAGCATGACGTCACGCTGACGTCAGCAGCCTGGAGGCAACAACCCAATCCATTTTTGCCTATGGCTTACCCAGGCTGGTGGGTCTCATGCCTTGCCCCAGCTGCCTTTTGCACGCTGGAGGTCCAAATCTCGCTTGGGGGGGCCTGTCACCATGGCAGCTGGGTTACGTTAGAGGTGTTCTTAAGTGACTGTTGTAGAATTAAAGAACATGCGCACACAACCATCATGTGGGTCCCATCCCAAAGTTCCCTTATTTGTTTGTGGACTATATATGTACGTTTTTTTTCTTCTTCAAAAAGATACCTAGGCTATAGTCAAGTGTAGCCTTGTGAGTGGTTCCGCCCGTGAGTTGCATGACCTTTCCATGGTGTTTGGGGGCCTTATGTTGTGTATACGTATTTTTGTTTTTTTATAAAGCGATATTCTAAATTACTCTAATATACGGGGAGGGGTCCAAATCGAATGCAAAGTGTGGTGTACACACAATTTTCTTACAACCTTCTTATTGTTTGAGTACAAACAATTTTCTAACAACCTTCTTATTGTTTGAGTAATACTATTTGTACGTTATGAATGTAACTCCTAACATGCTTTTAAACTCACTAACCTTGATCAGACATGACGGAAATAGAGGATCTTCTTCACCTATGCAACACCTTAATACTCTCTCTCTCTAGATGGGATGAGATTCTGTTTGAGTGTATTTCACTGCTAGGGAAAGGACCTCTATTTATATGTTTCACTCGAGTGCCTTGCCCATCAAGAAACACTCCATATACCAAACTTCATTAGATTAGATTATTTCAATCCATATAGAATTAGGAATCCTCTTAACTCTTGTGTTTCAATTAGAATAGCACTTTAACAAGAGATTTAAGCTTGAGCTTTACTTCTTGAACTAGGCAAACTCCTAGAGACCTCATGTGATTAGAAGACCACATTTCGTGGATTAAGACAATAAATTATCTTACATTCTCTCCCTTGGCCGACTAATCACAACAGAATTTGCATTGCTCACTTTAAGGCCATGTGAAATATATAACTCAAACTAATTCCTATCAAGCCATTGTCAATTATGAAGAATGAGAAGGAGGCTTTTACAATATAACAAAAAGACTTTTAACTTCTTATAAATTACAAAACTACCATTGATTTCTTAAAACAAACCCAACATCAAAACCTCATTAAAAAAAAAACCCAAAACACTCAATAAGGCATCAAAGTAATTTAATAATCAAAATTAAATTTAATAGGGTCAGTTGTCATTTTTTGGGGTTTATTTATAGAAATTAAATGGTATAAAATTTATCTATATCAATAGTGCTAAAAATGAGTATATTACTATAATAATAAAAATTCGAAACTATCTCATATCTCCTAAATCTTACTAAAATATATTCTAAAATAGAAGCTATTATTGGCACTCTAAAAAAAGTAAAAAACAACACGAAAAAAATACAACCACTGGCTGAAACGACCAACAAGAGCATCGTTGTCTTAAAAGGCTCCACATGTCACAGCTGGCAGCCATCCCACGATGGGCTTCACATGTGGGCCCTTGCATGTGAATCATACTCCATGCATAAAAAGGACTTTATAAAATTACCAAAAAAACCCTAATTTAAAGTCAGCGGAAAGTAGAGTAACGTTCAACACAAAATATCTCCCCAAGTCCACACGCTATGCATTTCTTTAGTCCCCCAAACAACCAATCAACATCGGGTTACTTTGCCAACACCTTTTACATTATCTGAAAACTTGGCTTTCCTTCTCTCCACAGGTCTCGGGTCAATATTTTAAATTAATTTTATAAATACTTTCGACCAAAAAACAGATTTTGGGGACAGACTGAGACATTGACGACGAAGAGAGAGAGAGAGACGCACCCAATTCCGCGTTGAGGTCAGCAAAGCCCAAATCACTGACCATCCCACTACGGCAAGGCAACATCACCTAACATTATTAAAGCCACCCACCCATTTACTACTTCCACCACATTCCTTCAAGAAAAGTACCAGAAACCATACCCCATAAAAAAAGTAATAATAAAAAAATTATATAAAAAAAACAAAACAAAATAAGAAACAAGAAGAGCAATACTTAATTCCAAAAGGCGACAGTGGATCCAATTAGCACCAACGATTAAGTGTTAATTTTGTACACTTTTCCAATTAACTACGTCAGATCCCTATGAAACTGAATCTAAATCAAACTACTAATTAGAAGAAGACTATCTAATAATTCTTGTTTGTACTGTTTTGATTGTGAATTTTGATCGCTAGCCAAATACGCACCCGTACGGAGGATCAACGGGGAGTCATCATCTTCTTGAACTCGTCGAAGTTGACGTGGCCATCGCCGTCGGCGTCGACGTTGCGGATCATCTTCACGCAGTCCTGGTGCGAGCACTTCAGCCCCAATCGCTTCATCACCTCGTGAAGCTCACTCGCCGAGATCAGTCCGTTCTTGTCGAGATCGTAGAGGTCGAAGGCGTCGCGAAGCTCTTGGCTCGATCCGCCATTCATGATCTCCGCGAACTCCAGGATGTCAATGTGGCCGTCGCCGTCTCTGTCGAACTCCGCCATTATGCTGCGCACTTCCTCCAGCGACGAAGTATCGGACCCTAGCTCACCGAACACGTCCCTGAGCTCGTCGCAGGAGATCTTTCCGTCACCGTTCTTGTCGAACTTGTTGAAGATCGTCTCCAACTGCTCCCTGGATCCCACCGCGCCGACTCCAGAGCCTTTCCAGCTAGGGTTAGGGCTTGAAGAAACCAAATTGCTCTTCGACATGGCAACAGAAAGAGAGAGAGAGAGAGAGAGAGAGAGAGTAGAGAAGGGCTCTGAGCTTTGTTTAAATGCGTGACAAACAAGAGATATATATAGGCGACTTTCACTTGGGTTGCGATCAGGTGTTTGCCGACTTAGCGTAGTTGGAATTTGCGAGGGCTTAAAGATGGGACGTGGAGAATCCTCATCGAATGAAAAACGGACACGTGGGAAGAGAAGTGAGCAAGGGTGTAGAGGATTTGGGCTATAAAGGAGAATTTTGTGCTGGCTGGGCTTAGAAGGAAGGAAAGATATCTGTAAGGATACGTAGCAGATGGCAGTTGGGCATGGGAGTTGCTCTTCTTGTTGCTTGATTCGGTTTCCTTGCCGCGTGGATTCAATTAATAAATCCCATAATTAATGGGAAAAAGCGCGTAGAGTGTAATGTCATAAATACCCAAATAAGTGTGAGGAATGCTAAGGGTCAAATATTTAGATGAATATAAATACAATAGGAAATTAGTTATGTGGTTACCTAGAAATAATGTTCGGGAAAATTTTAATCACTCGCGTGTAAAATACAGCACGATGAAATCAGCATGATTAGTAACATTAATATGTTTAATTATCAGAAACGAGGGGAAGTCATCAATCATCCTTTGTTAATATGTTTAAAATAATTTGAATAAGAATAAAATAAAAGGTTTTTAAATTTGACTATTTGTTTTTCAACTTTTAAAAAAAAAAAAAAAAAAAAAAAAAAAAAAAAAAAAAAAAAACACTCTAGCTAGTTTGTAACAATTGCTCCCCCCCCACCCCCCCCTTGAGTTCGAGCCCCCTACCATACATGTAGTGTGTGTGAGTTTAGTATATTATCGCTCATTTCAATAGGAAATGTCCTTTAAAAAAAAAACATGCTTTTGGATGAAGAAAATAAACTAGAGATTTTGACAAAAGTCAAAATTTCTAAATTGGTATGAACCAATTCCCATGTTTGGATAAAAAAAAAACATAGAAATTTAGAAATTACGCGTGGGGAAAAAACATGGAATTTGAAGGTCATAAATCCTAACTTTAAATTCTTTCTAAAAGTCGTTAGTTCTAAAATTTCAAGAGATATTGAGTTTCAAAAATATAACTTTACAAATAAAGCTTAAATTTCGTATTTTAAATCCGTTACCCAAACTAGAAATTTTAGAAATTCTAGAACATTAATTTATGTCATTTATGGATTCCTTTGTACTTTTAAATTTTCTCATCCAAATGCATTGTAAGAGAATAAGGAATTGGAATCGAGTCAACTACTCCTCTAGTTGATCTTATCCTAGATTTGAGGGTATTTGATTATGAATTTTAACATAAAATCCATTCCCAACAAAAAAATAAATAAATAATTGAAATCCACACAATTTTTTTTATTCATTATGGCCCCGTTTGGTCGGAAAATATTTGACAGGAAATTCCCATGTCTTTTCCTAAGGGATGGAAAATGGAAGATTTGTTTCCCCATGTTTGATAATGCTAGGAAGTAAACAGGAATACCTCTTTTTTCAATTATACACATATGAAATAAATAAAAATGTATTTAATGTAATATTGTTAATGGGGACAAAATGGTCATGAAAAATGGTGCATTTAATGCTGGCCTATTTTCACAAAGTTTCCCATGATAAGGGAAAAATGAAACCCAAAGAGGAGGAGGGGAGGAAGAGAAAACTAGTTGCAACGGAGATAACACTATGTTGCTATCCCTTGCAAATAATGTTACGCCACATAAAAGTATTATTACACGTGTCATAGCGTTATTGGCCGGGATAGCAAAATAGTAATATTCCCATTTCATTTCCCCATATTTACCAAACATGGGAAAACAATTGATTTTATATCCCCAAGCCTCTTTTTGCATGAACCAAACACAGTCTATGTGTAAGTTAACGTATGGACAATAAGGGCTCGTTTGATACACCATATTAGACTCTAGATAGGAGTAAATAGTCCATGTCAGTTGTTTGGTGTCAACTTGTATTATTCAATTACCTTACTATTTTAAATAGTTTGGGCTTTTAATACTCCTTACCTGACTAACTAATACAACCCACACACCTCCGTTTATATAATACACACCTAATTATAAGGCTAGGAAAAAAAGAACACATGTTCTACGTGAAAACTCAGACGTTATTTTTATCTTCTTGGGGGGGGGGGGGGGATGGGGGGGGGGGGGGGGGGGGGGGGGGGGGGAGGGAGAAGAAAAAGTTTGCAATGGAGATAACACTATGTTGCTATCCCTTGCAAATAATGTTATGCCACATGAAAGTATTTATTAACGTGTGCCATAGCGTTATTGGCCGGGATAGCAAAATAGTAATATTCCCATTTCATTTCCCCATATTTACCAAACATGGGAAAACAATTGATTTTATATCCCCAAGCCTCTTTTTGCATGAACCAAACACAGTCTATGTGTAAGTTAACGTATGGACAATAAGGGCTCGTTTGATACACCGTATTAGACTCTAGATATGAGTAAATAGTCCATGTCAGTTGTTTGGTGTGAACTTGTATTATTCAATTACCTTACTATTTTAAATAGTTTGGGCTTTTAATACTCTTTACCTGACTAACTATACAACCCACACACCCCCGTTTATATAATACACACCTAATTATAAGGCTAGGAAAAAAAGAACACATGTTCTACGTGAAAACTCAGACATTATTTTTATCTTCTTCTCCCTAGGGTTCTTTCTCTGCTTCTCCAATGGTTATTCTCTTTACTCTTCTCCAGGTATCTATATATATATATATATTTCTCCCTCTCTCTCTCTCCCTAATATGCTTCTCCTCTTCACTCTTCATTTTCTTCTCTGCTATCTTCTTCAGAAGCTATTAGGTGGCTGTTTGTGGAAAACATAAATCAATAATTTGTGTTTGGTGGTTTTTTTGTTTTGAATTTTGAACACCCAAAGCAGCTTTGCTTAGTGTTGAAATTCATTCTTTACCATTTATGTTGTATCGATTCAAAACTTAGCCAAACATATTCCATATTAATTTTTTGATCAAATTCATATTCCAAATTTAACTTGGGGGGTTTTGCATCAATGATTTGGTGGGCCGGCAAGGAAGACAATGAAGGAAGCAGATAGAGGGAAAGAGAGAATTGGGAGAGAGGTTTCTTGTTTTAGTACTAGGCAGTCGTTGGATGTATCTAATGGCTAAAATGATTTGGCAAAAACAATTGTCATATGAATCTTACCAAAAAATTTCATGTTATTTGAATTTCAATTTCCACTTAAATTATTTAAAAATTAAATAATAAAAAAGTATGATCCGATATTATCTGACGGAGCACCCAAACCTGTATAACTTAGTCAGACTATTTATCTAAATAACACCAAACACCTTATAATATTATGGGTCTTTTGGTACGGCGGACTGTCATGGACTAACTAATATTGGGACTGTCTTGGATTGGCTTGGTTTGTCGTAAGTTGGATAACACTTGTACTGCGTTTGGTGTATGTTTGATTGAACTAGGACTAAATTTTTTTTTTGGGTGAAAAGTAAGTTTTTAAAATATTTTTTGACTTTTCTTCTCTCTCTCTTTCCTCTTCTTCCTCATCTTTCTCTCTGATTCTCTTTCTTCTTCTTCCTCTCCGCATTTCTTTCATCTTCTTATTCTCTGCATCTATTTCATCTTCTTCTTCTCTGCATCTATTTCATCTTCTTCTTCTCTATCCTCTCTCCTCTTCTTCTGTCTACTTTTCTCTTTATTTTTTTTCCGAAATTTTCTCTTCTTCCTTGTCTATTATGTCTTTCCCTTCTCTTTTCTCTTCGAAATTTTCAGACAAAAAACAAGCAAAGAACCCAAGCCAATTCGGCATTATCTCACAATATCCCTTCCCCAAACACCAAAAACTCATGTTTCTTTCTTTTCTTAGCCAAAATTGAAACCATTTATGTTCTTTTTTGTTTTGTAATATTTTTTTTTGGATTTGCAGAGAAGGGTAGAGAAGAGGAGTTAAGGAGAGGGGAACATTAGTGTTGCTGGGGGTGGGGGAAGATTGGGACGTTGATGCAATGGGTTTGTGTGGTGTTTTTTTCTTTTCTTTGAATTTTGAACTGGTTATGGATTGGGACGTTGATGCAATGGGTTTGTGTGGTGTTTTTTCTTTTCTTTGATTTTGAACTGGTTATGGATTGGGACGTTGATGCAATGGGTTTGTGTGGTGTTTTTTCTTTTCTTTGAATTTTGAACTGGTTATGGCTTGGGACGATGATGCAGTGGCCATGGTGGATATGATGAATCTGTGTTGCGACTAGAGGAAAGAGAAAGCAGTGGTGGTGGGTGGGTCTACTGGCTCTTGGTTGTTGGTTGTGGTTGGTTGCTGGCGACGTTGCTTGTTGAGGGTGAGGGGCACAGCGATGCGATGTCGCTAGCGAAGGGCTCGGGACAATTTGTCCACCCTTTCACACAGGCTTCCTTAAGAACACCCAAGGAGGTGTTTTTGGTGGGCCCAGTATTAGTTAATCCCATTTAAGATTAGAACCATGGGAAACAAACATGGGATTAAAGTTTGACCAATTCAGTCCAAGGTAATCCCTTGTACCAAACGAGTTCTTATGGATAAACAGTCAGTATTCTTCAGAACAGATTAATACTATCCGACATAAATTAGTCAGTGCAGTCCGATGTACCAAACGAGCCCTAAGTAATTGTAATAATTCCAATACCCATGAGTTAGTAGACGTAGCTGAAGAAAAATTGAAATAATTCTTATATTGCATTAAACACAAAGCAACAACAAAAACATACCTGACTATCCAAAATCAATCACATTGTATTTGTTGTCTTTATTTGAAGAATTAAAACTATTACGAGAGCTTTTTCTTCAAAAGAAAAAAAAACACAACTAGTACATACTAATGTTGAAAATTGATCTTCTTCAATTTTTAAAAAGAGAAATCATTAATCAAATATTCATAATCGAGTTTTTCAAGAAGGATATATATAAAAAGGCAAATAGCTGACTTCAATAAGAATCAAACTTGGGCGCCTCTGTTAAGTGGAAACATGTTGGAATGCCAACTCCACCACAGACGCTTTTGTATAGGTATTTAGCACGCTATAGTATATATACAATTCTTATAAATGTTATACGTATAATATAAATAATTTTTTTTTTGGGGGACCCTGTGTGGTGGGGCCACTTGCACCACCCCAGTGCCGCCCTTGAGTATTAGTTAATCCCATTTAAGATTAGAACCATGGGAAACAAACATGGGATTAAAGTTTGGCCAATCCAGTCCAAGGTAATTCCTTGTACCAAACGAGCCCATATGGATAAACAATCAGTATTCTCCATAACAGATTAATATTATCCGATATAAATTAGTAAGTATAATCCGATATACCAAACGAGTCCTAAATAATTGTAATCATTTCAATACCCATGAGTTAGTAGACATAGCTGAAGAAAAAATTGAAATCATTCTTATAAGTAAATGTGTATGCATTGGATTTACATATTGGAAATTTTGGTTTTCTCCTTAACATACTAGAAAATATTAAAAGTGCAAGGAAAGAAATTGGAACATGTGGAGTGTGACGAGGTGATTAGTTGGAAAAGAAGAAGAACAAAAGTATGAACCAATCACAATAGTAAATTCTATACAATTGCCATGCTATTCCCAACTGTTATATCTATTATTTAACTTTTAATAATAAAAAGAGAGCATATTTGATATTTTGTCATTGAAAGGGATAATTTTTCAATTAATTACTACTAGCTTGACTTTTGATCACGTGCACTTGTCACGAATTTATTATTTTTTATTAAGGGTGGATACGTACACGTTTTATTATTCTTATCTTTTGTTTAAGATGTGTGCGTATTTTTTATTTTTATTTTTTGGTTGGACTGTTTGTTGTAACTATATGAATTGCCAAAATACAAATATAAAATAAGATTGTGTACCTAACGTGTTAGCCTATAAAAAAAGACCACATTAGAGAAGAAACATGAAGCCTAAATATTTTCTTTTCGGCACGTATGTGGCTTGGACCCCACTTAAATTTGTTGGGTGGTTTAGTATAGGAAAATGTATTATTGGCTTGGTATGACATTACATAATTTATATATTTATTTAATGAATTAATTCCCCCAAATGCAGCTTGGATTACCGCATGACCGACATTATATGTTTTGGGCCTCAACAAAAACATTGTTAAATAAATTACTTTTCAATTGGGAATGACATTTCAATAATTCTTACTACCAAAAGTCTTGCTAATTTACACCCGACTTTATATAAGTGAATTATTGGAAAGCTAAAGAGCCAAAAAAAAAACGTCTTTAATTCCCTTCGTTATATCACGCAGCAAACAGTGAGAGACACACTCTCTACTCTTTAAGGTTAGGGCTCCACTTTTGTATCCCATCTTCTCATCCACTTCCTTCAGATTAGTAAAAAATCTTGAATGTGTTTTCTTTTCCTTATGCTTGCATCATGAAGCGTATCATATTTATATGTTCATGAATGTTTCCTTTTTCTTTTCCTCGTGCTTGCATCTCGAAGCTTATCATAATTTCATAAAGCTATGTTTGCACCCAAATATTTTATTATATTGATTTTGTCATCTGCTACGTTTGCATATAATATTTATTATATTGATTTAACGCTTATTTTCCACTAATTTATTATTTAGGTGGATAATCTATTTATTTTACCTATAATTCATTAGGTGGATAATTTTTTTCATGGAATATTGTCAGTTTGATTACATCCCACTCATTGGGCTAAGAACAAAACAAAAGCTTTGGGGCCAAGAACAAAGCTGAATCGGCAGTCCAAGTGCAGCAATGGCAAGGCGACAAACATTAACTACTACACTCTCGCTTTGCCCTTTCCGCTGCTTCTTCACCCGTCTCTCTCTTACACACCCATAATACTATTTTCAGATGATTTAGTGTATTAATTAACTGTCTTAGGCTGAAACCCAAAACTTAATTAATCAATTAAATAAATGTAAAAGCCTTGGGCTCTGCCATTTTTCTTCGGAGAAATTCATTTCACAAGAGCTTCCAAGCAAAAGCACTTTTGGGATCATCAACGACTTTGAATACTGTTCTGGGTCTGCGCTTATTTTGATGGCTCTTTATTCAGCTGCTTTCTGCTTCAGTGGCGTGGTTTCTTTGCCTCGCAATTCGGTGTGTTTTAGTCAAAGGACAGTCCGAGCCTCGGCATTTTCTTGTCCACCTCTCAGTTCCATTTCCAGATCGAATGTCCAAGGTATGCTTTGGTTTTGGACTTGTATAAGCTTCACTTGACAAATGGGTTTGCTTAGTTTCACTTGTTATCTAAATTTTTTAGCTCAGTGGACTTTATAATTTGGGGCGTTTGTGATGTTCTTTGGATTGCTTGAAATATTGTGTGAATTCATCAACTTGTAGTTATCATGGTGTGGGTTGGTCTGTTTATATAGCTATAATGTGTTTAACTTCACAATTTGTTGGGGGCATTATTTACACTTGTTGCCGGTTGCTATTTTTATCGAATTTTCATTTGGGTATTTATATCAAGAATGTCACAACTACATTGTGGAATTGAGGACGATATTGCAACTAAGAGAGGACATAGAGACCAGAAATGAATCAACGATTGTTCTGATTGGTTCTTGTTTACTACATATGTGAGATGATTTGGTTCTTTAACTGTATAACTGTCCAATTCTTTAATCTTGTCTTGGGAAGTTCGAAGTGAAAACTGCTAGAGATGTTTGGGGCTGTTTAACCAGTGAAGCATAATGCAATTGTAAAGAAACTAGGAATAACTGAAACTGGAAGGTCATCCAAATACAGGGTTTTGAGTATATAGTATTTGCTTATGTAGAAGATTTTAGCAAGCAATGCCACTATGCCTATCATATCCCTTGTGATCTCTGTAGCAAAGCAAACAAGAAAGAAGGATATTGGAAAGCTCCAAAGTAGAAGGCAATATATGCTGGGATTAAGGAAAATGGATTCAGTCAGTATTAAAGCAATCCAGGCAAACCAAGAATTATAATTTAGAAAGCTATGCTGGAGGACCATAATTCTAACGTTCTTGTGTACTGCTAGTTTCAGCAAGTACAATCTCATTTTTGGAGCTTAGACATTAAATTTTGAAGATATTATGGGGAAAAATACAAGGAATGAAGGAGAGGGTCCGCTGTTTAATCTTGAAGCATTACCTTACCCCTTGTGTAATTTGGAAAAAGCCATTTGTAATTACAAACATGTGTAAATGTAACAGTATCATTTCACTGGTAATTATGAATGCATCTAGTAACTTGAACCCCAAATCCCATGCAGTGTTGTGATGAACTAAAGTAGTAGCATATGAGGGAACATATACATCTAGAGTGAAGTGGTAAGATTGTGTGTGTTGGCCTGCCTATATGTGTATTGTATCCACAAATAACGACGATATTAGGAACCAAGGACAAAAGAAAGCAACAACAAAGAAAAGAAGAACTTACCTCAATGTTGACAACGAGCTCCTCCACTGGAGAGGTGGGAAATCCACTGAGTAACCAAATCCTCAAATTAGTACTCGGATATTTCAAGGGCAAGGGAGAGGTGAGGAGCATCACTCCCTTGCCATCGGTAGAGCCATTAGGTGCGGGTTCTCAACCTAGACAATAGCTCTCTTAAGAGCAAAAGAACCAACAGCTCATGGGCAACATGTAAAAAGCAAAAGAACCAACAGCTCATCGGTAGAGCCATTATGGGGGCCCTTTAAGAGCAAAAGAACCAACAGCTCATGGGCAATATGTAAAAAGCATTTGAGATTTGAGTTTTTAATGTGTTGTTTGACTGGGATCAGTTACTGGTGAAACCCCTTGTACACCTAGAAACCTTGGGAGACTGAGGTTGTCTTGGTCGATTACTCAAATCTTTGATTGACCAGGAGTATCTGGTCCCCTTAATAAACCTTTCAGTGTACCTAGAGCATGGCTTCTGGCCAGTCAATGCCCAAGTCTACCAAGAGAGCTTTTGTTTGTTCACCCCAGATGTCAATTTCGGTCATGATTTTGTCTGTTTTGATTTATTTTTTCAGCTTAATATCTACTCTCGTTTTTGTTATTTCTAAGCATCGTAGACATATCCTACAATATGTTTGGACTATCCTAGACACATCCTAACTCTATGTTTGAGGGTCAAGAACTTATCCTAGTTCAGTGTCTTTGACCATAACTAAAAGCTGGAAGTACTCTGAAGTTTGGGGGATGTCTTGATCTGGTCTTAATTGTCTTGATTCCCCCTCAACTGTCCTGAGTTTGTCTTACCTCTAGCTGTAATATTGATGCTTGTTACGTATCTATCTGTCCCTGTTTCTAGAGGTCTTTGTTGCACTTGACCCTCCATTTGGATGTCACCATTTATCACACATACACACCATGAAATTTGCCAAACTATAATCCTAGATTTTATACTTTGTGTTTGGGTGGCTGCAGTCAGGGCACTGAGCTTGTGCTTTCTTATTTTGCAGTACATGTACACAATGAGTGAACTTTGCATATGACTTGAATCATGAGTGACATCATACAGCTTTTGGTCATCTGCTTACTTCGTATCAAAGTTTTCTTCTGTTAAAAACTGAGCCTTTCATTGTCTGACTGTTATGTATTTTAGGAAAAGCATTTGCAGGAGATGGACTACTAGACACAAAGGAATCCTCCCTTGTGGTTTGTTTTGGGGGAAATGCTTATTGATTTTGTCCCAACCACTAATGGACTTTCATTGGCTGAAGCACCTGCATTTAAAAAGCTGCTGGAGGAGCCCCTGCTAATGTTGGCAGTTGGCATAGCTCGTCTTGGTGGCTCATCAGCTTTTATAGGGAAGGTATCATTTTGAACATATGTGTCCATATTCTTGTTGTTCTGATTTAATTAGATGAAGGCAGCACTTTTTATCAATGTTTTGAGTCTTTAACTAATAATTTGGCTACTTTGACTTCAGGTAATCCCTTTTTCCTCCCGCCTCACATTTTAGTTTTAGTGTTTATCCTTCTAAAGGTCAAACCAAAGTCCTTTTCCTTGTCACCTTATATGCTATATCATAGTTGACCACACATTTGTGTTTACTAGGGCATTTTCAACTTAATTTACTATCGTGTCTCTTATCTGTAATATTACATGTTGTCACAACATTTATACAGTGAAATCTTCTTCTTCTTATGTGTTAAAAAAAAAACAGAGAAAACTCTTTCTCTAGTTTTGCTTCTAATGCTTTAACAGACTAAACAAATTGAAAACCATCTCTTGTGTTGTTCAGCTCTTTACTGCATAAATGTTGAATTCATGGGCTAAGAAAACAAAAAAGCTAACTTTATCCTTTCAAATTTTGAATATTAATATGCAATGCCTGCAGGTTGGGGAAGATGAATTTGGGTACATGCTTGCTGATATACTAAAGGAAAATAATGTGAACAGTGAAGGGATGCGTTTTGATCCTGGTGCACGAACTGCTTTAGCATTTGTTACATTGAGGAGTGATGGGGACGTGAGTTCATGTTTTATCGTAATCCTAGTGCTGATATGTTGCTTCAAGAAGCTGAACTTGATTTTGATTTAATTAGGAAGGTATGAAAGAATTGCTATTATTGGTAATTAAACATCAGTGATGATTATAGTTGTAAAAGAGTCAAACTAGGCGAGCTAAATGCATCTTATGAAGGAAATGTCTAGAGCCAAGTATCTTGCATGGTACATCATCTGATTAAAGAATCCTTCTGGTACACCTAAACCAAATTTCAATTACACATAGTACACCTCATGTCAAAAGGATACTTAAATTTTGAACTATTTATCCCAGAATACAGATGTATGCATCTCAGACATCATGATGGCTGCAACACCAGTATCGGTGTTTTCTTTCATTTAGGTCACCATGTTGGGCTCTTCTTATTCTTGGATATTACGCTGCATGCCTGTCTTATATCTCCTTACATACTCTAGTTTCGCTGAGTTTTCACAATTGATTTTGTTTGACTTTTTCTTTATAGTTAACGCTCAAGGTATGTCTTAACCATCCTGTGTCAGGCAAAATTTTACATTATGGTTCTATAAGTCTTATCACGGAACCATGCAAGTCTGCTCATATTGCAGCAGCTAAAGCTGCAAAGGACGCTGGTGTAGTTTTGTCCTATGATCCTAACCTCAGGCTTCCATTGTGGCCTTCTGCAAAAGAGTGCGAGAGAAGGAATTTGAGCATATGGGAGACTGCTGATGTTATCAAGGTTTGCAAACCTTTAATATGTAGATTATGCACCTGTTGGTTCATATTTGATCTTTCTTGTCCCTTTTCTGAAAAGGGTAATATGAAATTGATTAAAGTAAATGGTACTACGTCCGCTGATATATCAATTATTTATTTTTCAGGTAAGTGAAGAGGAGATTTCTTTTCTAACGGAAGGAGAAGATCCTATGACGAAAATGTTGTTCGCAAATTGTACCATCCAAATCTAAATTACTGCTGGTCACTGAGGGCCCTGATGGCTGCAGGTATTACACCAAGGTAAGTTTCCAAATATGCTTTTTATGTATTCTACTTCTCTCTCTCTCTCTCTCTCTCTCTCTCTCTCTGTGACTAAAATGATACTTATTATTACAGATTACATATTGATGCATGCACTATACCATGAATCAGTGTAATATAGTAAGGAATACTTAAGTAAATATTATTCCTTTAATTGTAAAATTTAGTATTAGATGAGATTATGAGGTGAGTTTTATATCAACCTTGGTGAATTAATTTGATTTTTTGATTTTATTGGCGATCTCATTAAAAAAATGTTTGACTTTGTTGTCGAGTATCAAAGATAAGGAGGAAGGGGAGCAATTTAGGATAGAATTGGACTACTTGCTTCTTTTTGGGCATTGTGTCAAAATATTCCAGAAAATTCCTTTATCGTATATATTCTGGATCGGGGGCAGTTTTCTGTTGAGTTCTTCCTGGGTTTTGGTGTGATGGCTGTTGTTTTAGGTAATGGACTTCTCAGCCATTTTTCTATGTGCCTTCAATTTTTCTTATAAAATTTGTGTGTCTTATTAAAGAAAGAAAGTATTCATTGGGGAATTAGCAGATTTTTAAAATTGTTGTAGCATGCAAAGTTGTTTGAATGATCACATATTAGCAGAACCTTTTTAGAATTGTAATTAAATATATATAGGTATATATTTATGCTCAAGTATTTTGAATTGGAAGTAAGCTTTAACTAATAATATCTGAAATGAATAACACGAGAGATGGTTTGGATACATTATATGAATATATGTGTGTTTGCATGGATGCATGCATTAAAAAATGGAGTATCAAGGGAAGGATGTAGTTTAATAAGGATATTTTTGTCCATTGAATGTTTTAACATATACTCTTATCGAGTACAGGTTATTTTGTTTCCTTAACTGTTGCTTCTGTTTTTCTGGCAAATCAAACTGTTGCTCCTTTGAAAGTGTTAAGGTCATCATTCTAGAATATATAGTGCTTTTGAGCATAAGAAAATATGAAGTTTTATTATATTATTATTCTTCTTACTATTAATTTTAATGAGCCATATGAAAACTGCCTTCTTTTCCTATATGAATCATATATGAATCTTGAGGTAGAATAGAGATCGAGTATCTTCCTAAATGAAATATATTTGACATAACTGTACCATGAAATAAGGAGATATTTTTATGGTACGCTTTCAATGGAAGTTCGACTTTTAAAATTGGTAAAAACTTTTTTCTCCTAAACTCTAGAATCGAACTCCACTTTCATGACTCCCTGTAGTTTTCATGATATTTATTATTAGTCTTCAAAAGCTACTTGCAAAGTTATTGATTGACGAAGGCTATAAAGGGGTTTTTTGGATTAGACTATATCTATCAGTAGTCTCCTAAGATGCTGATCTTGTTGTTTAAAAATCTCTAAATTAATGGGATGATATTGTTTCAGCAAGATTGACAGTATATATACTTCTCTTCCTAGTATTTGTAAGTCTAAACTGCAAAGTGTATGTGTACTTGCAGGAGTTCAGTGGAAGAGTCAGGGTATGAAGGTAGATGCAGTGGACACCACTGGTGCTGGGGATGCATTTGTAGCAGGAATACTATCACAACTAGCTGTTGATCTCTCTTTGCTTCAGGTACTTCATCTCGGATGCAGATATTTCACAGAACTTTCTTCAAGTTATAATTAAACATATAATTATATATTGCTACATGCTTCACCACCCTGCACATTGAGAAAGTAACATAATCATACAACCACTATGAAATAGAAACTCACAAAAATGGATATACTAAGGTCTCCATGGGAAAACCATATCTTCATACAGATGACTGTCTCTACCATTGCAGAAAAACATAGTAAAAGAAACAGAAAGAAATGAAAACGGATTACAGCCTCTAGGTACTAGTTCTACGAATCTACTTTATAAATCCTTTTCTAATTAAATAGGAAGCAGTGATCTTGCCTCTTGAAGAAACAATCGTGTGTTTTTGCATAAGCTGCTGGGTAAATTACACAAATGTCCCCTGAACTTTGAGTTGTCTCACTTTGGTACTAAAATTTTAAAATGTGTTATTATGTTCCTGAACTTTGGATTGTGTGTTAAGGACAAAATCCTAACTTCTGTTAAGTATTTTTTAACTGAAATTATCAAGTGAATTGCACATTACCACTTAATTAAGGACAGTTTCGTCATTCCACTTAACAAGTTCTAAATTTACCCAAAACTGACTGATCCCCAATTGGTACTCATTCTGACAAAATTAAGCACTTTGAGGGGTTCTAGAATTAGGGTTTTAGGTTGGGAATGGGGACTCAGAATGAGGATGTAGTTGCGGTATCTCCCCTTCTCAGTAAAGAGGGAAGTATTTCCATCAACGCCAGATGAAGCTAGACAGGCTGAATCAAAATCAAGGCAGTAATGAGTCATTGACAGGCTGAATCAAAATCAAGGCAGTAATGAGTCATTCTGACCATGCATATTAGTATTTAGTTCCTTATGTGAAACTTCAATTGTGGATGTGGTGCTAAAACCATTTTGTTTTTAGGTTATATAAAAACGATATTGGTATCTTTTAAATTGTTGAACTGAAGTTCTAATGTAGAAAAAGGAACAGTAAGATTATCTTTACTAGCTCCTTCCTGAATTCTTCTTATCATAAGAAAAAAGTTTCATCCAAGAAATTGAAATGTAGAACACGGGAAAATGTGTTCTGTGAATCCCTATCTCTATAAACAGGTTTCAATCACCAAAACGAAGAAATTTTATTTTGTCCTTAGTATTAGTTAAGCTTTGACAATGTCAATAACTGATATAGCCAAAGGAGAAGGCGGTCTTGGTCTGCAACGCCTTTTAGAGGCTACCAAGGGGTATGGGTTCGGGCTAGAACCTCTACATCTGACATGCCCTAGTCTTAATGGACATGTCAAATACCTTTTGCCCAAACTTAACCACAACCCCACTCAGAATACTGAGACTGATCTTTGTTCTTCCCCCAAAATATTCCGAAGCCATATTAGTGGATCTAGCCCAAAGGACTTGGTAGGCCTGTGATCTGGGCCTAGGATGTGAATTATCTTAGAGGGGTATGAACAGAACTAAGACTAACACAATCTGAAAAAAAATCGCTCCATGTATGCTTGACTTGAATTCCTACAAGTTAAATTACCCATGCAAGATATAAGCCCAGTTAAGTTGAAGTTGTGGAAACATTCTTTCTAAAAGCGCAATTAATTATCGGGTGATCAACCCAGTTAATTACTAAGTCAACTTAACCACGGCTTGGTAAACCTAAGGATTGTGTACAATTTAATCGCATAAGGCCACACAAAAGTAATTAAATACTTGATGCATGCAATTAGCACCAGAATTCAACAATTAATTTCGACTTGAATTTAAGCATATTTCTCATAAGACCACATAGGTGGTTCAGCCTACTGAACCTCACTGGATTGAATAGGCAATCTACGAAAACACTCAACGCCCCTTTGATAACCATTTCGTTTTCATATTTCACTTCTTTTGAAAACTAAAAACCGAAACATGTTTGATAACATCATATGCTTGCTTTTAGCCCATGACCTTGCTCGCTATACGTGGTGCTTGTTTTTGAGTGAACAGTACATCTTTTACTCACTGGAATTTTCCAGTCCTTGTCAGATAAACTGCAAAAGATGTCCACAATTACATGGGAATCCTTGATACTTAAAACAGCCTGTCTTTATGTGGGAATCCTTGAATACTTAGAACAGCCTGTCTTTATGTGGGAATCCTTGATTACTTAGAACAGCTTGTCTACAGCCTTGGTCATGCAGACCAGTTTGTCACACTATCTAAGGCAAAGTACCTCCTCAACTACTGCCTACGAATTTATAAAATGCACCACTCCCTCCCAGGGCTGTTAGGCGTGCAATCAGTCTACTACTGAAATTCTAGAGAGTTCTTATCAGGCTACTCTATATCATCATCATTAACAACAAAATAACGTTATTTTACCATAGAGACTCGCTAATCAGACATGTTCCTCCACAAACGGATATTTCATCGTTAAGACAGAGCACAGGTGATAATGGCTTTCTGAGTTGTAGAAGATCTATATAACTTAGTTTCACCCTTTTATTCCGTACTTATCTGTTATTTATCATATGACTTGGGAAGAAATCCTGCATTTTTGTTTTAAATATCAAAATATATACATAATGAGGATTTTGAATACTGCTGCCTTCTTTATTAAAGAATAGTATTTAACATGCACTGCCTTTTAACCCTTTAACTTTATTGTGAACTTTCTTGATTGATCTGCGGTATTTGGCTGAGTAATTCTCAGTTTCCTTTTCATAGTGTGATTATTATTGATTGAAATATGGGGTTCTAGTTTATATTTTAATTAATTATTTTGCTAACAATGAATTAAATCTGTCAACCTAAAGAAAGTGGCCATGTATCTGGATTTGACATGTAGGAAGAGGGTAAACTGAGAGATGCTCTTCTGTTTGCTAATGCTTGTGGTGCATTGACTGTGACGGAGAGAGGTGCTATTCCGGCTTTGCCAACTAGAGAAGCTGTGCTGAATGTCATGCTCAAATCTGTAGCATAGGTTCTTGAAGTAAATATGTAACTACATCCAAGGTTCCTGCCTATATATTAGAATGGTGACAAAACTGAACCCAATTGAAAATTTTCCAATTTATGGTTGTAGTCAGCTCATGTTGCTGTGAGATATAACTCTGCCATTTTAGCACAATTAAGATTTGATTGTAACACTCCATGTCACCATAATCCAATAAACATTCATGCTGAGATATGGCACAAATAATAATGCTTTTATATTTGTCATGTCTCTGCATTTCATACCCTGTTATTTCATAGTTTATTTTACCACTCATTTATGTTTTGCCTATAACTTACCATATAGCTTTATGTTGGACAAATTATGATTTTTAAACTTCTAGTTGTTAAGTGACCTCATCAGACAGTCAGGGACTCAGCTAGGTTTTGATCTATTTTGCTAAGAGATAACCATCTACCTTGTGAATACAACATTAGTCATTTCTAGCATCATCCATGATATATTTTTTTTCAATCTTTGTATCATTCCATGATCTTCCATTTTATGAAAAATGCAACAACCGTGACTGTTTTGCCGTTTTCGTGCAAAACTTGTCGCCTTACTCGTAATATATGTCTAGATACAGGTTTTCCTAAATGAAAAGGAAAAAACTTTATTCTCATTCACTTGATTCTTTTGATCACTGAGAAATTATCTTAATGTGTTGCAATATTTGAGAACGCTGGCACATTCAGAATCAGATTTCCTGATTGTCTTTTAATTGGCTCTATTTTCTCCTTGCAAGAGCTTTCTACTGTAGCTTGAAAATTAGAATAGATCAAAAAGCACATTCCGTGGCTGATGTTTCTGCTGCAATATCTGTTGGCTCTTAATGGAAAGTTATCTTCTTATCAGAAAGAAAAAAATAAAGTACGGTACATTACATTCCATTGCAGGCTCAAAAATGCAAAAGCCTATTTTCTTGAAAATCACTTTTCCACCTTTTTCTTCCTTTCTCTTTTTGTGTAATCAATTTTCAGCCAGCTTGATTCCCTATTCATGTGGAATTTCCATTCTCAAGTTCATGTGGAATTTGGAACCAAATTTTCTCGGAAACAGTCTTTTCATTGTGCTACTAGACAGATCGTTGCCCTTTTGTTAGAGCACATAGTTTTGGAACTTTAGGCCACTCAATATTTCAGATATCACAGCATCCATGCATTTCAAATCATCCAACAAATCAAAGTTTCCAAATTGTCCTAGTATCAATTCCTTCACCAATTTCAGGCCATACATTTTTCAAGGTTAAGTAAATTTTAAATGTTTGGTTTCGAATTACTATTCATTGGAAATCTTCATATAGAATGGATTTTCAGTATTATTATGCATGTTGTACGGGCTTGTAGCTCAAGTGGTTAAGAGTATATATCATGCACTCGAAGTTCTAGGTTCGATTCCCCCTCTTCTAATATCGCATGTATAAAATAAAATAAAAAATTATTATGCATGTTAGGTAACTAAAAAATGAATTAGGAAAATAGTGTTCTAGAAACAGAAAGCACCATCATCGCATACATTTGACGAATATGTCCAAAATATCCCAACCACTAAAATATGTGCTCAAAACACCATCTTATCGACCATACGTTCAAACTCTCCTTTTTCAAGCAATAAAACAGAGACACGTGTAACAATTTGCGTCAACAGTGTTGGTGTGAGGATGATGATGTCTTGACTGGTCATGACCCAATTATTTTCCGAATAGCAAGCAAGCCATGTTTTTTTTGGCTTATTTGGGGATGAAATGTTGGGAGTTTCATGCTCAAACCCCTACTTTGAAGGACCACCTTACTCTTTTTACAAAACCATCTCTTTAAAAACCAGACCTTTTACCTCTCACTCACACATTCATTTCTCAAAAACCAAAACTTTTACCTCTCACTCTCACAGTCCTTAATTTATCACAAACCAACAACTCAACGTAGAAAAAATCTCATCATATCAAGCCACATTCAACAATGGCTGAAGAAGATCCACAAGAAAAGGTCGACCGTGAGCGCATTTTCAAGCGCTTCGACACCAACGGTGACGGGAAAATCTCTGCATCGGAACTAGGAGATGCATTGAAAACCCTCGGCTGCGTTCAATCGGACGAAGTGAAATTTATGATGGCGGAGATTGATACCGATGGTGACGGCTACATTTCGTACGAGGAGTACATTGCTTTTGCTCTAGCTAACCGTGGTTTAATGAAGGATATTGCTAAGATATTTTAGTTATATGTTCTCTTCATTTTATTTATGTCATTCTCTTTTATGTGTGTTAATGTGACTCATTCCATGCCTATGAGACGTGCATTGATTGTTTTTCTTCATTTTGAATTTTTATAGAACAGAAATGCTTTGGTAGTTTAACTGTAAACTTCTTATTTTCTCATCCTATACATATGGTACATTTAATTCGAGTGAACCTTTTCTTTTTTGTCAAGAGATGCTTCATTGAAACAACGAGAAACCTCGAGGAAGGAGGGAACAACACCTCCACTCAACTAGATAACAATAAGACAAAGAAAAACTTAGTTAGAAGGCCATCCACTAAGACGTCACCATCGGGTGCACATCAGCCTCTAACTCACCCGAACTAGGAACTAGGAGGGCAAGGAAGCCCATCCGCCTGCAGAACAAAGACCAAGGAAGATGCGGTCGGTGTATCCTTACCAATTGAATTTTTTTTTTTTTTTTTTTTTTTTTTTTTTTTTTTTAATTTTTTTATTATTTAATTTAGATCACAAATATAGATATTGGTGACCTATAAACCCTACAGGTCACAAATAAAACGCACAAAATCAACCACCAGTATATTGAAGTAGTTGGTATGTGGCCCCAGTTGGATTCAGGTTACATATATACACACACATTCTCTTTGTTATTATTATTTTATTTGATATAATGTCGTTAGCTGAATTGGGTAAGTTTTGTTACATTCGCCAACTGGCCAAAAGCAAACGTGAGCTGCAAGTTTTGTGCTTCCCCATTCAAGAATCATGATAAATTAAAATTCACAGGCTTCAATGGAATAGCTGAATAAGAAAAGAAGAAGTTTCGTAGGGTTCAATGGAACAAGAACTTTTAAACTTAAATAACAATTTCTATTACACTTTTCCCTATTACAATAGCTGAATAGGGAGAGGTAAACCGAAGATATGTACAGGCACTTGTTCATCCGACTCCTATTCGGCTACTCGTATCTACAAATTCAACACTATTTCCAGTTCTCACTTCTAGCATTCTGTTCAAACTTCAAACAAGCAACAATAAACAGAAGTGTTGAAAAATCCAGAATAGTTTATGTATCACGTTTCAACGACAGTACAGGTGATCATCTTCTTCAAATTCAGAAACCCCTAGCATAGCCAGAGCTAGGTGACTCTTCATCTCACTATTTGTTTGCTGTAATTGAGAATAACAATCAATAACCAATCCATTTCCCAGAAAACCGGACTTCTTCCTCTTGGAGAAGAAAGGTTCTTGTTCACCTTTAAGTATTGCCATTATCTCGCAAATGCTTGGCCTACGAGATTCTTCACTAGTTATGCAGGCAGCTGCAGCTTCAATCATCCGTGTTATTTGACTTGAATTTCTCAAAGTGCATTTTAGCCGTGGATCAAGCAACTCCTCAATAGCGCCTTTCCCCTTATGCAAGAGTGGTTTTGCCTGATGAAAACATGGAAATGATACATATGTAAATGAGTATTTTGATTCTTGTCAATAAATTAACACCAACTACCCAGTTATAGCATACAATTATCATCCAGTAATATACACCACGTACACTTTTCATCTGTTTACATTGATCCCAATTGGAGAAAAAAAGACAAGTTTTGAATACTTCCATGGAAACAGCATACAGAAAGATTGATGATTCAGAAAATCCCGCTTTCAGAAAGTGATTTGGTTGGTGTTAACACCCTTGCTAAGAAACGTGTCTATCAGTCAATGGAGTAAGTACACCGATTGAATAGATAAAAACTTTGGAGCATTTTGGCTATAATTAAGAATAAACTATTAACAGAAACTATGACCAGCATGAGAAGCAATCAGGGGCCCATCAATTCACATTCACATAGTGAAAAAAAGTAAAGGCAAGATAAGAAGGTAGTAAGATACACCTACCCATAGAACCAAGTTTTCCTCTCCTTGTGGCCTTCTTGCTTCAATTGGCTTCCTTCCAGTTATCAATTCCAGCAAGACCACCCCAAAAGCATAAACATCGGTTTTATCGGATATTTTCCCATGCTGGAAATACTCAGGAGCCAAGTAACTGCACAAATAATTTTAATTTGAGCAATGTAAAATAAAAGTCATCTTTATGGAACAAGCAACAGGAAAAAGTATCTTTCTAGTTAAGTTTCCTCAAGATCATACCCAAATGTTCCTTTGACAGTTTTGCAAAGGAAAGGGATGGAAGGTGCAGAAGTCCATGTGGCTAATCCGAAATCACATAACTGCGAACAGTATCAACAATATACATGCAATCAATCAAAATGACTTGTATGGTGTATAGAGTGAGCTATGAAACCTATTTCAAACTTAACATTCAAACAAGAATGAACTCAATAAGAAAATTCTCCTTTTACCTTGGCTGTTTTATTGGAAGACAGGAGAATGTTTGAGGGTTTGATATCACGGTGAACAATACATCTTTCGGTTCCATTATGTAAATATGCAATTGCCTCAGCAATTCCAATTGCAACCTTATGCCTTACAGACCAAGAAAGTGTTGCTGAGCCCTTCACTCCCCTCTTTTTCTCTGCAAATGGGTTATGTAAAAATTCATTCAAATTCAAATCAAATTCTTCCATTCAAAAGACCAAGAGAACTCACCATGTAAATGCCGCTCTAAACTTCCCCCAGAGACATACTTATAAACCAAGAACAAGCCCTCCTCTGGATCTATGCAAAACCCCACAAGAGGTGTTACATTTGGGTTTTGAAGAGAGCTAGAAATCATCAACTCTCTACAAAATGCCTTGGAAGACTCCTTATCTTCCTTGTCCAATCGCTTAATTGCCACAGCAGTCCTTAAAATCCCAACTCTACCCCTAAAGACACAGCTCAGAGCTCCTCTCCCTAAAACTCTGCCTACCCAAAACAACAAAATCCATTACAATTTCATATAAAAGACCAAAATTTGATTCAAACAAAACAAACCAAATTAATTACCTTTTGAGAAATTACGAGTAGCAGCAAGAATTTCACCATAGCTGAATCTGACCAAAGTGTGAGCCATTGGGGATATGCTCCTCTCTAATGATTCAAATCTCCTCCATTTCAATTCTTTAGCTTTAGACTCACACAACCCATTGTCCAAATTCACCATCAAAACAGTTGCAGCGGCCGAAGAGCTCATGTTCAAGGACTCAAGCTCAACTTGAGAGCAGAAGCTGAACCTGAAAGAGGAATGAACTGAGTGTGGATCAGCATTTGCCAACTCTGCTCCACACCCACCTGACTCTGCTAGCAACCATGCCTTGTTGTGCTCTAAATTTATGTTCTTTTTGTTGTTTCCATTGTTGTCGTCGTCGTCGTCGTCAATTGGGCTCTGGTTGCTCCTCCTCTGGCGAGGTGGAAGAAAACAGGCCAGACCAAGCTCCCGAAGCATCTTCTTCACAATGGTTTTGATTCTAAGCTCATTATAGTCACAGTAGTGATCTGTAGCTATTACAGAGGAGGAAGCGTATAGAGGAGCATTGGGGGGCTCTGTAGAGTCAGTGGAAGTGCCTTGGGAGTAACCCATTTTGATGCAGATCTCAATGAGTAAAAAGCACACAAACCCAGAAGCCAGAGAGAGAAGCAAAGACAGAAAGAGACCCAAAGGGAAGAGAAGAGAACAAAAATAAAAGTGAAAGCTGCTTTGCTTGCAGGGTGGGATAGAATTTTCCAATGAATGTGTGTGTGTGTGTGTGTGTGTGTGTGAGAGAGAGAGAGAGAGAGAGAGAGAGAGAGAGAGAGATGGGGTGGGTATATATAAATGGGTCTTTGAATTAAACAAAGGTCGTTGGATTAGAGTGGGAGAAAGTGAAATGAAAGAGAGAGTGGAAAGGTTGTGGCATTGGTCCTCTCAACAAATATTTGCGAGGTGAATGAAAGAGAGGAGTGGGTGCTTATGGTTATGGGGTCGCTTGCTTGCTTTTTGTTAAAATTTAAATGGCATTATTTTATTTTTTTCCATTTACCAAGAAAAACAAATGGCAATTATTTTAAGTGGGAGAGAAAACGTGATTTGATCCGAGAAAGAAAGAGATTTATCCTGCTGAGCCTAATGTTGACAGCCAGAACCACCCATCAAGAATAATTTGGAGACAGACAAAGGGTAAAAATGGTAATTTGAAATGAACTTTAAACTTTTGCTCATATGGTAATATTCACTTGTCAGGTAATAGATGTTATGGTGTTCTTATTGGTGTCGGTAGCTCGATACAAGTTATGATGATAATAAAGTCATCAATTTAAACTATGCATATAGCTAATATTCCACGTACTTAATGGTTAAGAAATTGTGTCATTATGGGATTTTAATTATCTAAAAAGTAAACTGAGATTGTGTCATTATGTGATTTTATAGAACACCAAAACATGAAGAGAAGAAAGAAGAGAGAGAGAGAGAGAGAGAGAGAGAGAGAGGAACTAGACAGGACCAATGTGTTTGACATGATGAATTGATGATGTACTTAGGGAAAAGGGTAAGCTTGTGGTTTAGTGTGGATTTTTTTATGAAATGATTCTATGAATTAATAATAATAATAATAATATAATGAGCAAATGATATCCAAAATGACTTTGTAGTTTGGTGACCACCCAAATACCATCGAACAGCCGACAACCCAATTTGACAGCCCAACTTAGCTAACTTTGTCATAAGCCATTCGTGAGCATGAGATGGGCCTTCATTAATTAATTAATTGCATATGATTTGGATCATTAATTTAATTAAAACTCAGATTTGCATTATATTCGCATAATTTAATTACTAAATATGATTTTATATGTCATGGTTGGATGGAATTCAACTCGAAAATGAATCATGGTGGTTTCTTGGTTAATCTCATATAACAAACAGCCTCTATAGAAAAAAAAATGTGAATAAGTAGCTAGCTCTCGGCCGAAGTCACCGTCCATGCATTCTGACAAGGACTTCAACCAATCAGAATTTGTGCCGATGGCGATTTTGGTCGCCAACTCAAGCTCTTAGGAAATTCCAAATTTTTTTTTCTTTTTTTTTGGGGTCGAGAGAATCTAACGTTTAGATTAACTGAAAACTTGTTTGGTAGTTACTTGTTGCACTCATGGGCATAATGTCATACCGGCAATCTACAAATTAAAATAGGTAGTTCACTACAAATTAAAATAAACTAATCAGAAAAGATCAGCAGTCAAATCAAAGAGCTATTTGGATAGAAACGATTAACAAGTTTCCAATGATGACACTCAAATACTACGCACATGCATGTAGGATGTCTTTCAAAGTGGTCAAACATGGAGGAAGAAACCTTGCTGTCACAAGTTATTTAACAAAAGAAATATCAGCCAAACCTCCATGACTTTGGAAAAACACAAAGGAGAGAGAAATTTTGTAAAAGAAGCCAAAATTGACAAAATTGCCCTTATTTATTTTTGGATTTCCTAAGAAATCCTTCACATTTGCATGTCTTTGATTTGAAAGTTGAGAGGTTTTTCTGTCTTTTTTAAAAAAGCTTTGGCTTTTTCCAAAAATGAAAGTTTTTTTGTGGCTAAAACCTAAATTTACTGTAAAATTTCTCACATGTCCCAGATATCAGGCTGAGCGACCTCAACTAGTCAAGCATGCAAATCTTTCACGATAAACTAGTTAAGTTTGCAGCTCAAGCATGCAAATCTTTTACGATAAACAAATTGTCTTAACTCTAAACTTACTACAACTTACAGAGCAAAAAAGTAATTTATGATCAGGATTAACACGCACCTGAAGTGACCTTAACCAATGCCTTGAAGCGCAATTATCGATCTTTCATTGATTGAAGAGAGTGAAAGGTTTTCAGAATCCAGATAACTAATTCAATCTAGCTTATTTGTTCCAATGTAGATATTATTTTAGTGATAGACCATGCCAATCCCAGATCAAGAGCAAAGCAAAAAAACTTATCCACACCAGGACATTCCAAGATCAACCACCACCGGAAAGGAAGAGCTAATTTTTTTCAAATGAGATGACAAAGATCCCACAAACTCGCAGCGAGGGAGACAACAAAAATAAACGTGCAAGGTCCAATTCTCATCTCAGCATCATAAAATATGAATTGCCTACTACTGAACATAACAACTCTCAATATTGCTGAGACAAAATTTTCACTTTCAACATTCGAAAGCAAAGGTCTTAGGTTAAGGAACCTGGTAGAGCTTTCTCAAGTATGATGAGGAAAAACAAGAAATTGCATAGTATAGTTTATCCACCTTTTTACCATGAGGGAGAACAGATGCATACATGCCATCAGAGAAAATTCAACAACCCAACAAAGCAGGACATTTACACTCTATTTTAAGTTGGTTCGAGACTTCTGTTTGTAAAAGACATATATATGCATAAAATTCTTCCTTGCATTGTATCTGGACCTTGAGACATATAGAGTTAAGAATATTAAATTTTCGCATCATATTTGTTCAAAGACTCACATTTTTTTCATGAATGGTTTCTGTTTCTCTACTTGGTAAATTACATACGTTGTTGCATGAACATGCTGGAACCCTTCCAAAGTGGTGAAACATGTAGGAAGAAACCTATCTTCACAAGTTAGTCAACAAAAGTAATATAACTAGAGAAACTAATTAAGGAACATGTGAGTATGTAACTTCTGACATATTCCTAATGTCAGGCTAAGCTGGGCAATAAGGAAGCAAATAATTAATAAGGTTCCTGACAACCCTGATCCTTTATCTTGCATTAGCAAGGGTATCCCCCTCAACTCTAAATTCTGACAACTAATAAAATTAGCATAAAGCATTAACTCGTACCAGAAATGCACTTCATTTCTGCTATCCAAAATCCCCACCCTTTAATGTCTTGGAAGTTGAAGAACACTAGTCTTTCATGAGTGAAGAGAGTAAAAGTTTCCAGATAGCTAATTGAGTCCAGCTTAATTGTTCCAGTATATACATATTGTTCATAGATCATGTCAGAGACTAGATAAACAGGAAAGCAATATACTTACCTGAACTGCACTAGAAAATTGTGAGATCAGGTCACAAACTCGTATTGACGGAGACAACAAACATACAAGACCAGAGTCCAAAACACATCTGTTTTTTCTTTAATAGTATCGATCTCACATTTTAATATCACAAAATATAAATTACATAATATTGAACAAAAAATTTTAACAACTCCAAATACTGCTGAGTGAAAAATATAAAAATTTTGACATTCAAAACCAAGATCTTAGGTTAAAAAAACTGGTAATGAGAGTTTTCTTTTAAGTATGATGTGGTGGAAAAAGAAGAGATTGCACAATTACTAGTTTATACACTTTTTCACTGATTGATCAGGGGAACACATGTGCATAACAACACAACAAATCAGGACATTTATGATGCCTTAGCCTATTAAGCATAATGAGATTTAAATATGGGATTTAAAGTTGATCCTTATGCCTCCATTAAAGAGAGGTGTTGGGAGTGTTGGTAGTTTTATTAATAGTGTGCTGGTGGTGGGGTGGGGGCTGTCAGTGAATGTGTTGGTGGTTGTAATGGTTGTGGTGATGACAGTGAGGGGTGCCAGTGGTGGGGGCGATGGAGGAGCTGGTGGTGGAATTGAGGTGGTGGTGATGGCCATGGCAAGGTAGTGGTAGTAGAGGTGGCAATGTGGCAATGGTTAGTGCTGTAGCTTTTTTTTTCCTCTCTCAAAACTCTCATTGCCTAAGAATTTTACAGATAATAACACCTATTTAGGTAGAATTTAAAGTTGGGATTTATGCCCCTCAAATTCCAAATTTTTGCAGACATGGAATTTATAGATTTCTTTGTTTACGAATCCCAAAAAGGAAATTAGTATGCCATTTAAGAAATTCTAAGTTTTTTTTTCATTTCCAAGTTTATTTTCGTCATCCAAATATACCATTAGACTCCACATAGTTCGAAATTGAATAAGTTGGTTTGAGATTTCTGTTTGTAAAGGGCATATATATCCATAACATTTTCCGCACATTATACCTAGGACATGATATAGTTTAGACGTTAAATAATACAAAAGATTTTAACCAAGGAAGGAATAATAAAAATGTCTTTGCATCTGAATTAGTAGTCTAGACATAACATTTAGAAGGCTAAACTGATAACAACATTCAGAAGAAAAGAACTAATATTTTCATCATAAAAAAAACCTACGCATCTGAAAGTACAATTGACACAGATAGACAAAATAGGAAAAGAAATGCAACTACAAAGCAGCCATACAGCTGTATGACAATATGCAGTTTCACTTTTTTTCACAGCGAACAAAATGTGCAAGTTATACACAAGGCTAACTGTAAAAAAGATGTATAATTCTAAGTACTTCTAACCTACCTATTGAGCTTTCCACTTTCTAAAAAGTTCATCATACAAGTATTCCTTCCTTGCTTGGATGAGGTTCTGCTTCAGCTTTGACAATGTGGAAAATTCCAATTTGATTCCTCTTACAATCATATCCTCTGCGTACTTAACTGCTTCTGGGACCCTATTCAGATTGCCGAGCCCTACAACCAACAAATTCCCAGTATCCTCCAAGCCAGAATGGTAATTCTCTAGCATGCACTTCCAAACTTTTATAGCAAAATAAGGATCCCCCAAATCAAGGAAAGTCCTTACTGCCATATTACAATTAGCATGCTCTGGAACACACTCATTTTTAACCATCTCAGTAAACAAAGTCGATGCCTCCTTCAACTTCCTATTCTTGATCAACGACTTAAACAATATGTCATATGTTTGTGAATTCGGAAATGCCCCATTGTACACCATATCATCCAACATTCTCTTTGCTAAATCTGGATTTCCTTCACGACAATGTAAAGAAATCATCAAATTACACATAATTGTATCAGGTTGGAAACCAATTATCCCTACCATTGCCTGCCAAAGAGCCTCAGCTCCCCGAGAATCGCTATTCTTGACACACTCATCAAGAGCAAGGCTGAAAAACTTGACCCCCGGATAACACCTCCTATCTTTTAAGGTCTCAAAGAACTTCACTGCTTCGCGGATCCCATCAGGCCCCTTAAGCAAAGTATTCAAGAATGAATCATAAGCTGGCACATTGCTCGGGTCCCAACCAATCTCAATCACCATCTCAGAGAAAACCTGCCTAGCACAAGCTACATTGCCTTCATTTTCCCACCCTTCCAACAAAATCGCATACGTATCAGGGTCTGGCTTAATCTTATCCTTAGCAATACGCAAAAAATCAACAGCATCTGAAGTCTTCCCATCTCTACAAATTGCACTCAAAAGGGAATTCAATGCCACAATATCTCTAGGGCATCCATATTCGCTCATAACCTCAAAAGTCATAAAAGCCTCCTGGACACGATTGGCAACTACATAACTACTAAAAACAGAAGCAAAAGTGGCCAAAGAGAGTAACCTTTCTTTTCTCATGGACTTTATGGCGTCCCACATCGCATCAAAGAAGCAATTCTTACCCAGAAGATCAACAACCAAGTTCCACGCATAGGGGCTGTGGTAGTCATTGAGATGGTGACCAGCCCACCTAAAGAACTTCACGGCGGGACCTGGAAAAGCGTAAGAGAGTTTGAGGACCTCTTCAACGTCTTCTTGGGTCACTCTAACACCAGTCTCTGCCAGGCGTTCCTCAACAGAAAGAGTGTGGGTATTGGCCACTATTTCACAGAGGAGTCTGATCTTGGGTGGTAGATTGGGTGTGTCAAGGTATGAGGCAAAGGTTGGGCGCTTAGGCATGGGGGTTTGGGGAACTGGGTTTAGGGGCAAGGGGATTGCGGTTGAGGACAAGTGGTTTTTCTGAATTGGGGTTGAAGAATTGTGGTTTTTCCGAATTGGGTTTGGGGAAGAGTGGAGTTTCTTGGTGGGTTGGTGTTTATGGCGATTTGGGTTTGAAGAAGAAGAGGGGAGAGGAGGTGGGTAAACATGGCGTCGTTTTCTGCTGGTCCTGGTCATATGGGTATTTGTAAGATGAACTGAAACAAGGGAATTCTGAAAGATTAAGAGCTTTGAGAACCCTAGAAGGGCATCTGGAAAACGAACGCCGGTTACGGAGTGCAGAGGGCGTCCCTTCCGGGCGAAAAAACGAAGAAAAGAAAGGGGACGTCTGAAAAATTAGAGTTTTTATCACAAATGGTCCCTCAGGTTTGTTAAATTATCATCTTTGGGCCTTTATATTTTACATTATTGGTCTGGTCCTTTATGTTAATCCGGACGCATCAATTAAGTCCTTACAGGTTTTGTCAAAATTTATATTAAATTGATGACGTGACACATATATAGTGTCATATATCCAATCTGTTAATGCCACATGGATCTGAATAAAACAATTATTTTTTAAAATAATTTAACATTTATTTTCTAAATAAAAAAACTAAAAGAAATAAAAGAAAGAGAAAATGCTCATTCCGCCTCCCTCTCCTTCCCCTCCTTTTATTTCTATTTCCCCCACCCTCATTGACAAGACCCGCCCCGAATTTTCCTCCGAATCCAGCCGTATTTCATATATCATATTGATGTCAGCCCACTTACTAAAGAATGAGACTTTCTGTTGAAATTTCGGCAGAGTCACCCCTGAAAATTTGTCTTTTCCCAAATTTTTCAACCAATTAAAAAAAACACACAATTTAAAACACCAACTAGCAACATGCAACGGCAAGATTCAAACAATTTACATAATAGGCTTCCAGCCTCACCATCATACCCTAGTACAGGCGATAGCAGAGTATAACTTACATAATTCCTTTTAGAAACAAAATAGGGTTCAACATAAGCAGAAATGGATAAGGATTGCTCTAAACAAGCTCGGGCTTCAAGTCACCGATGAATTCAAAACCAAACTTAACAACTCTAACCAATCGGATTCGATTCCAATGACCAAATGAAAGTCCACAAAAAAATATGGTTTGTCTTGTAGCTGCACTTGGATGAGACCCCAGGCTACCTACGTACCCTTACTGAGGGATTAAGTCACACGTAGTTCTTCCAACAAAAATCCCGATTCAAATAACATACAATCAATTACAACAATACAAAACAATAAATTCTAGATTTATCCCTTTCCCGGTTCTTTGCCAACAGTCACTGCCCCAAGTTTGCAATAGACGCTGCACATTGGACGCTTAAAGCCATCGTGTCATCTGCAATAGTATACTCATCCTTCTTTCCCAATGTCCTTAGATCTCTAGGAGTCAGTAGACCCCTTGACACTGCAGCAGCTACATCATTATCCTGTAATTATAATTGATTGAGAGGAAATATTTAAAAGATACCATTTTAGTTGTCTATATGAGTTGGTGATTATAATTGATTGGCCCAGGTTGGTGCCCTTCAAGATGTTCGCTCTGAGTTGACAAAGTTGCGAGGAGTTCTGTTTTATAAAGTGCTAGAGGATTTGCATGCTCTTCTTTACAAGGAGGGTGAATATAGGTATGTAGAGTTCCTTTCTTGTGGGGTACTTTCTTATACCTTAGCATCACTTTAGAAATACTAGTTTTAAGGAAAAAAGAGGAAACATTTTCTGTTTATTGCTGTTACATGAAGTTTTTCGAGTTTAGCATATACGTAATTTTGGTTAACCAATAGAGAAAAGGAAAAAGAAAAAAGAAAAGAAACTAATTAAGTTCTTTTACCTTTTCGTGGTTTACTTATTAAATGGAAATGAACAAGAAAAGAAGAGAAAAGGTGGAGAAATAACTCTAAGTTTTCCTCTCAAACTCTCTCTTCTAAATTGATGAGATTTGAAAAGAAAGTTGATCTATACGAACAGTGGTTGTCATAATTGTATTTTCTCTTCCTCTTCTTCGCATAACAAAAAACAAGGAAGAATATGAAAACCTTATGTGTCATTTATTTTCTCAAGTGAAAAGTGAACCAAACCTAGAGTTAAAATCTTACTGTCTAATTGACTCATAATTTTACACAAACTTATGTCATTTTGAGACACAACTCTTCGTTTGAAAATTATATAACATGGTAATTTGTGGATTTCTTTTTGTTCATACTCTCTTATAGAATCGACATATGTTCCCAAGTCTCAAATTCTTACTTGATATTTTTTCTGTAATATAGTAAAAAAGGATTGATATATCTCCCATGAGGATAATATAGTAAAGGGTTAATTTCAGTTTGGTGCCGTTCCCGTGCTCGTGCTCGTGCCATACTCGGACCCAAGAACCAATCCATTTAATTTGAATTTTTTTCACTTGATTTTTTTTCCACTACATAATTCAAATTATAAACATTAAAAATATAATTAGAGGCAACAAATGATGAACTATTTGAAAACATTAATCAATCAAACATCCAAACAATATAAAATGGCAGATGGCAAAAAGTGTCCAACTCTACAAAGTTCACTTCAACTTTTCATCTTTAAACAACTTATTATTTTATATGTGAAAAAATGTCTTGCTTTGATTATAAGAGAAGCGTATATGTCATATGTAATGATTAGATATCAAGTCCAATGTTGTTTAATTAATTTGTAGTTGATATGTTTAATTAATTAAGGACCCAAGTATTTCTCTAAAATGAAAGACATCAAATATATATTTATGATTAAAAAAAACTTATGAATAAACATTATATGTCAAATTATTGCATTTTGACTTTTGAGAAAGAAAAAAATGTTAAGTGGGCCGCACTTGGGCCGTGTTTGGGCTCATGCTTGGGCTCGTGCCGTGCTTGAAGCGTGCTCGGGCCCAACCCGACCCATGTTGGGCCATGGGCCGGCCCGGTCCATTGGACCTCATTTTTTGATTTCGGCCTGGCCCAAGTTTTCGTGTCGTGCCGAGCACGACCCATTAATATTCGTGCTTGTGCCGTGCTGGGCCAGCCCGTCCCGTTTGACACCTCTAATCTCCAGCCATGTAGGGCTATATTTTAAGGTCCTTCATATTTTATTATTTTAAGAAAAACTATGGTACAACACTCATACCTTCCACAACTATATATTGTTTAATTTAATTAAACTACTATTTAGAGACAATATTTCATATATGTGACCACATTTAAAAAAGAAAAAAAGAAAAAAAGGGTTTCAATAGTCTGATCTCTAACGGTCATGACCAAGAATTTTTTATTATTCTTTTTAACACTTGAAAACTTGAAAAAATGGGTGAGGGAAAACAACACTATAATTTTTTTGTGGAAAAAAAAAAAAAAAAAAAAAAAAAAAAAAAAAAAAAAAAAGAGGTGGGTTCAATGGTCTGACCTCCAATGGTCATGACCAATAATTTTTTATACATTTTTCTTAAATACGAATTGAAACATTTAAAAAGGTTTTTAAAAATATATATGCTTTAATGTTGGTTTGTTGAAAAGCAAATACATAGAGCCCACAAAAAATTAGGCCTAGGCTAAAGCTGGGTTATATTTGACCTAGTTGAAGGGCTAAAGGGCTAAATGCGGGTGTTTACCCCGTGATTGAAGATTAATTGTCTACCATTCTATATTTCAATCGCCCATTCGACATAAACAATCTCATCCCCAAACCCTAGATCCATCGTCTCTTATATCTTATACGTTCTTCCTCTCAACCCAATCCTAAAATACGGTATTTTTATCTCCCCCACCTAAATACAAACTCTGCTGCAACCTCAATTACCTCTTCCCTTCTCCTCGTATTGAATACATCATACATACCCATTCGATTTGGAGAGATTATATAAAATTTGTGATGGCGGCCCAGCGTAAGAACCCGCAGATTGAGAATGTTCTGATGATGCTTCCCTCGAGCATTCGCTGCACTTGTTGTAGAAGGGAAGAAGAGGAAAAAAAAATTATGGAGTGGGTTTTATGTTTTGTTGTTTTGGATTGTGATGAAGTGAGAGAAAAGGGAAGAGGAAGCAGGGAAAGAGACGGAGAGATAGAAGAAGAAAGAAAAAAATAAAAAGCAGATAGAGGAGAGCGAGAGAGAGAGAGAGAAGGGAAGAAGAGGAAAAAAAGGTATGAAGGATTGTGATGGAGGAGAGAGAAGAGGGAAGAGGAAGAAGAGAAAGAGAGACGGAGAGAGAGAGAGAGACGGAGAGATAGAAGAAGAAAGGGAGAGAGAGAGAGAGAGGAATAAATAAATAAAATAAAAAGGGAGAGATGGGTGAATGCCCAAAAGAGAGAGAGAAGGTTGCGTGTATCTATTTGCAACCTTGGGAAGTCAGACAAAAAAACGGAAAAAAAAAGCCTTGGGAAGTGGAAGAGGGAGGTAGGGAAACTTGAAAACATTTGGGAAGTGTGAAATGTGACTTAATTACTTAATATAATTTATTTAATCCATTTAATGTTATTAATTATTTTATTATTCATTATAAATACTTACATTACTAAATTCTCTTTCAAATTGTTGCTTAATTACTTAAATCTCTATAATCATTTTCATTATTTGCTATTTAATTCTTCCTTGGATAAATTTATTTATGTTCTTAGTTAATTTTCAATCTTCACTATTATTTTTTAAGCATGGTAAAGTGCCTAATTTTCATGGCAAATCAAGTTGGTTTACATCTTTAATTATTTTTCAATTTTTGATAAATTAATAGATATAACAACATGTACCATGTCCAGTGAATAACGTGAAATAGGGTTACTCATGTATCTTATCATGCAATTTATAAAGTGTAAAATATTGTACTAAAAAATGATAAATAAATTACTAAGGGGTGTTTAATTCTCTTTCATTAATTACTTCAACTTTTCTAAGTCACAGAGTTTGTCAGGTCGCAATATAATCAACTTAAATCACACAAACCCACTATGCAATGCATTTCCTTCCAATTTTTTGTGTCAAAATAATAGATGATTGACAAAATAAACTTCTTCTAAAGTTTCATTAAAAATTTCCATGTATTTATCATAATTTCCGTAGTTTTTATCCAATTTTTATCGATATCGATATTTTCACGATATTTCCATCGATATTTCCGTGTTTTTGAACAATCGATATTTCCGAAACTATCGATATTTAAGACCTTGGCTTCGGTCCAATTAGTTCCTTGCACTATCGCCTTGATCAACTGAAAAATAGAAAAACCCTAGTAAAGCCCTTGTGAGAGCAAATATTTTCGTCTCCAATCAGGGCACGCAACGTGAAAAAGAAGATTATCTCTTAAATTAATTAATTGAACCAATTTATCTGGCCAATTAATTAATTGGGATAAATATCTTACTTAATGGGATATTATCTTTATTTAATGAGATAATACCATTAATTTAGATATTATCTTAATAAAGAGAAGATAATATCATTAATTCAGATATTATCTTCATAAAAAGAGATAATATCATTTAATTTAGATATTATCTTCAATAAAGAGAAGATAATATCATTAAATCAGATATTATCTAAGTCCGACTCGATCCCTACGAATTTGGGTAGGGAATAAACTCAGCATATTCTCTACGAAACCCTAGCCTCGAGGCATCGGAGGGCCTTTGGCCAACACCAACCCCCTCCCCCCCCGGGTGTGGTCTATTTACTCAATTCTTTTTTACAGGAAATGAGGAAGAAAGAGAAGCAAGATTGAAGGTTGAAGGATCTAGAAGCGAATACTCTCCCGCGAGATTATTTGCACAAACATTTGGTGCTTTCATTGAGAGCACGAGTTATACTCAACGCGTGCTTAAGGAATCCGTTCCTCCTATTTTCCAATCCACCGAAGTCTTCCAAACAACCATAGTTGGAAGCAAGCGCACCAGGAGTAAAACCGCCGCGATGACTAAATCCACGACGGCCCAAAGCCACTCCACCCACGATCCCGCGATCGACATGGTGGCACCACCACCTCTCACCATCGTGCCACCTACCAGACTCGCGGCCGGATCTAGTAACCTCCGTGGCACCGCCACCGAGCATGGTGGGACCTCCCATTAAGGTGGGCTCGTTACCACCACTGACTTAGGCCCGGTCTTGGAGCAACTTCAAGCATTCCCTTCATTGCCTCCACGCTTGACGCATGCTTCTGCATACATCTCCAATGAAACCCTAGCCCATGTGCAATTGGGCTCCACACACTTCTCTCCTCCCGATCCACGAAGTCAAGTAGATCTTAATATGAGAGTTGACCAGCTAGATCAGAGGATGGACGACCAAACCAATCTGATGAAGTAGCTCCTCAACCAAATAAACTTGGTTCAAAACCTTGGCCTTGGACAACCGGGCGAAGAGAGAAGGGTGGATGAACGCGCCGATCGGCAGCTCGATGGGTACCAAGCAGGTCGAGCAGGAATGGCAGACAAGAAGAGGGACAACAACGTGATCAGCTTGCAAACATGTCACAAGCATCCGCAAACCACACTCAGAGCAACGTACGAGAAAGGTTGGGCCGACGACTTGACATCCACGCCCGCTTGGGCCTGCAGGGAAATGTACTTCAAAGGCTAGGCTCCCAGGGAGGTCGGCCAGACGACCGTCGCAACGAGGATCGTGAAGAAAGGCGCTCAGTTGTCCACTTGCAGAGGAGCATTCATGAAAGGCTAGACCCCCAGAGTGGTCAGCTGGGTAACCCTCACAATGAGGACTGTGAAGAAAGGCGCTTCAGTGCCCGCTCTCAAAGAACCAATTCTTGTCGCCAAGCTATAGAAAATCCCTCGCAAGTGTAGTCCACCAACACGCCTCCTAGGCAGCGTAGACGAGAGGGTTGACCCTCGCAGACTAAAGAGGAGGTCAATCAGCGTTGCTCGAATCGCGAAGGTCGCCAACGTGATCGACCAGCAATGTGTGCAGAAGACGTTGAGAAGCTTGTGAATGACCGACATAAGGAGATGGACCAAGCAATCTCTACTCCTTTTACCCCTGAAATCGAGCAGGCTGCTCCCCCAAAGCGATTCTCAACACCTTCTTTTATACATTTCAAAGGGGATTCGGATCCCGAGAGCCACCTAAAACACTTCAAAAGTGTCATGATCCTCCACAAGGCCGACGACGGACTGATGTGCAAGGTGTTTGCAATGACCTTGCGAGGAGCAGCTCAAGATTGGTTCCACACCCGGCCATCTGGGTCGATCAGCAACTTTAAGGAGCTTGCTTGTGTCTTTATTAAAGAATACACTTCTTATCGGACGATCAAGAAGAACCCTGATCATTTGTTCAACCTGCGCAAGAAGTCCGATGAATCCCTCCGAGACTACTTCAAGAGGTTCAAAGCGGAGAGGGCAAATATTGTAGGATGTGATGACCAAATTGCATCATCTGCCTTCAAGAGGGGGTTACCAACTGAATGTGAGCTGTATCGCGAGCTTACCATCTCTCATCACCAAACACTGGTAGAAGTCTTTGCTACAGCAGAGCGCTACGCACTATGGGACGATGACCGGATTGCCGCGAAGGAGGCTGATCAAGTAGCTGAGCAGATAAGCAAAGAGAATGGCAAGCGCAGATCACAGCCTCAGGAATGTGCTCTAGCAGCGGAGAGCTACACTAAGTTCACTATCCCGATACACCAGATCCTAGCCCAAGTAAAGGACATGCCTTGGTTGAAGAAACCATCATCTTTAAAGGAAAACCCAACCAAGAAGGATACCAGTAGATACTGCACATTCCATGAAGGGCACAGTCATTACACAAACGACTGCTTCGCCTGGAAAAGACACCTCGAAGATCTAGTCAAAGATGGCCATTGCACGGAATTCGTCGCAAGGGAGGCTATCCAGCAAATCAAGGATTGTGACGCCGCTAACAATGAGTCTACACGAAAAAAGTCATACGGATCAACATAATCCTAGCCGACTCCAAGAGCCTAAGATGACCACCAGGGGCAGAAGAGAAAGATCAAGCAGGCGAATTTCGTCTCCCAAGCCGTCACTAGCTACCAAGTTATGGAAGACGAATCTTTCATCATCTTTCAATGGAAGGAAGTTCCAGTGTAATTGAATGCCCTTCACCTCCAGAGGTACTATCCATGAAGCTCCTCATCTATTAGCTTGGCTCTAAGCAGGCAGCCAAGCCTCCATCACCTCCATTGAAGACAAGTTACTTTTGATGTTACTCATGCAACTCATCTTTTTGTTCAATAAAGCAATGTAGTAACACAGACATCAATACAAGTTCAAGCTTTTCTTTCCAATGGAGTGTTCACAAAAGCAATCGACACTTCTCCGGGCGTAGGCCAAATGGGCCACACTCATCGACACGTCTCTAGACGTAGGCCAAACGGGCCACTCTAATCGACACGTCTCTGGACGTAGGCCAAACGGGCCACTATCATCGACATGTCTCCGGACGTAGGCTGAACGGGCCACACATCATCAACACGTCTCTGGATGTAGGTCAAACGGGCTACTCTAATCGACACGTCTCTGGACGTAGGCCAAACGGGTCACTATCATCGACACGTCTTCGAACGTAGGCCAAACGGGCCACACACATCGATATGTCTCCGAACGTAGGCCAAACAGGCCACCATCATCGACACGTCTCCGGACGTAGGCCAAACGGGCCACACACATCGACACGTCTCCAAACATAGGGCACACGGGCCACTCTCATCGACATGTCTTCGGACGTAGGCCAAACGGGCCACTATCATCGACACGTCTCCAGATGTAGGCCAAACGGGCCACACACACACATCGACACGTCTCCGAACATAGGCCAAACGGGCCACTGTCATCGACACGTCCCCGAACGTAGGTTAAATGGGCCACTCTCATCTACACGTCTCCAGACGTAGGCTAAACATGCCACAACCCAACAGGCAGAACACTCCTCCTATCCAGCAGGCAAATCATCAGGATTCGGACCATTCTGCTTTCATCCCTCGACATTCTTGGCAGGGGCCAGACCATCGTCTTTCTCTTGATACTCGCTCAACAGCAACTAGCGGCCACCGTCGCTCTAACCTTCTTTGACTGCCTGTCACAATGTCACCCAGCTGGTCCTTGCCTCGAAAAAAAGAAGACGAAGAAAAATATACGTGCTCGACTTACCTTGGGATGCACGGCAACTCCTCTCTTCGACAAGCAGTACAAATTCTCCAAGATCTTTATGAAGCTAGAAAGTAGAGAAGTTAAGTTTGCAATGTAAGAAAGAGTGAAGAGAAGCCCTGTATTTGTACAAGTTGGACAACTCAGGTCATGAAGGAATCGCAAGCTCATTCCTACTGGGAATCCAACTCTAAGAACAGTCAGAAGCCTACGCCAATTAGTAATCCAATCTACAAAAAAGCCCAGACACAGTTGGAGAGCCCGAAAAAATAATTTCATCTCCTACATGCCACACAAGCGCCATGCAGAAGCTGGGGGGCATTTGTGGGAGAAAATATTTTCGTCTCTAATCAGGGCACGCCACGTGGAAAAGAAGATTATCTCTTAAATTAATTAATTGAACCAGTTTATCTGGCCAATTAATTAATTGGGATAAGTATCTTAATTAATGAGATATTATCTTTATTTAATGAGATAATACCATTAATTTAGATATTATCTTAATAAAGAGAAGATAATATCATTAATTCAAATATTATCTTCATAAAAAGAGATAATATCGTTTAATTTAGATATTATCTTCAATAAAGAGAAGATAATATCATTAAATCAGATATTATCTAAGTCCGACTCGATCCCTACGAATTTGGGTAGGGAATAAACTCAGCATATTCTACGAAACCCTAGCCCCGAGGCTCCTATAAATAGGCTACTTCATTCATCATTCAAGGTACATCTAAACCTTCTCCAAAACCCGAGAAAAATACTCGAAGCTCTCTTTCCCTCTCCACTCTCTATATTTTCTCCACACGACTCCGGCCACCACACACGGCTCCCGTCGCCCGGTTCACACCATACATAAACTCCGTACCCTTTGCTTAGCTATTGTTTTCCTACAAATACTCGAACTAATTTAGGCATCGGAGGGCCTTTGACCAACACCCCCCCGGGTGTGGTCTATTTACTCAAGTCTTTTTTTACAGGAAAAGAGGAAGAAAGAGAAGGAAGATTGAAGGTTGAAGGATCTAGAAGCGAATACTCTCCCGCGAGATTATTTGCACAAACAGCCCTATCGCCTTCATCTCTTTGATCTCTCTGTAATCATGGAGGAGTACCCAGTACTTGAAATTACTAATGATTTGTGGAAATCTAATAAAGAACTGTTCTATTCAGGTTTATACTCTTCATTCTCTTTGTCTCTATGCAGTGGCAGTTTGACAAAGAGGGATTTTGAGCAGTATATGGCAGAAGAATCATTCATTATGAACGCCATTGCTGAAGGGTTGGATTTCCGTTTTTTCTTCTTCTAATTTTGTGTCTTCTAAATTTTTTTGAGATTTGTACTGCTTTTATTTGTCTGATCTCTGAATGTTTAGGTACGCAATTGCTCGACAATATGCCTCTAAAGCTAGTTCATATATCCTTGGTGAGCTGAGTCTCCAACTCAAGAAGGAAGTCGAGGACAGGAAGAAGAAATTTGAGGTATTCATTTAAATTGTGATATTGTTTCTTATTTACTTGTACAGACCAACAATATGCAATTTACTATATAGATAATGAGGAAGAAGCCATATGTAAACTGAAGCACTTTCTTGGCAGTCAATTTCGAATCAAAGATCTCGGACCCTTGAGATACTTTATTGGTGTTGAGGTGGCACGATCAAAATCTGGAATTTCTATTTGCCAACGGAAGTACACCCTTGGCATTTTGGCAAAAGCCGGATTACTTGGAGCCAAACCAGTCAAAGTTCCTATGGACCATGATCTGGTGTTGTTATCTACAGGGGAGTTACTCAAAGATCCTACTCGATATCATTAGTTAGTTGGAAAGCTGATTTATCTCACAATTACAAGACCAGAAATCACTTATGAGTCAGTTCATGCAAGAACCTAGACATCAACGTCTTGATGCAGCATACCGTCTTCTCTACTACCTAAAGGAAGCTCCAAGTCAAGGGTTACTTTTTCCTTCACAGAATCAGTTAAGGCTGATTGGTTATTGTGATGCAGATTGGGCCAGATGCCCAATCACACGCAGATCAGTCACAGGTTATTGCATATTTCTTGGTAATGCGCTTGTGTCTTGGAAAAGCAAGAAACAAGTTACAGTTGCACGATCATCAGCCGAAGCAGAATATCGTTCAATGGCTACAACCACATGTGAACTAACTTGGCTGAGACACACAAGTCCAACATTTGCCTAGGTTGGTCTAGCCTTGGGAAATTGACATTCACCATATTGACTTGGACATTTGGAAAAGGGTTCTGGTCGATGCCCATGATAATTTTCTTTGGAAACTTCAAGATCTTCCAATCGATGAAGTCTTTTGGGAGGTTTCACTAAACTTGGACATTTGGGCCGTGGTCGGCCTTTGATCCTTAGAGGCTTTAGACAAAGCTTTGCATACATACGGCCATTTAGCCACAATCTCGGCCAAATTTACCCCGGCCGACTCTTCTTCCTCTTCTAGGTAAACCTCATCACCTCTTTCTTATGAGTCTATATCTTCAATGTCCACTGCGTGGACCACCGTAGTTCTAGGCCTAGAGGGCTTGGTCGAATCTCTATAAAAGGTTGGCCGAGGTGCTGGCAGCCCCTTTTGTTGTTCCTCCTTTAGAAAGGCTTCATATCGGTCCGCCCGAAGTAGGAGATTATAAATATCGCAGAACTCAATTTCTTCGAATTTCTTTCGTAGGTCAAGCAAAAATCCTCATTGGGCCAATTTTGCAAACTCGTGCTCCGACATATTTACCGTGTACCTAGCCCTTGCTTCTCCAAATCGCCCCAAGTTTTCTTGGATCAACTCATTTGGCTTCTGGCTTAACTTCGCCAAGTCGGCCATTGAAACTTCTAGCTCCGGCCGATAGAATTGCTCATGGAAGTTATGCTCCATGACTTGCCAATTTGGGATAGAGTTTTGTGGAAGTTTAACATATCACGAGAAAGAGGCCCCCCGTGAGTGTACTTGGGAATAAACTTAGTTTCAAGGCCTCATGATGCCCAATCTCTACACATTGGGTCATGAATCGGCCACTATGTTCGACAGTCGACTGGAGCCCATCTCCCAAAAATAGTGCAAAATTTGGAACCTTGAAACCCCTCGGAAATTCTTCTTGATCAAAGTGCTCTGGATATGGCCTCCGGTAGACTGGCCTACCAATCCTCCTAGTGTGGGGCACCATATCTTGAATCATTTGTTCGACCACACCTTGGTCGATTGCTTGGTTCCCTAGCAACGAGTTGTTCGCATTTTCGCCGAGATTATTCCAACCACAAACTCCGGCGAATTGGTTGATATGAGGCCCAGCAAAATTGGCTCTGGCCCTTTGGTGCGCTTGTGGGCGGAATTGATTATATGGCGGAAACACTTGGAATTGGTTGGTCGCCGCATATGGGTTGCCCATCGGCAGAACATTAACCACTAGGGCTAGGTTGCCCCCAGCTGGTGGACTAGGTTAGGGCGGATTTGCTCCAAAGACATTTGGTTGGGCCTCCACTTGAGGCCCGACTGCTGTACTCCATTAGGCACTATTTGGTTCCCATTTTGGCCCTTTTTTTTTGGCCTAGCAATCAATCAAACCTCTCATTGATTTGAGCATTTTGAGTGGCCATTGTCTGTGCCATTGTCTCCATGGCATGCATGAATTGTTGGAATTCCAATGAAGTGGCCGGATTTTGCTTCAAAACTGGTCCTCCAATACCTTTCCTAACATCTTCAACCAACACATTGTTGGGACAGCTGGCCGAGTCTCGGCCGAAATCATTTTGGTCGACGGCCGTGATTCGGCCGAGGTCATTTTGGCCTTGTTGAGCAGTCGAAACATTTGTTGCTGAGTATACACGAGGAGTGAACCAACCATCTGATTATGGTCGAAGTAATGTGAATCCCTCCGGCGGATTACTTGGGTGATGGACATGGCCCCAAGTCATCTTTCGCCCAAAAAATCACCAATTTCCATGTCTGTGGCCGAAATCAAGGCATCATTCATCTTCCGCCGACGAAACTCAATCTTTGGCCATTTATTATTATTATTTTATTATTATTATTTTTTAATAACTAAGTGGCCAATTCATTCAAGAATGAACCATGACCTTTATTTGAATCTTAACGACCTACCTAGTAGGTGGCCACGTAGAACAAAATTTTCATGGAGACCATGGCGGTGGCTAGCCATGTTTTACTCCAAGCTTGGAACCCTTCTTATTCTCAACATGGATTTCGCAATTTCGCAAGTTGTAAATTGGTGTACAAGTCACCTTGGTACGACCACGACTATTTTTTCCTTTTATGCTGGCCGAATTTCCTTGCACCCCAAGTCCGCTTGATTGGCCGGACTTGGCCTTCTGTTGGGGTTTGATAAAGTCGACCATTTCTAATTGTGGTATAATCACATCTGATTGGTCCCTTACAACCATGTCTATTATGACTGCTTCAGGTTGGATCATCCACATCATTTTCCTTTATATATTGTCGGCCAACCTCATTTTCCTCCACATAGGTAGGTAGAATGAGTGACCGTATTGTAGTCACTTGATGGTTTTCCTGCTGTGGCTGAGATTTAAGATTGTGACTAAGAGCTTGCTCTTCTACTACAAGTCGCGAGGTGACTTCACGCAAACCTTGGAACAAAAGTTCGTTGGAAGCATGAAACTCATCCATCATATCTTTCACTTCGGATATTTCCTTTATGAAATTTTGATGTTCTTTGTCCATACGGTCAACATATGGCATTTCACCTATGTTAATATTATTTTGGTCGTTACAGCCAAAAATCTGATTAGCTTGGTGGAGGCCGTAACTAGGCTGATTATAAATATTGACCGAATTATTTTGTCCTCCGGCCACTTGATTGTACTGGCCATTATAACCATGTTGGCCATTCGCATAATTTTGATATATTATATTATTTTGGCCATGATTATTGTTTCCGCCATGTTGGCCATTGAATTGGCTACTAGAACCATATTGATATGTAGAATTGTATTGGCCGATATAGGCACCTTGATTGGTTTGGCCACCAAAGCCATTTTGATCATTCGAACCATTTTGGTTCATAACATCATATTCCCCAATATAGTTGTGCCCACTATACTGGTCACCAAATCCTCCAACATAGTTGTGCCCACCATATTGGCCGCCAAACTGACTACTTGAGCCATATTGGTTGTTAGGCCCGCCTTGATGGGTAAAACTATATTGCCCATAGTATTGGCTGATGGATTGGCTATTCGAGCCATAAGAATAATAGTCGTTATAGTTCATTGGCTGATAGGAATGTTGCCATTCCTTTTGGGTCGCTCATAGAGTGTGTCCCACCGGGCGTGCCAAATTATGTTTCCCTCTTTTCGGCCGAGTAGGCCGATTGAAGGAGTTTTTGGTCCTTCTTCTTTTTTGAGTGTGGGGCGTGCCACCACCAAGCCCCGAATTTGGGCTTGAATGGAATGTGAGTAGATGGATGTGTTGCGGCCGAGATCTGACTTTAATCAAACGATTGTTCGGCCGAGCAAGGAACCTCCTCACGGCCTAGGTTCTTTCACTACCTCAGAGTCAAGGCTTTATGTGAGCAACCAAATGATGTGGAGTGGGTGGAGATGAAGATTGAAGGTGAAATGTAATGAAACGAATAACACGTGCATAAAGTAAAGGTGCTTGAATTTAAATATAATTGAAAGACAAGTGCGGAAAGTAAAGTGCGTAAAATAAAGAATGTAAAGGCAAGTGCGTAATTTAAAGTGCGTGAAATAAAGAATTTAAAGACGAGTGCGTAATGTAAATTGATTAAATTAAATAATTGAAATGCAAGTGCGTAAAGTAAAGGGCGGAAAGTAAACTAGATTACGAAGAACAGTAAAGAAACATGAATTGAAGTTACTGTAATTAAAATAGAATTGAAAAACAAGAACAAGAATGTAAAGGCATAATTGAAATCTACGGAAACTAGAACGGGAAAAATAAGAACTAGGCTATGGTTACATTATGCTACTCCTAGGATAGAAATTGAAGAGAATGTAAAATGACAAGTTGTGTGTTGTGTCGGGGGTCCTTTCTCTCTTCCATAAGCTTGGTATTTATAGGGGCTTCGGTGCGTCCCAATTTGGTCGGTCGTCAATTGGCCTTCAAATCAATCATAATTGCTCCAGAATATCTTCAATCCCTTGTCTCATGCTTGTGATTTAATATGAATAATATTTGATTTGATTTTCCTTCCATCTTGAGCTCTCCCTCAATAACTTCAGTTGACCATCAAGTTGGCATAATTCCTTTCATATTTGAATTGTAACCTATGAGAAAATCCTCCTACGGATTATCTCTCTCCTTATTTAAGCATTGACTGATTTTATGTATTCGGCCGCTTTTAGTCTTCCGACCGTATCTACATTTTCGGCCGCATATAGGCTTTCGACCACTTCCACATTTTCAGCTGCATATAGGCTTTCGACCACTTCCACATTTTTGTGTTCGGCCACATTGATGTATTCCACCACATGTAGATATGCTGCTACATTTATGATTTTGGGCTTCTATCTGGCCTTATTGATTAGGCCCACCGAAATATAGCTTGGGCTCACTATTAGTTTAATTGTCGGATCTCGGGCCTGACCCGGTTAAATTTCAACCAGGCTCAAACAGTCTGTAAGCAATACATTCATTCATTCAACACAATATTAAATTGTTTCACCTACCTTCCACGATGCCACTGTAAAACTTTTGAAACACCAGAAACAATTTGATTGAACTGTACCCACCAGAAGTTGGAAGATATACATCAATCCCTATTTGCAAAACTATCAGACTCGAATTCAAAAACACGTAACTTATTCAATTAAAATACAACTCTATCTTTGAACTAGTCAAGACTCAGACGCCAACGAAAATCTTTTTTATTCAATCTCTAGAGACACCCTGTCTTACAGACATCCCCACACACTCCCAACCCCTTGCTCCAATTCTCTCCCATTTATTGAGTGAACTTGAATTACAAAAGCGTTGAAATTGGCTAATTTTTGGAATCCCTAAAAGTAAAAGGGGATATATGATATATGAATCCCTCAAAGAGGCAGGAAATGAGAGCTCACCCTTTTCTTCTACTCATTGTCTTTCTACATGAAATTTGTCAAACCACATACAAAAAAATCAGAAATGGGGATGAAGCAGCTACGGTGATTCGTTTGTAATTTAATATTTTGTTATTTTTTATGATATCACATTATTTTATTGTTAAAACATTCATGGTTTTAGGTAACGGTATTATTGTCTTCTAGTAAAATTGATAGTTATTTGTTAGTGAAAGAAGCTATTTGTTTTAACACCAAAATAAAAGTTGCTATTTGTATCAGTTGTAACAATTCAAGGACACCTCAAAATTTCCGTCCATTTCTTTCTCGATGTGTCCTTGAATTACTACAATTATGAAACTGAAATGGCAAAAATTGACAAAATTGAAAACCACAAGGACGAAAGTGAAAAAATCTATAAACTATAAGGACCAAAAGTGACATTCCATTATGGTTAGTCAAAGTGCCTTCTTGGCAAAGCTTGTTGATGTGTTTATATTTATATAGCTTTTTGATAAATATTTCCCTTAGATTTTGTATAATTGGATTGGTTAATTGCACTAAATTTAATTGTTTTGATTTACAGGTGTTCAATTTTGGAAATACATGGAAATTAAAGTAGAAATGCAGGTTTCGGGTGTTTGGAGCAATTTTGGTGGAAAAGTCTCAATGGGCCTAATCAAGTTTACTGAAGAAAGTACTGGGCTGGAGTTGCAGGCGTGAAGTGGACGTGGGGGATTTGCTTTTGTTTTATTTACTTCCTTGTTCAAGGAGAACTACGGTCCTAAGAGCATCTCCAGCGTAGGTCGGGCTAAGGGGGAAAGGCTGCCCGACGCAACCCGAGTTCACTCCAGCGCAGGGCCCGTAGCCCAGTTTGGTGGCGGGTCCCACGAGCCCGAGGAAGCCCAAGGGCAAGTCTTGCCCGGGCTGAAGCCCGAGTTGGTGACGTTAGCACTGGCGTCACTCTGACGCCAGCGCACGGTAAGTCAAATTTTTTTTACCGTTGGCGCGTGTAATTCACGCGCCAACGGTAAAAAAAATTTGACTTACCGTGCGCTGGCGTCAGCGTGACGTCAGCCACTGACAGCTCCAACGGGCGGGTGCCACGTGGCGCAACGGGGACTCTCCGATGAAATTTTTCCAGAAATTCGACGGTCCTCGTTTTTTTGGCTAAAAAAATTGCGAAAAAAATCGAAAAAAATCTGAATTTTTTTTAAAAAAATACCCAAAAATTCGGTATTTTTTCTCTATAAATACCTAACCATTTTATTTACTTTCCACACTAAAATCTTCATACAATTTCTTCTCCATCCCATATTTTTTACTCTTTACTCACATTATTCACTTTCCACACCAATTCTTCATACAAACTTTTCTCCTTCCAATTTTTTTGTTCATCTCCACTCACATTTTTCACTTCCACACCAATTCTCCATACAAACTCTTCTCCTTCCAATATTTTTACTCTCTTTCTACTACTTTCCATTTGTATAAAAAAAAACAAATGGCATCTTGTATTGAAGTCGGAGGCTCGTGGTCAACGAATGAAGATATTGCGTTGTGTCAATCTTGGGTGAACATTAGTCATGACCCTATCACGGGTAATGAAATGAAGTTTCATCACATGTGGAGCAAAATTCATGGAGAATTTTGTCAAAGATCGGGTTCGATTCGGACCGAAATGGCGTTGTCTAGTAGATGGAAACTTCTTAATAAAGAGTTAGGGAAATGGAGGAATGCCTTGACAAAAGCAAAGGCGAACATTCAAAACGGTCAAAATTTGACCGATGAGGTAAAATATTTATAATTGCCATTTTAATCAATTCAATGTCACTTTTTTTTTATTACATATTCTATTTGTTTTTCTTGCATAATTTTTTTTTCTTGGTGCACCTTTAATTTGTCTATATTTTCTTGCATAATCAATTTTATTTTTGCATTTCAAAATAGTTTATATTTTCTTGCATAATAATTTTTGTTTCTTGCACTTCCAATTATTTATTTTTAATAGATGGTACAAGCACAAATGTGGTTCGGTGCCATGGGGCAAGGCAAAAAAAGTTTCGTGCATTTCCAATGTTGGGAAATTGTGAAGGATTGTTCGAGGTTCAAAATTATTCCCAAGTATCTGAAAATGTTATCTGACATTTGACACGTGGCACAATTGTAGAGGGTGAAAATCTAATCTGAAATCTGAAATTAAAATTTTTTTAAAATATCTGAAAATGTTATCTGACAGTTGACACGTGGCACAATTATAAAGAGTGAAAATCTTATCTGAAATCTGAGATTAAAATTTTTTTAAAATATCTGAAAATGTTATCTAACATTTGACACGTGGCACAATTTTAAAAGGAATTTTCTTTGAATAATTTTTATTAAAATCTAAAATACTGAAAATTAACTACGAAACTTTAAATGCCGTTTTGGAAGGCCAAACGACCTCAAAATGCCAAAATCCATCATACGTGACAGCAAAGCTGTGTGTTTGACTCGTGGCGTCGTTCCCTTTCCGAAATGGTATTTTGCGTCCTAATCGGAGCTCGGACGACAAATCTGCAAATTCCCACTACGTCCTTTTTCTAGCTCAAGCGATAAAATCTGACATTTGTTCTACATCAGACGTGTCACAATTTTAGAGGGTGAAAATCTTATCCGAAAATTTAATTACAAAAGATTATCAAAATTAATGGTTTAAACTATAAAAAAATAGAAAATAAAGTACAATGAATAGTAATTACCTTAGACTTGCCCTAGACTTTGCCCTTGTGGGTGGAACCACAAATGCAAAGGCTGACACTATTCACGTGAATAGTGGCAGCCCTTGCTTGCCCTTGCCTTAGACTTAGCCCTTGTGGGTGGAGATGCTCTAATGAGGTTAGGATTAGTTAGCCTTTTATTGACCTTGGCTGGCTGTGAGGTATAAAAGGAAAATTATTCCTTGGTATGAACAAAACAAGGTGGAGAGACAGAAACCCGATGGCAAGGAAGGAAGAAAGGAAGCTCTAACTATGGTTTTTCTAAACTCACGCTATTTTTCATTGTGATTTCAATTATGACTATGATGAACTAATTTTCCTAGCCAGGGCTGTGATGTAGCCTAATCATGAATACTCAATTTCTTAGTCAATATTAATTTCAAGTGTTTCACTGTTTATTGAGTATCTTTTGCTGTGCTTAATGCTTAATTTGGTTTGAATGTCTGATCACCATCTAAGTTGAATTATGTGATGCAAGTTAGAGTAGATGTCATATTTGAGTTCTGTTTCTTAATTGTAGATGCCATGCAGTTAGGGTTTGTGTGATCGCTATAGAATTTCCATATAGCTTAATGGGTATTTATGTGTCAAATTCATCTAGATGCCATAGAGAATTGCATGTAAAGATACTTTTGATGGAACCAGATGCCATGGCCATTGAATAAGTTAGGGAAATTGATCATCAATATGGGGAATTGCTTGGAATTGATATGCTTATGGATTGGGTAGGATTGGTTAAGGTGAAATCAGATGCTCTAATGTATTTCCCTCTTGGTTTTTCTAAATCCCTTGTGTCGTGCAACTCTATCTTTAGTTTTAATTGCTTTCTTTAATTTTAGTTTTTCTCAATTACAAATTCAAATCAATTTCATCCATTAACGTTTCTCAATTTAAAATTAGTTTCAGTTTAATTGATAGGAGTATTAAGAATGAAATCAATCCTTGTGGGACAATATCTGTGCTTAAATCAATCCTTGTGTGACGATATCTGTGCTTACTTAGCTATACTATCTTTTTTATTCGTACTTGCAAGCATTAAAATTTGATTAATTTGGTAAACCTAAATTTTGCAACACTTGCTAAGTCCTACTTTGAGTACTCAACTCTTTTTTATGGATTTTCGACCTTTGTTCTAATTTGCTGTCCAAGCCCAAGACGAGTGATGGGATCCATTGGTTTCTTGTCTTTGTGTTTACTTGTTGGTCCTTGTGGAAATGAAGGAACCGCTATGTTTTTCAGACAAAGGAGTCCAATTATGATCTAGTTGAGATCATTCTTACTGCTGCTAGAGAGTGGGTGCATGCTTCTTTTGCTTATGTTAAGGGTGCTTATAAAGTTCAGGTTTTTCTCTCTTGGGAACTCCCTCATGTTGGCCAATTTACATTGAATAGGGATGGCTCTAGAAGTACTTATGGCTGCATTGGTGTTGGAGGTGTTATTAGGAACTCGAAGGGAGATTGGGTGAGTGGCTTCTCTGTTAATTTAGGGAAATGCCAAATTCTTGAAGCTGAAGTCTAGGGGTTGTATTTTGGTCTAAGGTTAGCTATTGATAAGGGTATTCAAGATATTGTTGTTGAAATGGATGCTGCCACTGCTGTTCTTATTCAGAAACCAGATTTACTTTGCTATCACCCTCTCGCAACTCTGTTACTATGTTGTTGTGATTTGATGGACCATTTTGTTACTTGTTCTCTCCAGCATATATACAGGGAAAAGAAAGGAGTGGCGGATTCCCTATCTAACTGGAGTTACAATATGGATCTTGGTTTGCACATTTTTGCTTCTGCTCCATCTTGGCTTGGTTAAAAAAATTGTTGATGATTTGTTAGGAGTTGCTAAAGCTCGTTTGGTTTGTTTAAACCAATCTGAGTGTCTTTGCGGTTTATCCCCACTTGTTCACCAAAAAAAAAAGTAGCTATTTGTTTTTACCCCAAAATAAAAGTGGCTGTTTGTATCAATTGTAGCAATTTAAAGACATGTCAAAATTTCCATCCATTTCTTTCACGATGTATCCTTGAATTGCTACAATTATGAAACTACAATGGTAAATTTGACAAAATTGAAAACCACAAGGACGAAAGTGATAAGGACAAAAAATGTAAAAAACAATAAGCTAAAGGGAGAAATTCATAAAGGACTAAACAAATGAATTTGTGCCTTTATAAATCCAAAACTATTAAAAGGTTTATTTATAATTAGGGTGGGCATTCAAACCGAAAAATTGAAAAAACGAGCTGAATTTGGCCAAAAAAATAGCGTTGACCCAAAATCAGACCAAATCCGTTTGGACTAGTTTCAATTCTTGTAGTGAAAATGGGCCAAATCGAACCGGTTGCATATATTTAAAATTTAAAATTAGATATTTAACCCAAATGCTAAATTTCTAAGCCCATAACTAATCTTTCTTCAAGTTCAACTCCAAATCACCACTCTTTTCTTGGCCCAATCACCTTCCTTACATGAAATTGGGTAATTTGTGAATTTTTAAGTCCCAAAATTAAAATTTTAGTTGAATTTTGTAAAAAGGAAAACTTCAAAAATTCAAAACAAAAAAAAATTGTGCAAAATCGGACAACGAACTTGTTTATGGGCAAATTGGACCACATCGAACCACATATTTTTTTAGCCAATTTCAGTTTCGATTTGGGGTGAGAAACCGAATAACTTAAGATTGGGACATCCGATCTCCAATCTGTCTGTACCTATAGACTCACAACAACACCAGCTTCAACATATATAAAATCGGACACAATCCAATAGTCCAATCATCTCCGATCCAAAGGTCCAGATTTATAAGGCTCTGATCGTAGATCAAACAACAGAATCTTGACACTTCGAGCACATCACCGTGTTCACAACCTCAAGGACTACAACTTTCCTTAAATGGCCGATTGAAATAGTTGACTTCACTATTCCCGAACCAACTTCACAGCGTCGCTGTGTCTTCACCACTTCTCGGATTGCTTCGATTCTTCTTGGGTTATGCTAACGAGATTCGCAATAAACTAATGGAGTTTTTGACTGAACCTAACAGCATGGACCATTTATGATTACACATACTAACCTTGAGGACCACGAATTATGCAAAAAAAAATTAAGTATGCAATCTGATAGTTTCATAAACCTTAGGGACGTTTTGTGATATTAAGCCTTTATTCTCTTACATCACTGGGCCAACTTTATTATTCTATTTATTTTATTATGTGGGAGCCGAGCTAGGCCTAGATGGGCTCAAATGGCCCCAACTGCAGGCTGAGCTGAGGTTTCAAACCTTTGGCCTAAGGCCCACCCAATGTTACAGCGGGTCGGGCCGATGAGGCCTAAACATCAAGCCAAGCCGGGGACCAAATGGTGATCCTTACTATAGGGACAACAAAGAGATAATGTATGGCACATGGGCTATTATAGAATAAAAGTTGTGAAAATTGGCTATTTTAGCACAAACTCCAAAATTAAACTAGATTCTCATTTGAAGAAAAAAAAACATAGATTTTTTTAAAATTACGATATTTTATTACTACGATTAAATTTTCAAGTCAAAAAAGAAAAGAGTACATTGAAGACATGTACTTGGCCAAGTTGGCTAGAGTGGATGTGCTCCCTATTCTGCACGAGTTCGAATCCCCCTCTCCGTAGTTTAGATTAGATTGAAGTAGAATATCACTTGTATCCATAAAAGAAAAGAACATAGTACATTGCTATTTTTCCCTAGAACTCGGTACTCGATCTTAATTTACCTCTTGAAACTCAAAATTTCGCACTTAACCATCTAGAACTTTACTTCGTATCCCACTGAACTCTTTTTCTTCAACTCCGTCCACAAAATCGTTAAGTGTGCTTACATGTCACCTATGCGACATTGTTTTTATGGACAATTTGGATATTTTGACGATAAAGCCATTGGCACTTTTGTCTCCGTCTCAATACTCTCTAGGGCGGCTAAATTGAGCACTAATTTGTTATGCCCACTCAAATTAGGCTTAGTGCCCCAAAATTGGCTCAAATTCGGCCCCAAATGTGAACCCTAATGTAATCCCACATCCATCCTTGCGTCTCCGTCTCAATACTCTCTAGGGCGGCTAAATTGAGCACTAATTTGTTATGCCCACTCAAATTAGGCTTAGTGCCCCAAAATTGGCTCCAATTCGGCCCCAAATGTGAACCCTAATGTAATCCCACATCCATCCTTGCTTATAATTTCAACCAATGAGATTTTGTAGAAATGTCACCTGAACTTATACCTCAATTTCAATTTGTCATCTTAAAGAAAATTTAAGAGAAATGCCTCCTTAATTTTTCAAAATCCATGATTTGTCATCTAACTTTAACATCATCTAATTTTCCATCCATTTTAAAGGTATTTTAGTCTTTCCATTTTCAAGGAAAAAATAGAGAGAAAAATGGGAGCTCTTTCTCTCCCTTTCTACACCATCCCAACCTCACTCGCCCCGAAACACATCGAAGATCACCCCTCCCTCCACTCGTCTCTCTCTCTATCCTTCGACAAATTTTCAATATGCAATGGAAAAGCACCAAAAAGAAAAAAGAAGAAGAAAAAGGTGAACTCGGTTTGGATTGGCTGAGGGAATTTGTGGGTAGGTGTTCCATAGTAGAGAGAGGAGGAATAGGGAATGGATTTCAAGGTGGACGGGGTTGGTAAGAGCCGTCGGTGGCTCACAGGGGATGGGTGAAGGTGAGATTATTTTTAAATACAATTTTTTTATAATGATTTTTATACCCTTGAAAATGAAAAGACTAAAATACCCTTTAAATGGATAGAAAATTGGATGGTATTAAAGTCAGATGACAAATCATGGATGTTGAAAAATTAAGGTGTCATTTTTCTTAAATTTTTCTTTAAGGTAACAAATTGAAACAGAGGTATAAGTTCAAGTGACATTTCTACAAAAAAAATCCTCTCACCAATTTATGAATACCGGCCCAATCAGTCTAATTCAACTACTATTGCAGTACAAATGTCTAACAATAAAGTAATTCCGTTGAAAGTTGGAACGAGAAAACTTTTTTTTGTTTTTTTTGTTTTTGTTTTTGTTTGTTTGTTTGTTTGTTTGCTTGTTTTTGTTTTTGTTTTTTTTAAAGAATGAGGAAAAGCTTTGCATATTCAACTTCAAGTTCAAATGACACCCACCATCAAATGTTCAGATATTTATATTCAAGATGTCAATTTTGGACAGAGAATCATAAATCCTCTTAAAAACGCAACTCAGTAATATATGACCACTCCCATCCCATTCCACCTACTTTTTTACTGTTTCTAAACAAACACAAGCCCGCTGACTTGTAAGCCATCAAACCGATTAAACTAGGTCGGGGAAATAACATTTTTTACCTTCCTCTTCCAGATATCAAAAAACCACAAACAAAAAAAAAACGTTTCAAAAACCCTAATTTTTTGGGAGCCGTTTTCCACTCTAGAAGCAGAGACTCCACTGACTCAGGCACTCTCAGTTTGGAGTTAGTTACCTTGATCTCTGAAGATGGAGGCTTCCAATTCTAATGGTACTCAGCCCCAACTCTCAACACCACCTTCATTACAAGATTTGACTTCAGTTCGGGAACATCTCCTGCTCAAACTCCGATTGAAATCCAACTTCCGGCTCAAACTCCGATTTAGGTCCAATTTTCTGCTCAACTACAGGCGTCAGCTCCATCTACTTCGACGTCTTCTTCTAAGAGTAAGTCTTAGCTCTTACATTTTTAGTTTTCAACCTAATCCTCTTTCATTTCAACTAAAAAGAAAATAAATTTGTAAAAAATGAACCAAATTTTCAATTGATTTCCTACTAGAAAAGTAAAGTTTGGCTACTTTCTGTAGGCCCTATTATTCTTATTTGAGAAATAAAATTGGCATATGGTTCTGCATCGTTTGTGTTTGTGTGTCTTTGAATGTGCATAACCAAATGTCTTTGCCTTACACATGCAAAAACTATTTTATGCCGTTCTAAGGTGTTTCGGCAGTTTGAGGGCATGAAATCGAATGAAAATCTTCATAATATATTTTATTTTTGTTAAATGTCTATTATTTTGAAAAGTTTGACAATACCTTTGCATGCAATTTTGGTTTACTTAATAGCAATAAATTGAATCTTCACTAGTTCTTATGAATTTGAGTTCGTGTAGGCCAACCTGATCACTTGATGTACAGAAGTCATTTGGAACAATATGCCCAAAACTTAGGCATCCCATTTCCAATTTATCAAACTATCAATGAAGGATTCCAGCATGTAGGTCGTCCGTATTGGTGGGATAGAGCTTGCTTTACTTCTCCCAACACATTTCCATCTTGAAAAGTCGCTAAGCAAGATGTTGTTAGACTTGCAATGACAAATATAACTCAAAGGATAAAAGGATGTGGAGCCTCTTATTCATGAGGTTTGTTTTACTCTACTATGAAAAATATTAGTTTAGTGTTTTTCTTTCTGTTTTAACCTACCCATAATTAGGCTTGTCGAATAACTTTGTAACATTATATTAAGGCATCACTAGATAAATATAATTTTTGATTACTTATTTTACACTTTGGATTTACCAGTGTAATATCCACACATTCCTGTGGTTATATTCCACATATTTTGCAAAAGCATCCTGAATGAATATGTTGTGAATAGGAATATGGAAAAACCTATTTACAACACTGTTCAAGCACAGTAATAATAATCGAACTGGCAGCACGCACAAAGTAAAAACACACAGTTTACATAATAGGCATTCGGTCTTAAATCCAACCTTACATGGGCTATAATAGAGCAATTCTAAGGAAGACTTCAGTTTACAACCGAAATGAAGTTCAACGGAAATTAAACATATAGAAATGCCCTACAGAAATTCAAGGCAAGAAAGTACAGTTCTTGGCTTGGTTGCTCAGCTCAGATCAAGCTACCACCTGGAGGGTGCAAAACAGAAAATCGTGAGCATATTAAAACAAGGTTTCCACATGTCCTACGCTCGCAGACTACTTTACCACATGCTGGAAAATCCAACGCCATGTGTGGGTAAAGTAGCCAATATCAAATGTGTCTGGGTTCTTTACCACACGCCGGAAAATCCAATGTCACGTGTGGTAAAGTAACCAGTAATTAGTACCCTAGGGAGCCCACACGCCAGAAAATCCAACGCCACGTGTGGGTAAAGTAACAGTAATCAATATTCAAGTGAGCCTACACGCCAGAAAATCCAACGCCATGTGTGGGTGAAGGAACTAGTATCCAAAGGGAGGTACATATAATGGCGTGTAATCCATAGCCAAAATCTAAAATCCACTTTGATAAACCCATATATATATATATATATAATATACCCTCCCTTAATTTAATTTCCCAAAAACTCACAACCGAATGCAAATTCCCAAATTCTCAATATTCCAATGTACCTAATCCCACATACATAGACATCCGGACGATAATAGCGTCAACAACTCAATATCCAAAATTTATACGTATATATATATATATATATATATCAAACTCTCAAAAGCATAAATTCCATAACCCAAAGTACTCATAGTCTCAATAATCCAAAATAATCTAAAGTATATAAATATGCAAGACAATCCATAAAACACTTTCATAATCAAACCCCATATCACACAATCCATATATTTTAATAATAACCATAATAACAATAATCCCTGGAAAAACCACATCACATTCCGATAGAATCCTAATTATAATAAATAATTAGAGATCCCATATTTTTCATTAACCCAAATTAAATCAATTTTCAATCACAACACATTTATGCAAGCAATTAAATAATTGGAAAACGAAGTACACTTAAAAACAAACATCCACTCACTTCCTAATAATCATAGCCAATTCCCAAGACTCACTTTCACAACCAATCATTCTAGTATCCCAAAATCATATATTGATTACTAACCGAAATGTGTTTCAGGCTAGTTTCGGTTAGTCTGAACCTGGTTGGACGATTTTGGCCTCCAGAATCATCGATAATCGCATGAACACTGCCGGCGACAAAACATGGATTTTGGCTAGGTTTCAGTCCAAAATTGCGACCAATGTTTTGGTTTTGAAGGTGGAAATGGTTATGGATGCGTAGAGGAGGAAGAGACGAATCTGTTGCAATAAGAATCATTGGAATTGGTCACCGGACAGAGGAGAAAACGCCGGCCAAAGTGGCCGGTCTGTTTTCGCAAAGGAGACAACACACACGGAGAAAGAGCTGATTTGTTTTTAAAATCCAACTTCGAAACAATTACGGTTGTGCAATTGTACTTCCGTTGACCACAACTTCTTCATTAAAACTCCGATTTGGGCCCACTACGTATCTATTTTTCACAATAATAATAATTTCCAATTCCTTTTTCTTTTCTTTTTAGCTGAAATTAGATTACCGAAAACCAAATTACAACACTCAAACCAAAATATCCATCACCCAATTCTTAGTTGAAATCACAATCATAGCTGAAAAAATCTGAGTCAAGACCCATATTATATATATCATCATTCCACAAGAGTTGAAACTTTAACAAATAATTCAAACCAGGAAACCAAAAGAAAAAATTCCTGACACTGTCCAGTTACATATAGAGGAAACAAATGTTCTTCAAACACTAAACCAAAGACAAAAGACAAAGACAACATATTTTAGGCCAACATCGTTTGAACACATGAAGGTTTAGACTGGTGACGTTGGCGCCGTCGTCAGTTGGGCTTCAACATGGCTATCAAAGAGATAGTTAGTGTGAACATCATTGATGTCAACATCGGTTGGCTTCACATAGAAAAAATCCTTATTTGAAAAGGATTTCAATAGAAGGTTGAGATATGTAAGTTTTCCAATTGAGTCTCATAAATCAAACCACATAGAAATAAACCCAAAATCATTCCAGAAATAAAACCCACATGAAAACTTCAAAAAACAAAACCCTTACCTTTCTAAGGGGAGATGCGGTTCAAATCTAAATATTTGAGTTAGGAATATAAGATTACAGAGAAACAGAGAAAGGCAGGATGAACTAACAACATACCAAGGATTGATAATTCCAAGATTGAAGGGAGAAGAAGGAGAAGATAGAATGGTGAAAGAAGTTGGATTAGAAAGTGAGAAAGAAGAAAGGTAAGGGATAGAGGTTCATACGAAAATAAAAAAGCCTACGGATTGAGGATGAGGAAAGGAGAAAGAAAAAGGGAAGGGAAGAGAGCCTTGGTTAGTGAGAAAGATTCCATCCATATATTTTTATTAAATTGCCATTGTAAATATTTTATTATGGGGAAGATTATCCTCTTATATTTATTACATTATTACTGTTCATGTGTCAACCACAACAAAATTTGTTATATTCAAATCATTAGACACAAATAATAGTGACTAATTTAGTAAACTAGTTGATCACCCATATCATGTCACCAAAATAAATTAGTTTACTTAAAAAAATGTGACTATTTCTTTCCTTGTTTTGTAGTGAATTTGGATTCAGGTTCGGTTGAGTTCAAAACAAATGAACCGAACCCGACCTATGATGAATTCAGGCCAACTTAGGTAAGGCTCGAGTTGCCTAGCTTTATTGGGTTGGGCTAGGTTGGGTTCAACCCGCAAACTCACCTACAAATCAGCTCAACACCAACCCATTTTACAAAGGATAATATGTTGATTCATCTAAAGTACAACTTCGTTTTATTAAGTAAAAAATAGAACAAAATAAAATGCTCTCATTGAGAGTCGAACTCAAGACCTCCCGCTTACTAAACGGGTGCTCTAACCAACTGAGCTATGAGAGCTTATTGGTTAAGCTTAAACAATAAATCATTTGTATACTGTTTCTTCTTCTTCTTCTTCTTCTTTATCCTCTACAGTGCAGAAATATGTTTGGCATAAGAATTACCACAGTCGATCTCTTTCCTTACCTCCTTACGAAACTTCCCTACATACTCCGCAGGCAGTGAAACCAGAGCCAAAACCCCTTCAACACCCTCCTCATTTTTGTGCCCAATAACTGAAGTCACCATCCCAGGAACAAGCCCAGTTCCAGCTCTTCCTGGTCCACCATACACACCTTTTCCCCACCCAAAATCCAAATCAACAAACCTCAATTTGCTCATATCCGAAACCGCAAACCCCCCATCCGCAACTAACTCTCTGCGCCGGTTCATCTCGATGAAGTCTAGCATCGAGGCTCTATACTCATTTTCAGTGACGACCTTCTTCACTTGTGATATCAAGTTTGAAGCATATTGTAACGGGCTGTCCACTAGTTCGCCTGCGTTGGCAATGGCGCAGGCAAACACGACAGCGCTTCCGTAGTAGCCTTCAGGGAGGGAAGGGATGGACCGAAAGCGGGTGTCGATAGGGAAGAGAAGCCTCGTGGTGGACTGAGGGCTCATTAGGGTTCTAGTCCTTGCCCTCCACAGACACCCCGCTATTGCGTGGAAGGCGGGGCTTTTCTGGGAGTAAGTTTGGTTCTTGAGAGATGATATGTCGGCCTGAGAGAGGAAGACTGAAGTTTGAGCAAGAGACTTGAAGTCGGTTTCGTTGTAGGCAGCGGTAGGATCTTCAGGATCATGAGGGGATGATGATGTGACGTCATATTCATGGTGGGGGAAGGAGATGGTGGGAGGTGACCTTGGGTGGAGGGCTTGTCTTCCCCAAGCTGATAACAATGAAGGAGCTACTTGAGTTGGGTTTAAGCAGAATTCTGAAATGGCTTTTATCAAGATGCAGGCGCCATAGGCATCACAGATGCAGTGGTTCAATGTGTATGCCAAGACAAAGCCTCCGCATGCAAGTCTTGTGACCTGCAAAAGTTTGATGACACAATTAATTAATTTTAACAAAAAAGAAATGATCCAATTTTGGAGCCAACCGTTTTTTCTCATCATCAGCAAGCATCTTACAGCAGCAAAACCAACTAAAAGGTGTTTGATCATTTCAAGTTAATGAAATGCATAGCTCTGGTTAGTTAAGGTGAAGAATCCAACGTATCTACACTTCCCTCTCACTTTCAAGTTATCAAATTCTTTCTTTTGATTAATTCAGGTAGGAATTACATCTTGAATCATATCTTAATAGAAGTGAGGCCTGTAAATGGTATCTTTGTGACTTCGCTCATCAATAATTGAATGGGAATAACTGGTCGATCTAGTCGTATATTTTGTCTCTTTTTAATGTTGAAAGATGTCCTAAATTCGAATCCTTCCATCACGAAGGGAAACAACTTATTATTGTGTCGTCTTTAAAGATATTCGTCAACTAGTGACTTTTCCTGCCTAGTCCTAAAAGGAATTTGAATTGTGAAAATACTTATATATGATATTTAGAATACTCTGCTAATTAGATGGTTAAATTTTTAATCTATTTGACTATGTGGTCAATGGAGTCTGAATAGTCATCACAAACCTGCATGCGAAGCAAAGGTGAATCAGTGATAAGAACACTTCCCCACAAATCATCAACAAGCAAACTCTCCCATTGAGGAAATGGTGGCTTCAGTCCACCATCAGCTTCACGCAGCTGTGCCAATTTGATATCAGCATTGCCTTCACGAAAAATCACTCCCTCACCACAACAGTCCACAACGAGCTTGCCCTTATAGCATGCCGGAGTCGCCCGGCCATGGGGTAGTAGTAAACAAGAGCCCTGGCCAAGGCCTGTTTTATCAGCCCAACTGGGTCTTGATCATGAGTATGTGATGAAACTGTGCTTGGGGGATAGAAATGCACAAAAGGTATGTGGTTTCTTAGGCCTTTTTGGTCATCAATGTTGGACAAATATTTGAATTCTCTCGGGGTTGGTTTCTCTGGTCGAATCAGTTCTGGTTTGCTGACTTGCACAGTGAATTTGAGCATTGGTGCCATTGTTTGATGATCTGCAGTGGTCTGTTTATAGAATGGTTTGGATTGGAGGGAATGAGGCAATGGAGCTTCTTTATATAGTGCAGATGAGAAGTGTAGCTCCTCATGCTAGCTAGTCATTTCAAACGGTTAGCTCTATTTTGACTTCTAGTGACAATTTTGCCGCTACTAAATTCTGTTTTCAAAACAATATAAATGAAAATATGTACAGATTTATGAGGGGAGAGCTAATAAACTCATGATCGCGTATGCGCAAACTAATCTCTAATCGAACTTGAGGCTCAACTTCAATGACCCTAATTGTCTACATGTTAGAATCTCATAAAACATCATCCTAACCAAAAAATAATCAATCAAATTGGAAATTATCTAATTATTTAGTTATGATCAAATAACTAAACGAACACAATTATGAAAAGTTGAAAAAAAAAAGGGATGATAATCAAGAATTGAGACTTACGAGAAAGATGAGGATATTGTTGTAAGCTTTAGATAGAGAAGTTTTAGGGGGTAATCATGCTTAGATGGGTTAGAGATCATCATAGAGGTTGCCTTTTTTTCTTTTCCTTTTTTGTCAATCTGGTAATATCATCATTAAATCAGGGCGAGGAACAAATACCAGTTACAAAAGCACAAGTCTAAAAGACAAAGGAGCAATAATTAAAAAAACCAGAAGCCTAGAGTGATGATGCGAAAGCGAGCAATAATAGAAAAACCAGAAGCCTAGAGTGACGATGCGAAAGCAAGCAGTAGGCCACAGTGTTTCAGAGTATTGATCTTAACGAAGACAAAAATATCTTAAGTGATTCAAGTCATGATGTTTGATTTTATATTGAATTACGCAGAAATATAGGCATTCAAAAAATAAGAAAGGGAATTTCAAATATTTCAGTACATAATGGTAAGATGTGAAATTGAGATGGAATATGAAAAGAAAAAAAGAGACTATGAGAAGAAGAATTGCAGACAATAGAGAATTTGTGCTTTAAACAAAGAGAAACAAAGAAGCCGAACACATGGATTACGGCGGAGGGGCACATTCCATCTTCTACTGGTGCTTTAGCATTAAAATTTTCACATTAACAGAAGGGAAAAAGTCATTTGTGGGCCTTTTAGTTGATCACTTTTATCACTAAGGCCCCTGTAGTTTCGGCCTTGGAATGAAGTTTCAGACTTGAAAAAAAAAAAAAAAAAAAAAAAGGCCCCCTGTTTCAATTTGATCAATTTTGTCCTTGTAGTTTGAATTTTGAGCAATTCAAGGACAAAGCCCCATTTTTTTTGTCAAATTACTCTAATATAGAGGGGCATCCCCTCCACAACCATTCCCTAGCTAGAGAGAGAGAGAGAGAGAGAGAGCGAAATGCCCTTTCATATTAGAGTAATTTGACAACAGATTACGAACTGTCCTTGCATATTGCTTAGAATTGAAACTATAGGAACCTTAATGGTAAACTACAAGGACCAAAATGACTTTTTCCCTTAACAAAATAAATTCATTCTACATGTAGATGCATGTCAAACTAAATAATAGCATTGATTCCATATAATATTCTACAAAAAATATTTAAAAAATGATGTCGGAAGGTAAGTCATTTTAGAGGAAAGAAGAACGTAAAGAAGTGATAATAATTTTCAGATGTGCTGAACATGTGCGTAGTTAGCGTACATGGAAAACTCATCCTTGAAGACTTAGAGTCCAATAAGATAAACATGCAGTGATGACTTTTAAATAAAATAAAATAAAATTCAAGCCGTTTTTCCCTTTTGCTAATCTTTTGACGTTTTCAAAAGATGATGTAATTTAGGACATGAAGGGAAATCTCATATAATATTTCAAAGCATTCCTTCTACATGAACACAAATCTCAGGAGTTAAATGTGGTGAGCTATGCTATGTTCTCTAATTAATTATTATCCAATATGTGATCAAGATCTTTTCCTTGAATCATGTGAAATATAAGGAGCTGAATATCGTATGCTATATATGTCCACCAAATTTAACTTCTAAAGTTTGGGAAGATCCCGGTGGAAGAGTGTCACAAACGATGTTAAACCTATAAGTAACATGATCGATAAAAGCATATTAAAGTTTTGTTTAAATGATTATTTACGATTGCATGTAAATGTTATTGTATAGATGATTAATCATGTAAAGTGGGATGAGTCACCATTGCGAATGAACTCATTGATATTTAATTCCTTCCTCGTTATAATTAGATCTAATTATGAATCTAACATCAGAAAATGAGAAAATAAGTGAATTGATAATTAGATATTAGAGAAAAGACCCTAATTGCATTGCCATAACTTGAGATGTTTTTTGTTGGTAATCTTGATAAGTATAAGTTGACTCTGGTTGGCATGGTGAAATAAATTTCTTTGCAAAACACACGTGCATGGCCAACTCTGTAGAATTTCGTGGTACAAATGGAAAGTTTCATATTTGGATGAATAGTCAGACACAAATAGTGTGAGTAGATTGTTAAATTTCTTTTCACAGTCACACTTAGCGGCTACTCACACATTGCGTGTTTGAATATAGCAGTTGAGTTTTGGGAGGAGACAAACTCAATTCAAATAGGAAACTTGCCATTTCCCTTTGTACCACGTACTTCCTCCTCTATATAAAGGCCAAGCAGCATGCCAGCCAGAGCCAACTTATACTTCTCAAGATTATTACCAACAACAGAAAAAAACCCTCAAGTTATGGCAATGCAATTACATTCTTTTCTCTTAGGCATACTGCTACTAATTGGCTTTGCTTTCACAAATAGTGAAGCTGATATTAGAGCTCCACCCACACATTTTGACACTGCTTCTCTCAACAGGAGTAGTTTTCCAGAAGGGTTCATATTTGGTGTAGGTTCTGGATCTTACCAAGTAAGTCCTTTTCTGGGTTTTAATTTGAGTTTTGATTAGGGTTTTCTTTCAAATTCAGACCAAGCATCGATCCATGCAAGAATATTGACATCTTCTTCATTGTGTCCCTTGTGTATTTCAGTATGAAGGTGCTGCAAAAGAAGGTGGTAGAGGACCAAGCATTTGGGATACCTTCACCCACAAATATCCAGGTTTGTCCAATCAAATCATCAATTAGTTAAAATAACAAAACCATGCTACTTTTACTCTTATGCTCTAAATAAATAAATTTTCTATGATTAATTGCAGAAAAGATTAGCGATAGAAGCAATGGAGATATCACTGTTGATCAATATCACCGCTATAAGGTTCGTGACCCAATGTGCACATTAAATTTTGAAGCATGAAGAAAACTCATCACATTGAAGATAAGCTCCCGATAATTTTTATCTGATTTCTTTTTTGTTATGCACTGTAGGAAGATGTGGGGATTATGAAGAATATGGGGTGGGATGCTTATCGATTCTCTATCTCATGGTCAAGATTGTTACCAAGTAAGTTCATTTGTGACCAATCATCAATATTTCTGCCTTCATGGTTTTCGCTTAAGTAATGTGTCCAAGTTGTCTACCAAATAATATAACAAATTTTTTATTTTTTTTTGTTTCAATTAAAATGCTTAATTGCAATAACTTAAGCAAAAATAATTTTTTTTTTCAAACTTAAATTAAATAGAAGTCAAAGTTCAAGTTCGATAACATATAGTCCAACTTTTTTAAAGTTCAGGTTAAATGTTATCGGTGCACTTATTTCTTTATTTTCTGGTTTGACTTAATTATTAGATGGAAAGTTAAGTGGAGGAGTGAACAAGGAAGGAATCAAATATTACAACAATCTTATCAATGAGCTCTTACGCAATGGTGAGTCATCCCACCTTACATGATCAATAATTTATACAATAAGAGTTACATGCACTCATTAAAATAAGTCATTTTGTCAAACTTATAACTCGCTTTTATTGATGATGCTATTTATAGGTTTAACGCCATTTGTGACACTCTTTCATTGGGATCTTCCCCAAACTTTAGAAGATGAATATGGTGGTTTCTTAAGCCCTCATATTGTGTAAGTGAAGAAATTAGTCCTTTGAATCGTATTGATAATTTAATTAATAAATACAATTATGACATTTACATTTTGCAATATGTATATACAGCAATCATTTTCAAGATTATGCAGAACTTTGTTATAAGGAATTTGGTGATCGAGTAAAGCATTGGAGCACCCTGAATGAGCCATATATCTTCAGTTATAATGGTTATGCAATCGGGGTCAATGCGCCAGGACGATGCTCCACTTGGCAGCAGCTAAATTGCACCGGCGGAGATTCATCTACTGACCATATTTGGTAACACACCACCAGCTCCTTGCTCATGCAGCTGCCGTAAAATTGTACAAAAATAGTTACCAGGTACAGTTAATTAGTTTGTTGCAACAGGAGAGCAACTACTTTACCTTTTTGTTACTCTAAACAAACAAACTAAATGTTCTTGTGCAGGCATCTCAAAATGGTTTGATAGGGATAGCACTAAATTCACATTGGTTTGAGCCCTTATCGGAAGAAAAAGAAAATAAAAATGCTGCATTACGAGCTTTGGATTTTATGTTTGGATGGCAAGTGTATTTCGAATTTACTTATAAATATAATATTTACTATTTACGAGGGAGTAATACACAATATAAATGCTTGAAATTTTTACATTCTTGTAGGTTTGCTGAGCCATTGACAAGTGGTGACTATCCGCAAAGCATGCGAGATCATGTAGGAAGCCGATTACCAAAATTCACGAAAGAACAATCAAAGTTGCTAATTGGTTCATTTGATTTTCTTGGACTAAATTACTATACGAGTTACTATGCAAGCAATGCACCTCAAAATAACTCGGTATACGCGAGCTACACAACAGATGCTGGCGTTAATCTTTCATGTGAGTACAAATTCATAATTTTATTCAAGCAAATTAAGTTTATAGACTAATTAGATTCTGATATTCATATGTGTTATGGCAGCTGAGCGTAATGGGGTCCCCATCGGTCCAAAGGTACACATCAAATTACTAGATTAAGCCTTTATGATTTCGACCATTAATCGTTTTGCACTTACAAATGTGACTCCAAAAAATCTAAAGATCTTCAAATTTTGTTGCAGGGTGCTTCGTCGTGGTTAATGTTTATCCACGAGGAATTCAACATCTTTTACGCTACACAAAGAAAAAGTATCACAATCCAATTATTTACATTCTTGAAAATGGTAATTTTTTCTAGCCTTAAGTAATTGCATGATCAATGTTTCACATATTTTTGGTGTAAAACAAGCACAAGTGGTACAAAGTCTAACTTTGTAACTACATAATAATGTATTATATATTGTAGGTGTGGATGAGTTGAATGATCCGAAATTATCACTTGCTGAAGCCCTTAATGATACCCATAGAATTGACTACTACAAAAGCCACCTTCATTATGTTCAAAGTTCTATTGAGTAAGTGTACTAACAAATTCATTTATAATATTTACATATATATATATATATATGTATATGGTATAGCTTTAGATTTTGAGTTATTGATTCATATTATTGACATTAATATATTTAATTTCCTTTTATTGCTTTTTAGCAATGGTGTCAAAGTGAAGGGATTCTTTCCGTGGACGTTGCTAGACGACTTTGAATGGTTTTCGGGATTCAGTGTTCGATTTGGTATCATCTATGTAGATTACAACGATAGGCTTAAAAGGCACCCAAAACTCTCGTCGCACTGGTTCAAAAGTTTCCTTAAGAAGTATTGAAAACTTCAGATCATATTCATCATTCAATATTTGTATTTAATTCAATAATGTGAATTTTATGTATGTAAAATAATACTAGGGATTCCAAATTTGTGTACATTCAATAATTTCAATTTTAGTTCTTATATGAGAATAAAATTCCATTCAACCCCCCTTGTAAAATTAAACATGGATTTTTAGTCCTTTGATGAGTGTCAACATACGCATAATTATGAAACTCATTTTTTTGTAGTCCTTTGACTGATGGTCTCAAATTTGAGTTATTTATACTAACACCTCTTGAGGTTTTTCGTGCTTTCGCAAAACCCTGTAAGGTCTTGGAAATTATACAAACACCCCCTCATGTTTCAAAATGGTTTCACATAATGCCAAAAAAAAACAAAAAAATCCATCCAAAAAAAAAAAAAAAAAAAAAAAAAAAAAAAAAAAAAAAACTAAAAAAATAAAATGGATGTAAGAGTCTTGCAGAGGACTTGCAAGAGACTAACCCTTCGTGATATTAGAATTGGTTTGGATACAGTCGCACCATAATCCCTGAACCCTAACAAAAATAAAATAATAATAAATAAATCATAAGACGCATCGTACTATTCCGTGAGAAAAAATGAAGACGCTTCCTCTCTTCCATCTCTGCTCCATCATCGAAATCCTTTGTTGCTTTGAAAAGAGAATTCTCAGATCCTGCTGTCTCATTGCACCTTGATCTTTCTGCTTTGTAGCGTTAGGATTTAAGTTAGGAGGAGTTAATCCAACAAGCCAAGAAATAGGAAGTCAAGAGGTTGAGCAAGGTACTCAGCCATTGAGAAGAAGTTTCTCTAGTTTGATTTTTGGGTTTGAGAAAGGATTGACTTTTGTGTGTGTGTGTGTGTGTGTGTGGTTCTGATTGGAAACATATTGGAGAAGACATGGAAGAGATGGAGAGGATGAAGGAAAGCGTTCTTTTTTTCGAAATTTAGAGAAAAACCCAAAGGAAACAAGCAGCTTTCAAAAATACCCAAAACATTTTCAAAATGGCACGAAAGCCCTTTATCTTGAATAACAAAGACATGCAAGCCCTAGGTCTCTCTTCTCCACAAAATACGACAGCAACATGTGAAGTCATTGTCTTTTTTCAGCAGCAGCAGTAACAGTACTAGCAGTAGCAGCAATAGTGTAGCAGTCCATAATTTTAAACTTTGTTTGCTTGTACTATCGTCATGTGAATTCTTTGGCTTGTATAGTGTGTGCATGTGAAGTTCATATGAAACTTCAGAGAGATAGAAAGTTTCAGAGAGAGAAGAACTCTTCTTCTCATCCTTAGCTTCTTCTTTTCTTTTCATCCTTAGCCATGGTAGAGGTCGGTGTAATTTTTGTATATAGTTTGTAACTCCGAAGAAAGAAGTACGAAACACCAAAGAAGAAAAAAATCTCAGTACTTCCTCCTTCAATTAATAAAACTCTCTTTGTTCATATACTTTCTCTTTTCCATTTATTGTATTTACATATTCCGACCACTGTTAATACCGTCTATCACTGTCAATATCTCCGACCACTGTTTATACCCGGTGATAACAGTAGTTCCAGCAACATAAGCAATTAAGTAAGTCATTTTTCTCTTTTATTTTTGGTTTTCTTAGTAGACTTCTTGTCCAAAATAGGGAAACACTTTTATAATTGTGTTATTATCTTGCTAAACTGACGATCAATACTGTGTTTGAGCACTTGGTCATGTTTGATATTTGCCATAACAATAATTGGATGTCTGTCAAGGAACCTCTGAGTTCAGAGGACCTCTGAGTTCTGCTCCATAGCCCTTAAGTTGGCGTCTTTGCAGTTCCATGTTCTAGTTCCATGTTCTAGGCATGGTGTCTGGTTGTTATTTTGGCCTTTAGAAAACCTTGACCGAGACCCCGCTGAAGAATGGTATCAGAGCTTTAGTTTAGCATCTTAATAATATAGTTATACCAGTAAAGTACCTTGAGGACAGATGTCAGTCAACACAACTGATAAAAACCAACGTTGTATAACCTGTTAAAAACAGTAAACCGTTTGCATGTTTGGCCCTTGGTGGACATCTATTAGAATAAAAGAAAGGTTGCAGGAATTAAAGAAAAGGAAAGTAGAATACCAAAAAGAAATTAGGAGTTTAGAAGAATTAATAAGATCACCAGAAGTAGGTAATTATCCTAGAAGAAACTTAGAAGTACAGAATAGCATAGCAAGAAATCAGTACCATTTAGAAGTCTGTAAAGAATCAATAGAAACTTTTCAGGAGCATTTAGGCATCTTAAAAGAAAAATGTAGACTTAGATAAATTTATGATAGAATACCTCAATTTAGAAATCAGTGAACAACAAAAGAAAAAATTAACTCTAGATAATAATACATTAGTTTGTTATTTTCCACAAAAAGAACACAAACATCTTTTACATAGTAGTAGTAATCCCTTAGAAAATAGTATTATTGACCTTTTAATTAGTCAAGCAGAAAGTGTAAAATTTGAACATAACAAAAATAATAGAATAATTCAACAGTTACTAGAATATTTTCAGAAAAATTCCTTAAAAACAATTAGACAAACCTTAGACTATATAACATCCCAATTAGAAGATAATAATAGGAATATCCAAAGATTCCCTAGTAAGAAAGAAATAAAAGACCTCATAGATCTTATAGATAGTAAGCCAAAACAAATAGAACTCCAGTCATTAGAAATCATTGAGCAGTTAAAATTAGAAGTGCAAAAAATACAGTTAGTACAAAAAACATTAACTGAACAAGTAGAAAAGTTACATTGTAAATAGATAGACTTTTAGTTTAATGACATATTCTAAAATTAATAATAAATATAAAGGCATTAGAAGAAGTTGGTCAACTAGATAAGGAACCAGTAGGTCTTACAGAATTTACAACATCTGTAGTAAGTAGTAATATCCCTATTAGACAAAATAATTTACTTATCCAATTAATTTTAAATTTAGCCGAAAAAGTAGATCAATTAGAAGAACAAATAACAGAAATTAATCAAGTAGTACACAATACCACTTCTACACTACCCAAAGACTTAGTTGATAAATTAGAAAATTTAACATTAGGAAATAATCCTTATAGAAGAAAAAGTAGAATAAATCCATTTGATAATAGTAAATGGAACTCTTTAGAAGAAAAGGAAAAGAAATAGTTAGAACAGAAGATATATACCCTAGTGAACAAGAAGCACAAGAATTTCTTAGAAAAGGCTTTGAAAAATCACAGAAAAATAAATATAATTTATATCAATTAGGAAGATTTGAAAATAGGCATCGTATTGTAAGTAGCATCAGTCAACATGAAGTAAGTTGTATAGATAAAGAAGTAACTCTTAATTTACTTAGTAACACAGCAATAGAACACCTTAAAAAATCACACTATCAACAAATCCATATAGGAACAATTATGATAGGAATAGCTGGACTCACTAAAGCACAAGTAGGAACCAAAGCACTAGTATACATATATGATGACAGATGGGATAACCATCAGCAAGCAGCCATAGCTACAGCAGAAGTAGATCTTAGTACAAACTTAGCAGTCATAGGATGTATTCCAAATTATGTCATGAATATTAGAGAATTTAGTAAACACATAAAAATTAGCATAAGAACAAAAAATTATAATATGAAAGGTGAGTACAAAAATTTAAGCATCAGTCTTATGTATGTAGGAAAAATTTCAGATACTTATAATTACAAATTTAATGTAGAATTCCAAAATTTAGTACAAACTTTTGGTAGTAAACATGTTAATATGATAGAGGCAAAACCAGTAGATAATAGTTTTTTAGAAGGAACAAAATGGATTTTACCTAATTTACAAGTAGCAAAAAATAAACAACCTGATAAGGCACAAATTTTTGAAAATCATATAGGTGAAGCAGTAGTAAGATTTACTAATTATAAACAAATAAATGATATAGAAGACTTAGAAAGTGAATTAGATGAAGAAATACATATGGCGTTTGATAACTTAGAAATAAATATGATAGAACATAATTTTGATAATATATTTGATAAACTCATAGATGACATAGATAATTTAGATGAAGAAGAATATATAGAAAAATATAAAACTTATGAGTTAGGATTACATAGATTATCATATAAAGAAATGAAAGATTTAATTTTAAATATAGGATTAGAACATATTTTAGGAGAAAAAGAATATCAAAATATGTTAATTGAAGTAGAATGCATGCCAGTAGAAGACCAATATAGTTCATCCGGACCATCTGTAACCCCTGCAAGTAGAACAGATCAGCAAAATCTTAGGCAAACTAATGAACCATATAGAGAAAATAATGAAGAAACCGGTAGAAATGCTTTTCAACAAGAAGCATTTGGAATAAGAAAAAATAGAATCCCTTATAAAGGAATTGAACAAATTAGCAGGAAATATATTAAATTTAGATCATGTAGACCCACAGGATTGGGAAAAAAACTATAGAAAGATGGGAAAAAGGATGTGTACATGCAGCATTAATGTTAGATTTTAGTAATAATAAAGATATGTTAGATTACTTTGAGCATACTTTAGATGGAATGGTTTTTGATTATTTTCAAGCATGGAAAACTAAAAATCCAATAGAACATCAAGCAGCAAAAGAAATGTTTAATATAGATGCTTTTGTTAAATTAATTAAATATGAATTTTTAGACCATAATAGATTAGATGGTAGAAATGAACAAGAACAAATTAGAGCCATAAGAAACTTAGAACAACTACAAATTTGTGATTTACAATATATTAGTGAATATACTTCAGACTTTTTCAAGTATTTAAGAAGAACAGGTAGAATTGATGATCTTAATCTGTTAGATACTTATATGACAAAAATTAAAGGACCAATAGGAGAAAGAATTTGGAATGAATGGCAAAAACACCCTAGGAAACTAGATGTATCCATAGGAGCAAGAATACAACATGTATATGATATATTACGATCAGAATGTAGTCAGATAAAAGCAAAAAGACAAATTAGAAAA